GCACAGAGCTGGACCTGGGGCTCGAACTCACGAATTGCAAGATCACGACCTGAGCCAAAGTCGGACGCCCAACTGACTGAAAAAAAAAATTTTTTTTAATGTTACTTATTTTTGAAAGAGAAAGAGAGCTCGAGCAGGGGAGGGGCAGAGAGAGAGAGGAGAGAATCACAAGCAGATTCTGCACTGTCAGCGCACACTGTGAGATCATGACCTGAGCCAAAACTAAGAGCCTGGACACTCAACCAACTGAGCCATCCAGGCGCCCCACTACTAGAGCTATTTTTTTAACGTTTATTTATTTTTGAGAGAGAGAAAATCAGAATCAAGAGCAGGCTGCAGGCTCCGAGTTGTCAGCAGAGCCTGATGTGGGGCTTGAACCCACGAACCATGAGATCATGACCTGAGCCGAAGTGGGACGCTTGACCGACAGAGACCCCCCAGGCGCCTCACCAGGAGTTGGGTGGCTATGATGAAAGCCTCCCCCTCCCACCTTCTCGGAAGACAGGACATTACCTGTAGCCATAAATCAGAGCTGCTGTGGCTAAAACTGGTTGGGAAACCCTCGCCTTCCATGCTCTCACTTCACTAACTCACCAATCAAAAAGGACAGAAATGCCCAGCCCCGGAGAGCTGCTTCCAGGGCTCAGACTAATTCCGCAAGCGCGGGGTAGAGGCCCCTCAGAGACCCGCAAGGCCTCCTCTTCTCACTTTGGGTCATCAACCCTCCTTGCTGGACAAAGAGGCAGAAAACACTCACTGCTTCCCGGGCAGAGGCTGAGCCAGCTGGGGGTGGAGGCCCACGTTCCGCCAGGACCGGATTCACACTTGCCCCCTGATGGCACCGTGCATGGCCCTAGAGCTGCGTGCTAGCCACTCACACAGGTCTCTGGCCACCTTCAGACCCAACACCAGAGGGCTTCTCCCAGATTCTGTCCCAGGCTGATCCTGTCCAACTGGATCGTCTGCACAGAAAACCACTGAGCTCTCAGCCCCGCGGACCAAGGGCCCCTGGGTGCAGCCCATTTGGAGGTATGGGCTTTGCGGCCATGGTTAAAGCTGGTTCCCTGGTTTTCTCCCTTTCTGTCCCCAGGTACCCACTGGCTCCCTGGAAAAGAGCTCTCGCTGGGCTGGCTGCACCGGCGGGCGCCTTCCCTCCTTTCTTGGGAAGTAACACCATGAAGAAGACCCTCATCTCTGCAATGCCAACAGCCAGCAGCGGCCGGCCAGCCTCGGCAGGAAGGGGTGCTCAGTTTGGTGGCCTCTCCCTGCCCGACAGACGTTCACAGCCCAGACACCTTCCAAAGCCTTAGAAAAACCCATGCCACAGTCCGCTGAGCACCACAGTGGCATCACAGCCCGTCGCCATGGCAACCCCCAGCTTCCCAGCCCAACACATTGTCCGCAGGCTCAGTACTATTTGCTGACTTTGCTTACTCAGCTCCCCGCATTCCCAGCTTGGACCTGCTGCCCCTGGCCTCCGAGTGGGTCCTGGTGACTGGCCCCCAGCTACCCTCTGCCCCACTTTCCCTGGCAAAGCCTTTCTTTAGAGGCCCTGCACCTCACGGTCTCCCTCCCCCTTGCGGCAGCTGGCGCCCGTATTTTTTTTTTTTTTTTTTTTGCCACCGGTCAGGGTCAGGGCTGGTCGGCCAGGGCCCCTCCCCTCTGCCAGGCCAGCGTGTGGTGTGAGGACGGAGCTGCTGAGCTCGCATCGCTGAGGCGGCTCCGGGCGCAGACCCCGGCCGGTGTCCCTCTTTAGTCCGAGCTTCTCCGGGAGCAACACGCTCTCCGACACGGTCCAAAAGGGATACAGCATATTCTAACCTTATGTCCTTGGGCCCAAACCAAACTTCAACTCCCACTGCACTCGGCACTGTGCCAGGAGAGAGCACTGGCGTTTGCTGGGGTTTCCTGTCTCCCCTGCTCTGGCGCCCAGATGCCACTTCCCAGAGCTTTATTCTCCCAGCCTTTGTCATAATTTCTCCTGTGTTCGAATAATTCCCTGGAACAAAATGGGCCTGTGTGTACACAATAAAATCACACAATTAAATCCATGTTCTCAAACATCTTTAATGATACAGAAGTTCATGTGATAACTGAGAAGAGCTGCACGGGACACCACACACGCGGCGGGACAGCCAGTCCGTAAAGCACCCCGTTTAGAACCCCGCCAGGCAAGAGCGACTGCCCAGGCGGCGGCGGACCTAACACCACGTTCTGCGTGTGTTCACACAGTCCGAGAAGCAGTTAAGTGGAGGTCTACGAAGAACTTCTGGGAACGGGGACTCAGTGGAAGGTGCGGAACCCACGTCCCCGGCTGTGACGACAGTATACCTGGCTGGAAAGGGAAGACGGCTGTGGATTTAAACTTTTAGTTTCTCCGACCCAGTGACGGGGAGGATCGCCATCTTGGTCCCTGCCTACACCGCCCCCCACGCACAGGCACCCCACGGAACAACCACCACCATCCCGTCTTAGAAGTAAACAGGCTGAGGTCAAATATCTCTTATACAGTCCCTCGGCCGGCCCGCGGCCCCTCTGGATTCCAATTTAGAGCTCAGACATCAAAGCCTGCTGCCTTACCCAGTGAATGGCCACATCAAAGCCTAAGTGACGGAGCTAGAAACTGGACAATTAAAAAAAAAAAATCCCCGTCTGGCACAACAGAAGGCACCTGCTCCCGTGTCCTCTGGTGCTCGCTCTGCTAGGCAGAAACCAAGCCCGGCAGGTAAGCAGCCGCTCGGCACAGCATGGTGGTCTCAGCAGAGGGGTGGGCTCTGCCCACCCAGCCCAGGGCCTCCGCCCCCCCCACCCGCAGGCCTCTTCCAGACCGATTTCGCAAACATTCAAGGCACCTGAAGGGCCAGCTCATCTAGCCCTTTCCGCTTTCTCAGACCTGGTTTCCATGCCCCGCCCCCAGGGCTAACAGGACAGCTGGGAGCTGAACTCTGTTTACAAAATAAAACCCCAGGATCCAAGAATCTGTTATCTATTTTCACATCTTTCCTGTAGAGGAACCTCATTAAAAGAACCACAAAAGGAGCAACCAGGAGTTTCAAGTTCTGAGTCATATTTTTTCTTTTCCTTGAAATAAGCATGGAATCACACACACACAAATGGAATTTTTCTTAAGAATAGCTCCAGTACAGAACTTACTACCATACTCTGACCCCTAAGACTGCAGAAACGACAAAAAGCCCTGGTGACACTGACAGTGGAAGGGACTGACATCCGGGGTGGCTGGCACCACTGCCAGTCTGACCAGGCCCACCGAGCCAGCCAGAGAGCCCAGTCCCCAGGGTCTCAGCCTCCAGGATGTCCCAGGCAGGCTCCTGGCCCCCGCTAGCCCGATGGCCAGCTGACTGGTGGCGGGCAGCTCCCTCTAGTGGCAACGCTTGTTTCTGTCACTCGTGGACAACCCTGAAGAGCGGGGTGGGGCGGGTATCGGGCCAAAGGCAGGCCCGGGCTGAATGAAATGCAAGCGCCAGGGCACCACCTTCCTTCCTCTGGGCGCCTGTGGCCAGTGGCCTGGAGTGGGGGTCGCTGTACAGACACAAGGAGTAGGGAAGGAGGCAAAAAGCTGCTGACACGTTGTTAAAATTCTTGGCAAGGCCGAGACCCAACAACACACACGAGGTAAATTTATATACAAATAAGAGGCAGCTAAGTCAGACCTTAAACAGTCTAGGGAATCACAACCAGTCCTGGAGGGTGGCAGAGTTCCGGTGAGACCGTGAGTGTGGGTGTCCGGGACACGAGGGGACACGAGGGAGGCAGGACGATGAGAACCGACGGTTTGAATGAACACACGTGTTACAAGTCGCGTCGGAACGAGCAGCCTTCCACACACCTGCAGAAGCTGGAATTCACAAGCCTAGTTTGAAACGCTACCTCCATCAGCTTCTCCCTGACCTAAGCGCACAAAGAACACGGCCCCGCCTGATACCTTGTTACCAAAACCACTTCCAACCCTGGAGGATCAGGATCTATGCCAACCAGGACGATGAATTTCCACCATCTTCCCCACGCCACCCAGGAGAATGGCATCATCTCCGGCCTCCTGTCCCCCTCGGAGGAAGCGCTCAGTGGCACAGAGCGGTCCGTCCGTCCGTACAAATTCAGGTCCAGCTGTCCAAGGCAAGACGGGGCTTTCCACAGGCGCCTTGTCAGCCCTTCCCGGCAGCCTGGTATGCGGCTCTGCGCACAGTGTGTCTTCATTCTCAGGCGAGAAGTCCATTGGGACAGTTTTAACAAGGCCACGGGAGAAGTTTCCTGGATTTGAGAGCAACTTTTTCAGCTTTAAGCCATCAGATGAAAACAATCAAAAATCCCCCCAAAACACAAAGGGTTTTTTTGAGTCCAAACTTTTTATCTATTACCCTTGATTAAATTGACAGACCAAACATGATCTTTTAACACCGGACACACCAGGCCACGGGAATGGAAGAGAATGTGGACAGCATCAAACAACGGGATGAGAATGACCGCCCGGCCCTGACGGTCCACAGGTGGGCCCCGCCGCCAGACCTCCTGGCCGGTCTGCCGTCGCTGCTCAAGGGGGGCCCCCACATCCTGTTATGCTCGCGACCCCACTGGCCGGCCTTCCTTCCTCTTTGGTAGATTTCTGTGGCCTCGGTTTCCCTCTTTTTATTCAGATTCCAAAAACCAGGACGTTGAAGAATTTTTTGAGGAATCAACTGTGTTCTTTCTGTACTAATGAAGTACAAACTTTTTCCTGTTGCTTTAACTCTTAGAAAATAAAACAGCAAGTATGATGAACCACACAGATCACTAGAGCAGAGCTCTAGGTCACACAGCTTTAGAAAGAATGAAATTGAGAGGTGCCTGGGTGGCTCGGGTCACGGTCTCATGGTTTGTGAGGTTGAGCCCCAGGTCAGGCTCTGTGCTGACAGCTCAGAGCCTGGAGCCGGCTTCAGACTCTGTCTTCCTTTCTCTGCCCCTCCCCCGCTCAGTCTCTCTCTCAAAAATAAATAATAAAAGCATTAAAAAAAAGAGTTAACTTTACTCTCAATAGATCCACGAGGAACCCAGAGAGCTCTGCTGGCTACGCAGCTGCATAATTCCCGCCACTGTGGTCAGCCTGACGGCCGAGACACGTTTCTAGCAGAAAAGCTCCTTCCCCTATTAATGACGTCAGTATCAGTTTATTTTTCGATGGAGCTTAGGTTTTGGGTGAACTTTCTCTTCACGTGTTTCCTTGGATTCTCTTGCTCCAACTCTCTCTGATGCTCCAGGAAGTTTAAAATTATAATCTGTCGTGATGTAAGGTATTGTCCCTTCAAGCCCACGCTGCAATAGAAACACAAAGAGAATGAGGGAAAGTCCCCAATCCCGCCAGTCCAAGTTTGCAGTATTTCATTTCTTCCCCAGAAAATACTGTTAAAAGTGAGAGTCTGAGGAAGCCCTCGCACTCCTAAAGCCTCTGGTCCCCCCACCCCCCTTGGACGACCCAGTCACAAAGGTCACTGTCTCCTTTCTCTGTCCTATTCAACTCCACAAACACATCAACCGAGAGTAAGTGGGCATGGGTGTTTCTCTCTCGCACGAGTTAGGACAAGCAGCTAGGAGGGTGGGGCGGCCATGGCCTTACGGTCTGGCTTCCAGGCCACCGCACAGATGCCCTTCGCCAACATGACCTTCCCACCGATGCGCCCCAAGACCATCCGCAGGAAGGGGTGACCCTGGGGAGGTCAGCACTGATCTCTTCTCCCAGTTACTCCCGGGATAATGGCTCTCCCACGGGGCCCCTGACCACAAATGGAGGCAATTCATGGCCCTGGACCTCTGAGGCCACCCTGACACTCTATCTGCCTCATCCAGCTTCTACAACCAAGTGTGAGTTTCCCACATGGTAACGTGTTCCCATGACTCTCTCTGCCATGGACATGACCAGCTACTTGCAGGGCTGCCCTGGGAGTGGAGGTACCCACCTGGCTCTTGAAGACACACTGCGGAACAGAAATGGCTCCGACCAAGAGACAGTTCACATTTCTTAGCTCTTCTGGGGGCACAGGAGTGAGAATGTGGTACAGCCTCTTTTCCATGTCGATCCCTCTACAAATGCCTTGAAGACACACAAAACACACAAACATCCTTTCTGGGAAACAGTAACTCTCCCTACCACTGAGAATCAAAGAATGGCTTTTAAAAGAAGAATTTAAATTTCAACTATGTTTTGCTTTGAAAATACAAAGTTCCAAGAGACGGGAGTTATGTGACGACTCCTGGTCCACTCCTCGTTTAGCTGTGAGGAACCGACGTGCCACCTGCTAGCGTCCCAGGCTGCCTTCAGAACCGCGCACACAGACCAGGGAGAAAAGGCACCGCGGGGAACGGAGCGACGACTCAATCTTTCCCCATCCCCAATTCCCTCTCCATGGTCTGTACCAGGTGACACAGTTTGTATGGAAACACTTCTGCATAGTATTATATAAAGCAAAAACATAATTACTTAAGGGTTTTGCTAATTTTGGGTTACATGAAGTCCAGCACCCGCCTAGAATCCTACGCCGACATTTACTGACTGAAGTGAGCCAGGGACACAATCACGTGGGGTAGGCCTGGTGGAGGAGGAAGGGCCCCGAAGCACTATGCGGCCAATGATCCTGGGCCCATGTGACGGGGAGCACCGGGGTGTGACATAGTAACGTCTGTCCTCAGGTCACCTTGTGAAGTCCAGCACAGAAATGGTGGCTCAGACCGGCAGAGTAAGAAGAGACAAGATGCAGGAATCTGACATACTTTGGAAACAAGCTACCAAACCCGCGAGTGAGTTGGATGTGGTGAATAAAGACTAGAGGGTGCCAGGGGGACCCAGGGCTCTGGCCTGAACACCAAAGAGAATATTTGAAGGACTCTTCACAGGCCTGGGAACAGGAGAGGATGCTGGATGGGAGGGGACCTAGGGAGAGCATCAGGACCTCGGTCTCAGACCGGGACTCAGAAGTCAGTGAGATACCCAGGTGAAGACATGCGCTGCTAACGTGGGCTTGGAACTCAGACATGCAGTCAGGCTACAGAGATCCAGTGAGATCGGCCTGAAGATGGGTCTGGGGCCCCCGCACGAGGGCAGATGGCCTAGAGAAAACAGTCAAGTGAGAAGAAAGCCATGACCGGGCCCTAAAGAATCCTAGACATAGAGGTGGCAGAAGCAGAGAAAACGCCTATTCCTTCCTGCCCACAAGCCCCCAGGCCCACTGTATAGAAGCTACAGACACTCTGACCACTCCAGCTGGGAGACAGATACAAGGTCAAGACCAGCCACCTACAGGTGGAAAAGGGGTTCAATTCGGTAGATAGATACAAATGTTACTCTCACTCACCAAATCCCAAACAATCACAGATTGGAGTCTGGGCGAGCAGGATCGGCCCATTTGCATATCCTCTGACATCATCCAGGATCTTGCAAAGACCAACCCAGCTGGCGTTCACAGCGTACAATATATGGGTAGGAGCGACATCGGCGTGAGTGATCCGGAGAGCAACTGCATTGAAAGGAACCTAGAAGATAAATGTGCGTCTCCCTCAATTACCATTGATGGAAAGATTACTTTTAATTTTTAAAAGTTGACTAACCAGCTATCTAAAGTTATGTCGGCCAGAGGCACCCAGGGTGGTGGCTCGGTCGGTTGAGCATCCGACTTTGGCTCAGGTCATGATCTTGAAGTTCCTGAGTTCGAGCCCCACATCAGACTCGCTGCTGTCAGCACAGAGCCTGCTTCAGCTCCTCTGTCCCCTCTCTCTCCCTCTACTCCTCCTGCTTGCACTTTCTCAAATAAATAAGTACTGAGGAAAGAAAAAGGAATAAAGAAAGAAGGAAAAACAGGAAGTTAGCTATGTTGGCCAAAGTGCTTACCAAAAAGTATCTGAACAGAATGGAAACACTAACAAATACGGACTAAATATTTAATACAATGTTTATTCTTGAGAGAGAGCGAGAGAGCGAGAGAGAGAGCGCGCGCACAAGTGTGTGCAGGGGAGAGGCAGAGAGAGAGGGAGAGACAGAGAATCCCAAGCAGGCTCTGTACTGTCAGTGCAGAGCCTGATGAGGGCCTGGAACCCATGAACCTTGAGATCATGACCTGAGTGGAAATCAAGAGTCAGACGCTTAAATGACTGAGCCCCCCAGGCAGAACTTTCTGAACCAGCACGAAGCACAGTTGTGCCCAACAGAGGGCAGCAGCTAAGAGCCCGGACTCTCAAGCGAGACTGTTCAACCTCCCACCTGTAAACACGCAGTCACAGAAGCTATAGAACAGGGCTGCTCCGGGGGCAAGAGGCTAGAAGAACAGGCTGCTCCCAGGAAGCCATACAAGTGTCCGTGAAGTAAACAAAGACAAGTCCTTGTACAAGTTCAGGTTACCTGGTAGGGTGTCAGACCATGTAAAGGATAAAGCGGTTTTGGCACCGGGGGCTGCAGCTGGCCGAGGTAACCCAGCACCGCCAGGTCACGGAGAACTTTGTTATGCGACTCTCTGAAAAGTAAATCAGAAAGAAGCAGAGCTTTCACCTCACACACCCACCTCCTGCTCACGCGCTCGCACCCTGCTCGTGACACACTTTGTACCTACACGGAGCACACGTTCCCACCTGGACACTGGCACACCCTGCCTTTCTGTAAACGCACTGGAAAAACATGATGCCTAAAGACTCGCCTTTAAATAAAGGCTCTTGGGGCGCCTGGGGGGCTGTCGGTTGAGTGTCCGACCTTGGTTCAGGTCATGATCTCACGGATCGTGGATTCGAGCCCCGCGTCGGGCTCTGTGCTGCCAGCTCGGAGCCTGGAGCCTGTTTCAGAGTCTGTGTTTCCCTCTCTCTCTGCCTCTCCCCTGCTCCTGCTGTCTCTCTCTCTCTCTCAGAAATAAATAAAACATTTAAAAAAATAAAGGCTCTTGGCAACCAGAGCTGGAGGCCGCTTCCGGCTATGGGTCTTCCTCAACTTATGATGTGATTTCGTCCTCATACACCCACCAGAGGCTGAAAATACAGGAAGGTGAAAATGCCTTTAAGACACCTTGCCTACCGAGGCGCCCAGGCAGCTCAGTCAGCTGAGCATCATGATCTCAGGATTCATGGGTTCAAGCCCCACATCGGGCTCTGTGCTGGCAGCTCAGAGCCTGGAGCCTGTTTTGGAGTCTGTGTCTCCCTCTCTCTGCCTCTCTCCTGCTTGTGCTCTCCCACAAAAATAAACAAACATAAAAGAAAAACAACACCACCACAACACTTTGCCTACCGAACGTCACAGCTAGCCCTAGTCTACCCTGAACATGCTCCGGGCGCGCACGTTAGTCCACTGCCGAGCAGAGTCACGTGACACAAAGTCCGTGTCATGTGGGTACAGAATGGTGGTCTGTACCCCGTGCTCACCCTCGGGGCTGAGTGGAGCGGCAGGCACCACCTCTGCCCGGCATCAGGACACAGTACCGTACATTGTATCGCTTGCCCAGGAAAAGATCAAAATTCAAAATTCAAAGTACAGGGGCGCCTGGGTGGCTTAGTCGGTTAAGCGTCCGACTTTCGCTTAGGTCATGATCTCGTGGTTCGTGGGTTCGAGCCCCGCGTCGGGCTCTGTGCTGACTGCCAGCCCAGAGCCTGGAGCCTGTTTCAGAGTCTGTGACTCTCTCTCTCTGACCCTCTCCTGCTCACACTGTCTCTCTCTCTCTCTCCTAGAAATAAATAAAACATTAAAAAAAATTAAAAAAATTCCTAATACTTAAAAAAAAAAAAATTCAAAGTACAGTGTCTACGAATGTGTATTGCTTTCATACTATCGTAAAGTCAAAAAACTAAAAAACTAAAAATCTGGCCGCCTGGGTGGCTCAGCCGGTTAAGTACCGTGTGTCTTCCTGTCTCTGCCCCTCCCGTTTGTGCTCTATCAAAAATAAACATTAAAACAAAAAAACAAAGAAAAAAAAACTTCTGAAAATTAAACCATCTTCAGTGGGGACCGGGAAAACAACGGCTGGGACACAGCCGATCCATCCAGCAGCTCGCAGAGGGCCGGGGACGGGACCATTCTGAGAGGACGTGTTCCTTTTAAGGGACTGAGGGCGGTCAGGCTTGCTACACCTGAAGAGAACTTGATCCTCCGGCCATGACGGTTTAATTACCTATTTCTTGGAGTTTTCCTAAATGCGAAGTCCGACTGGACGCACATCAGTTTATGTCCAGTGAACACAACCGGGCTCTCCTTTTCTTCATCAGCAAATTCCAAACTCTCTGCAAACTCCGCCAGATGGAAGCCTCTGTTTCGGATCCTGGACTTGCTCTTCGTGTACAGGCCGTCCATACTGTCCACGTAGTCGGGGGTGAGGCTGGGCATGTACTTGCTCCGCCCGGAGCTGAACTGGACCACGTGGCTGGGAGCCAGCAGCCGGACGAGGTCGACGAGCAGCAGGAGCCCCGTGTCTGTGAGGAAGAGGACACGGGCGGTCGGCACGAAACGGAGAGACATGCCTCTGAGGGAAAGCGCACCGCTAGCTGCCAGAGAAAGGATCTGACGCCTGAGGCCGGAAGCTTATCCGTACCGCCATCCTCTGCTGCCAGAGGCGCCTCTGCGGGCTTACCTGACACCCAGCCCATCGTGTTGACGATGAGAGGGGCCTCTCTCTTGTAGGAGCTGAACACGTACTTTATTATCTCAATATAATTCTCGTAGTTGTTCTTACAAGAAGGTTTCCCATAATAAACCATTTTCTGTGGTGTCCTCTGGTGGGTGAAAGGCGGTCCTAGGAAGATAAAGGTAAGAGTTTGGATCTAGGACTATTTGAAAGGAGGGGAGGGCCTTGCTTCGGCCATTCCCAGTAACAAACATTCGTAAGAAATCAGACCATCCTGGGGCGCATGGGTGGCTCAGTCAGTTAAAAGCGTCCGACTTTGGCTCAGGTCATGATCTCACGGTTCGTGGGTTCGAGCCCCGCGTCAGGCTCTGTGTTGACAGCTCAGAGCCTGGAGCCTGCTTCAGATTCTGTGTGTGTGTCTCTCTCTCTGACCCTCCCCTGCTAACACTGTCTCTCTCTCCTTCAGAAATAAATAAAACATTTAAAAAAAGTTAAAAAACAAAAACAAAAACAAATCGAAGACCATCCTACCAACAGGAAGAGCTGTATTCCATTTCCAGAAACCTAAGCTTTCAGGACACCTCGGGGGGCATCAGTCGTTAAGGTCATGATCTCTCAGGGTTCGTGACTTTAAGTCCCACAACAGGTGAACACAAGTCCCGCTTCTCTTTCCCTCTCTCTCTGTCCCTCGCTCACTTGTGCCCTCTCTCTCTCAAAAAAAAAACAAAAAAACCTTAGCTTTAAATTTAATACAAAAACATCCTCATTTTTTTTTTAATGTTTGTTTTTGAGAGAGACAGCATGAGCAGGGGACGGCCAGAGAGAGAGAGAGAGGGAGAACAGAATCCCAAGCAGGCTCCAGGCTCTGAGCTGTCAGCACAGAGCCTGATGGGGGCTCGAACTCATGAACAGGGAGATCATGACCTGAGCTGAAGCCGGACACGTGCCCAATGGAGCCGCCCAGGCGGCCCCTCACTGTTACATACAGTTAATCCCAATTCCTATTGTGTCTTAATATGGCCATTCGTTTACTGAGTGCCAACACACTGAGCATTTTTCTAGCAACTTGGGAAACACCTGTGAACAAAACCAACGTCCCCATCCTTGGACAAGAACGAACAGCAGCAACCACTTACTAGCACGTAGCACTTCCTGTGCCCCAGGTATTTCACACGTAGTCTCTGACTTCCATATAATCGTATGAGGTAGGGAGTCTTACTATCCCCGTTTTTATAGAGGATATACATTAACTTGACCAAGGTCATACACCTAGTAGATACCAACTGAGCTTGAACTCAGGTGGCTCATCTCCAGAGAAGGCACTCCTTTTTTTCTTTTTTTTAATGTTTATTTATTTATTTTTGAGACAGGGAGAGGAAGGGAGGTAGAGAGAGAATGTGAGTGGCGGAAGGGCAGAGAGAGAGGGAGACAGAGAATCCCAACCAGGCTCCACACTGTCAGCACAGCCCCACACAGGGCTCGAACCCATAAACTGCGAGATCATGACCTGAGCTGAAATTAAGAGTTGGACGCCTGCTTCACCGACGGAGCTCCCCAGGCACCCCCAGAGCAGACGTTCCTAACCGCAGCACCAGTCCGTCAAGACTGACCCACTTCCCTTCTCTGGCTGGTGACCAGGACCGCAAGGCACCACGGTCGGCAGGGTGAGGGCCTTGGTTAAGGCGGTGGGTGCTGGGCCACCTGGGACAGGGCTGGCAAGGCTCCCCTCAAAGGCAGGGTAAAGGGCCTTGGGGCCGCCCACTGCTGACCAAGTGGCCAGCGTAGCAGAGGGAATGAACAAATAGAAGGAGACTGAGTCAACGTGTAAAGACACTGACAGTGACCACAGCCAGGGTTCTTCTCATCAGAGATGGGACTTACAAAAGACATAGAAGGAGGAAGACTAACTAGAATAAACGCAGGGCATCAGTCTGGCGTCAGAGTGACTGCAGTAAACCTGTGGCTCCTAATAAATAAAAACTACACATACAGACACGTACGTGCACGTATGGTTTAAACGTGCGTTTGTTTCCTAGCTCTGTCCACTGAGGGGATCTACAGGCAGTGACACGCCCAAAGAAACAACAAATAACACACCTAGTTACAGACAGAGTGGAAAGCCCTGACACTCGTCTCAACCAAATGATGAGAGGCAACCTCTCTGGGAACAGGGCTAACTGCCGGCTCGCGGACATGATGCGCTGAGAACACGGCATCACATTCTAATCAAGCCGTGAGGGACACTCAACTGACGTCCTCTTCCAAACTGCCAAGGTCATGAATGATAAGGAGAGCGGGAGGAACTGCTCCAGACTGAAGACTAAAGATCTGCAAACGTACGCTGGGCTGGCGCGGGCGGCTGGATGATGGACCAGGGACAGGACTACAGCACCTTTGCTGCTGATTTAGTGGCTGCATTAGCATTATATTTGGGGAAATACCCACTGAAATATTAAGGGGTAAAAAAGTAAATGCACTGGAGAAAACATAAAAGAAAAACAGAAACAATGAAACTAGCTAAAGAGCTAAATCTGTTTTAAACAATTAGTTTTGATGAAACTGTAAAAGCAACATGAATGTTCTACTTATTCTCATTGTCAAAAGGTCTGTCAAATCTAGAACATATCCAGCAACCTGGTATTTTAAAAGAAAACTAAACAGGGGCGCTGGGCTGGCTCAGTCAATAGAGCATGCAACTCTTGACCTCAGGGTTGTGAGTTCGAACCCCCCACATCGAGTGTAAAGATTACTTTAAAAATCACATCTTAAACCTGTTAAAACTCAACTAAACAGGGGTGCCTGGGTTTCTTAGTCAGTTAAGTGTCTGACTCTTGATTTCAACTCAAGTCGATTCCAAAGTTCGTGGAATCAGACTCCAAGTTGGGCTCCATGCTTGGAGCCTGCTTGGGATTCTCTCTCTCTGCCCCTCCCCTGCTCATGCGCATGCTCTCGCTCTCTCTCTCTAAATAAACAAACATAAAAAACCTTTTTAAAATAAATAAATGAATAAATCAAATTAAAAAGTCAGCTAAACAAAAATCACACAAGTATCTTGACAGATGCAGAAAAAGCACTTGACAAAAACCCAATGTCCTCTCATAACAAACATTCCACACGCTCGGAGGAGAAGGCAGCTTCTTCAGCCTGAAGAAGGAACGAACTGACGATGAAAACCCACAGCTGAGAGCATGGTGAAAGGCATTCCCTCTAAGACGAGGAAGAAGAAATGGATGTTTCCTTCTATTCACCACCATAATGGAGGTCCTAGCCTTTCCTTAGACAGGAAAAAGGAATTAAATGCATCCAAACTGGAAAGGAAATCATAAAACTATTTCTACTCGCAGCTGATGATCTTCTTTCTACCTAGAAAATCCAAAAAAAAATCCGTAGGAAACCTACTAAAAAGGTAATATGGGGACTCAACAAAGTTGCAGGGTACATGGTCAACACAGAAAAATCACATGTGTTTCAATACACCAGTAGTGAACAATCTGGAAAGGAAATTAGGAAAGCAATTCCACTTATGGTAATAGCCTCAAGAATCCAATTCTTAGGAGTAATCTAATCAAGGAAGTGAATGACTTACACACTGAAAATCACAAAATATTGCTGAAAGAAATTAAAGAAGAGCTAAAAAACTGGAAAGGCAACCTGTGTTCACAAGACTTCTTGTCGGGGCGCCTAGGGGCTCAGTCGGGGAAGCGTGTGACTTTAGCTCAGGTCACGATCTCCCAGTTTGCGGGTCTGAGCCCCTCTTTGGGCTCTACACAGAAAGCTCAGAGTCCGGAGCCTGCTTCAGATTCTGTTTCCCTTTCTCTCTGCCCCTACTCCACTTAAGTTCTCTCTCTCTCAAAAATAAGTAAAATTTTTTTAAATTAGCAAAAAGAAAAAAAATGCTTAGTGAAAAAACCATACACTGAAGGACAGATATTGTTATGTCCTCACTTACAGGAGGCACCTGGAATGAGCGAACTCACAGGACAGAAAGCAAAACAGGGGTCACCAGGAGCTGGAAGGAGAGGAGGAGGGGCAGGTGCTATTTAACGGGAACAGCATTTCACTTTGGGATGATGAAGTTCTGGATGTAGGTGATGGTTACGAAACACTGTAAACCTACTTAAAGTCCCTGAACTATACACTTACCAGTGGCTAAAGCAGTGAATAGTATTTTGTTTTGTATATTTCACCATTGAAAAAAAAAGCAACATGGAATGCTGGGTTGGATTCTGAACCATAAAAAAGACATTAATAGGATAATTGATGGATTTTGATTAAAATCTGTAGATTAGTTAATAGTACCGTGTTAACGTAATTTCTAGATTTAGACATTATGTAGGGTTACGTAAAATGTAGTAAATACTATAGAAAGGTATGTTTCTGATTTATACAAAACAAAATAGATATCAGTGCCATTTACCAAAATGGAACCCTAGAAAATTATCATAGTTTTTTTTTTTTTTTTTTTTTTTGGAAGCTGGGGGAACAGTTATGGCAAGACCATGAGTTTGGGGGAGAAGGGCAATATTCACTTTTACACTTTCTTTTATTCGCGTTTATATTTTGATATCTTTGTTTTTTCTACCCTGCTTGAGTTACAAAACCAAGACATTTAAGAAGTATACAATATACGCTCTAATATAAATAAGCATTTAAAAAGTGGCGGGGGGCTGGATGGCTCAGTCGGGGAAGTGTCCTACTTCAGCTCAGGTCAGGGTCTTACAGCTCGTGAGTTCCGGCCCCTTGTTGAGCTCTGTGCTGACATCGCAGAGCCTGGAGCCTGCCATGGATTCTGTGTCTCCCTCTTTCTCTGCCCCTCCCTGTGCTTGTGCTCTGTCTCTCTCAAATATAAACACTGGAAAAAAAAAAAAAAAAAAAGTATAATACATACCTAGAATTGGTTCTGTAATATTAAGTAAAGAAATGCAACCTGGAGGCGTAAATTCTGTCTGTCCCAGATCACACTCCAAATAGTCAACGCAGGAAATACTGAAAATTTAAAAAGAATAAAGGAAACCTTAGCAGCTTTATTATATCAAAAAAATGTATCAGATCTTATGAGATTTTGTGCAACACAGAGGCATAATCTACCCTATACATAGAGCCTTTTAGGTTGGATGCTCCCAAGATGATAATCAATGAAAAGAAAATGTGCAGGCAGGGTCACTGTATCCATTTGTATCCATTCACAATACGGGCACAACTGGGTCTTCCCTAAAACTTTACTTTTGATATACAACAGAATTTCTCCCTACTCTGAACCTCTGGGTCGGACAAATACAGAATCTGCGACAGGCAACCCCCCCGCCCCTCATGGGTAAGCAAGGGCAGCACACCCCAAGAGCACCACTGTCCAGCTCTGAAACACGGCAGAACAGACGCTGTCATCGCTCAGCTGAGCAGCTTTGCACGGGCTTATAGATGATCTCTACTTAGAAGTCAAGACATGCATTGCCGCCTAGTCCCTTAAGTCAAAAATCCTAGTTCAGGCCCCAAATCTAGTAACGTGTCTAAACAAAAACAAACACAAACAAACCAACCACCACTCACCTATTTAACAACTGGTTCATCAGGCACCTATTAAACGTTGACTTTCCAACGTCCTGAGAGCCACAGACCAGAATGATAGGGCAGCCGTCTACCTCTTCTGGAGGCAAAAGAAACACCGACACCTAGAATTAGCCACCTTCTTTAGGGCTCTAGTCGTGAATCACAGCCCTCCGAGGCTTTGGTGGACGAGCAGTGCGCGCATCACTCCGCGTCACTCACCACAGGACACAGTGACGAGCTCTTCCATGGCGGACAGGGCGCTCTCAGTTAAACGAAGGCCGTTCTTCTTCTTCTCTCTTCTAATGCCGACAGACCTCAGAGCCAAATGTTCAGAGTTAATCTGGAAGGTTGGGCTCTGAAATGAACAATGTAAGCTTGATGAAAGATGAACACGGTGCACATTTCTCCATCTAGTGCTAGACTAGTAAACCTCAAACAGTTGGGAGCTACGAAAGACAAATCTGGCTCTCCTTTCTCTCATGCTCAAAGCCAACTTTTCCGTAAGGCTCGTCAGCTATCCCTGCAGTCACCCCTACCTGCGCTCCTAGCTCACACGTATTTCAGGCTGCCGTCACCTCTGCAGGAGCCCCCCCCCCAAGGGAAACGTGTGCACATTTAAAAGTGATTGCTCCACGAACAACTCCACACAAGACCAGAGCTATCCAACGGGATGGGGATTTAGAATAACATCAAGGCGGTCTCCAAAAACATAAAGTCAAAAAACAAGGAACACGGGCGCCTGGGTGGCTCAGCCAGTTGAGCGTTTGACTTGGGCTCAGGTCATAATTTCACAGTTCGTGGGTTTGAGCCCCGCGTCAGGCTCTGTGCTGACAGCTCAGAGCCTGGGGCCTGTTTCAGCTTCTGTATCTCCTTCCCTCTCTGACCCTCCCCTGCTCACGCTGTCTCTCAGAAATAAATATAAAAAAAAAAAAAAAAAAAAAAAAAAGACAAGGAACATAGGCAGACGGAGCTGAAGGCACGTGGAAGGCGGGCCCGCTAACCCACTGCTGCTCTGGCAGAAGGATCAGGTGACCACGGTAGCAACCCAAGGCCTGAGGAGCAGACCCTCGCTGACGCAGGTGGGGTTCGGAGGGAATAAGGCCTCTGGGGTGAAGGTGAAGAGATCAAGGAAGAGCCCCCCCCGTGCACCATCATGTCCTCGTGCAATTCGCCACCCCCGGGATAAAGACATCGTCGAAGGCACGAGAATCAGGTTGGTGTGTGACTTCCTATCAGCAACTCTGGATTCTGGAGAACAGTGGAGCAAGGTTTTGAGGAAAAGACTCTATACTGTGCTCAACTATCAATCCCGGAGAGCAAAATACCTTCTATCTTCTGGGGAGGAAAAAAAAAAAAAAGAGGATCTTCATGAAAGCATGAAGCTCACCATCTGCCGGGCATGAAAAAGTAACATGAGAATGTAGTACCACACGGTGGGGGAGGGAAGTTACCCAGAAAGAGCATAAGGAACACAAACTGTGGTGGTGAAGTCTCGGGAGAAAAGAGAAACAAAGCTAAAACTAAACGTAAAAGAAAAAATCAAAATGTTCAGAACTTTTGCTGACAAGAAGCAAAGGCTTTGGAAACATGGTCGCCGAGCTGCTGGCTTCTGCACTAGATCAACCTGATGCGCTGTCCTGCCCCCATTTCACGCCTACTCTCACTCAAACCTCCAACACTCACTTACTAGCTCCGTTCCCGCTCAGTGGTGATCCTGATCCGCTTCCTGGAGCAAAACGAAACACTCAGAAGAGAACTTCTACTTGCCCCCCACCCCGCCCCGGCCATCTCCTCCGGCTACTCCTACTCTCCGGCTACTCCTACTCTCCGTGGCTGCCTGTGCTCCCAAGGCCGCCGCCCAGGCCTGCAGACACCAGCACCAGAAGCCCTCCCTCCGGACGTCTCACTCCTATGGTCCTCACCCCTCTCTGCCGCACCCTGGGCACCCTCCCGCTCTGGATCATTCCCGCCTGCTGCGTCCAAACTTGCGGGTCTTTTCTGTCCATCTTAACAAAAAAACAAAACTCTGACCACACTCCTCCACCTACTGTGCCACTTCTTTCCTTCCCTTTACCACTTAACGCTACAAAAGCAAAACCTTTTACTCTCAAACCCGAGGGCTGCTCTCACCCCAGGCCCCTCCCCCCCAGCTGTCTACTGCGGACACGCTCATCCAGACCACGCACCTGCACCCAAGCTCCCTTCTCAGGGCCCCCCCACCATCAGCATCTGCCACACTGTCCACGTCCAGCTCCTCTGAACCCCTCTCGACCACACTCACTTGGTTTCCTCTAACGTCAGCGACCACTCCGTCTCAGCCTCTGCTGCTCCCTCATCCAGACCCTCTGCTGGTCTCAGTGCCCAAGGATTGACCTTGAACCTCCTTGTTTCTCTGTACCTGCTCCCTTGGTGTTGTCATCCCATCGCAAGGCCTCTAGGCTGTCCTGCTGAACGCTCCCGGCTCCAGCCCCACACGTGCAGCTGGCCACTTGACACCGCCAACAGACTAGCGGGCACCTCAAAGTTAACGTCTCAATCTGCTCCTCCTACGGTGCCCGCGGCCCGGTAACTCCGGGCACCCAGGCGGTCAGGCTGAAAAGCCTCATGTCATCCCCGGATTCTTCCCCATGCCTCACATCCAGTCAGCCTGATAAAAAGCCTACAGATTAGGCTCAATTTATTGGCTCACGAGAGACAATTATAGCAACAGAACCTGACTGTAAGAAATTCAGAACGTGACCAGCAAAGATTTGGAGACGAGAGAGAAGAAAAAAGTGTAAGTACACTGAAGTAGGTTCACAGAGAAAACTTATTCGCTGTCTCAAGTGAAAGAATCCAGATAAAAAGACAGCCGTTCTGGGGCACCTGGGTGGCTCAGCTGGTTAAGCGTCCGACTTTAGCTCAGGTCACAATCTCACGGTTTGTGGGTTCAAGCCGCACACCAGGCTCTGTGCTGACAGCTCAGACCCAGGAGCCTGCTTCAGATTCTGTGTCTTCCTCTCTCTCTGCCACCCCTCCCCGAAATGTGCTTTGTTCCTCTCTTTCTCAAAAATAAATAATCATTAAAAAAAGATAACCATTTTAAAAATTCTGCAAGTCAAGGCACCTGGCTGGCTCAGCCGGTAAAGCATGCAACTCTGGATCTTCAGGCTTGGCGTTTGAGCCTCACGTTGAGAGGTAGATGAAAACAAAACAAAACCACAAAAAAGGGGGCACCTGGGGGGCTCAGTCGGTTGAGTGTCCAACTTCAGCTCAGGTCATGATCTCGCGGTTCACGGGTTTGAGTCCCACGTCAGGCTCTGTGCTGACAGCTCAGAGCCTGGAGCTGCTTCAGATTCTGTGTCTCCCTCTCTCTCTCTCTGCCCCCCCCCCCCCTTGTCCTCTGTCTCTCTCTCAAAAATAAACATTTAAAAAATAAATAAAATAGTTCATAGCAGCACTCTCAACAATAGCCAAAACACGGAAAGAGCCTAACTGTCCATCAACAGACGAATGGATCAAGAAGATGTGGTTTATCTATACGATGGAATACTACATGGTAATGAGAAAGAATGAAATCTGGCCATGTGTAGCAACATGGATGGACCTCGAGGGTGTTATGCTGAGCAAAGTAAGTCAGGCAGAGAAAGACAAATACCATATGATTGCACGTGTAAGAGGATTAGGAGGAACTTAACGGAGGACTGTGGGGGAGAAGAAGGGGGGAAACGGGGGGAGAGGGAGGCAAACCATGAAAGACTCTTGAATACTGAGAACTCAGGACTGATGACTGGGCGGGGAGGGAGGAGATGGGCATGGGGGAGTGCACTTGTGGGGATGAGCACTGGGTGTTATACGGAAACCAACGTGACAATAAACTATTTGTAAAAAATAAATAAATAAATAAATAAAATAAAACAAAAAAAACCTTTGGAAAAACAAATAAGTAAAAATTCCAAAAGGCACATAAACACCCACGATATGAAAGAACGGCTTCCACCAGGGAATAAAACAGGGAAAGGGAAACCGTTCTATATGAACCGTTTCACTGCACACACGCACGACGCTTTGTACAGGCTCCAGCGCCATGCGACAGACACCCACCCTTCCACGCGGGCACCCTGTAGTCAGCCGATAGGGCTGCTTTGGCCAAAGCAATGAGCAAAACTCTCAACGAAAGCTGGGCGTACCTCCTGCATGAAGACGTAGGATAAGCCCGGGTGGCTGACCAGGAAGTTTACGGTGGGGGTCTTCAGCTGCTCCAGCATCACAATGGAACACAGCGGAGAGAAATTCTTCATCACCCAACATCGGTCATCTGTAAAGAGAAAATTAAGCGCCTTAGAAACAGTAACTCCAGGGGCGTCTGGGCGGTTCCGTCGGTTAAGCGACCAGCTCTTGATGTCGGCTCAGGTCATGATCGCACGGTTCAGTTCACGGGATCAAGCACAGAGCCTGCTTGGGATTCTGGCTCCTTCTCTCTGTGCCCCTCCCCTGTGCGTGCAGGCCTGCTCTCTCTCTCTCTCTCCCCCCAAAATAAATGAAAAAAAAAAAAAAGAAAAGGAAAGAAAGAGAAACAGTAACTCCGTTAAATTCTACACTGTTGAGGACTACCTTCTCCTCGGCTGAACTGTCAACTTTTTGAGAGCAGAAATTACATTAAGGACCTTCTGCCGGAAACCATACTGCACATTAGGAACACGCCCGGATGGAGAGAAAAGTCACTCCAGGATGGCTTTTGCTACACACTAGCTGTGTGGCCTTGGGTAACTTTTCGCATCTGAAAAATGGTGAAAACAAGTTTCACTCACAGGACCCATGTGAAGCCTTAAATAGACACAGAAAAGTGTGCAATATCTAGGCACTAGGAAGCACCTGAGAATATTAGCCTTAGGGGCGCCTGGGTGTCTCAGTTGGTTAAGCGTTTAGGCTCAGGTCATGATCTGATAGTATTGTGAGTCTGAGCCCCGCACTGGGCTCTGGGCTGGCAGTGTGGAGCCGGCTTGGGATTCTCTCTCTTTCCCTCGCTCTCTGCCCCTCCCCCACTGGTGCTCTCTCAAAACAAATAAACAAAACTAAAACTAAAACTACTACTGGGGCGCCTGGGTGGCTCAGTTAGTGGGGCATCTAACTTCGGCTCAGGTCATGATCTCATGCTTCGCTGGCCTGAGCCCCGTGCTGGGCTCTGTGCTGACAGCTCAGAGCCTGGAGCCTGCTTCAGATTCTGCGTTGCCCTCTCTTTCTGCCTGTTCCCCACTCACGCTCTCTCTCTCTCAAAAATAAACAAACATTAAAAAAAATGTTTTTAATAAAAAAAATAAAAATACTAGCCAGATTATAGTACACCCTCTGTAAATCATCCATTTATTTTCCTTACCCCGGTTAAGATGAGATCTGAGCAAAGCTCGGGCTTCCCTTTTCGTTTCCTTCTTGCTTTTCTCAGGCATGGAGTAATGGACCGCGTTGATAGTAAGGCGAGAGTGAGTGTAGGTAGAGAAGACCTCTTGGGCAGGGTGGCCTTGGCTGATGGTATAACCTAACACCTGCACCTGGCCATAGAGGCACGTCACACGACAGATCCCACTAAAAGTAAAACCCTAGTAAGGAAACGGGGGATTTAAAAAAGAAATAACATTACAACTCCTGTTATTAATGACTGAGAAATTTTTTTAAGTTATTTATTTTGAGAGACAGCGTACTCCTTCCTGAAAGCGTGAGCAGGGGAAGGGTACAGAGAGAGGGAGAGAGAATCCCAAGCAGGCTCTGCACTGTCAGCGCTGAGCCCAATGCAGGGCTTGATGCCATAAACCATGGAACTATGAGCCTCAATCAAGAGTTAGATGCTTAGCTGATTTAGCCACCCAGGTGTCCCCATGACTGAAAATTTCAAAACTTTTTTTTTTTAAACTAAACTCTACGCCCAACATGGGACTCAAACTGATGACCCTGAGACCAAAAGTAGCATGCTCCACTCACTGAGCCAACCAGGCATCCCCTCCCTTAAAAAAATAAAAAATATCTTGGGGCGCCTGGGTGGCTCAGTCGGTTAAGCGTCCAACTTCGGCTCAGGTCATGATCTCGCAGTTCATGCGTTCCAGCCGGCATTGGGTTCTGTGCTGACAGCTCAGAGCCTGGAGCCTGTTTCATATTCTGGGTCTCCCTCTCTCTGACCCTCCCCTGCTCACGCTCTCTCTCTCAAGGGAAAAAAAAAATTAAAAAGACTTTTAAAAAATTCAAAACTCTTAATTGCTATTCACGTATCAAAAAGGGGTGGATTCCTAATAAGACACTGTACTAAAGGAACCATCAGGAACTGATTATTTTAAACCTAATTCCATGTCCCACCACAGCTACAGAGATGGCTGGTGACAGGACGGTCGTATCACCTGGGTTCTGCTGTGGTCACAGATCTCTCTCTACCAAGGCCCACCGCCTGCCAAGTTTCTCCCATTCCTGGGTTTTCAAACCCCCCCCACCCCCCGCACAGCAGGAAGACCTCCCACACCAAGCATGCAGGTGAAGAGCACAGGCCTGGGTCTGAATCTTAGCTGAGCCCCTACTGTACGCCTTTTAGCAAGTTCCCTAAACTATACCTCAGTCTCTTCTACTTAACGGGAATAAAAGTAATGACTCCACAGAGCCGAGAGTATTTAAGAGGGTTCATAAAACACTTCGCACACAGAGCCTGGCATCCCAAGCACCCGGTCAACGTGACCTGGTACTAGTATTTACTACTAGTAAATCCCCCTCCAGCTCTGAAGGCCCAGCACTAACTCCACACCAGGGTCCCAGCTGCCGCCTGCTCAGCACCGCCGCCGGGAGCAACGCTCTCGAGCCGGGGCCCGAGACCCCGCAGACGCGGCACGCTCTCCTCCCCGCCCGCGAGTCCGGGCTGCGGCCCCCGCCCCCCGGCCCGGCCCGCCAGCCTCCCCCTCCCCCGGCGCGACCCACCTGGTCCAGCGGCAGCAGCAGCAACGCGCGGCCCGGGCCAGCCGGCCGCACCGGCGGGATGGGGAGGGGCGCGGGGCAAGTCGGGCCGGGGGCCGCCGCCGCCGCCGGGGCCGGGGCCGGGCTGCGGGCCGCGGTCTTGGGCCTCCGGGCCGCCGAGCGCGACACCGGGCAGCCGCCCTCCCGCCAGTCCGCGCCGGCCGCCTGGGCTTGGAGCAGCCGCCGCCGCAGGCGCCTCCGGCCGCACCAGCGCAGGGCGCAGAGCCGGCGGCGGGGCCGGCGGCTGAGGACGAGCTGGGGCCGGGCCTTGCGGGCCCGCAGCCACGTGGAGCGGCAAGGAACTCGCTTGGGAAGCAACTGCGCGTCCGCCATGTTGGCCGCGAGCGCCTGCCTCGCGAGACTCTCCCGAGATCCGGTCGCTCCGCCCCTCGTCCCGTCGTGCGGCGGAAAGTAGAGGCCTGGGGACCGCGGGCGCCCTCTGGCGGGAGGCCCTGGCGGCGCACCTGGGCCGCCCCCACCCCCGCGGGCCCCCCGGAGGCTCCCGCCCGCCCGGAGGCTCCAGGGGCCGCAGCCTGGGTCACGCCCCATCGGGCCGTCCCACCGAGGGCCCTATTTACATTATGCAAAAGCCCCACCCCGGCCAGGTTCCCCACTCGGAGTCCAGGGCCACCTCTCCGGAAATCCACTTGGAATTTTTTTTTTTTCTGGCAGAAAAAGAGCCAGGATTGGCCGTTTAAACAAAACCAGTCTCTTTGCATACCGTGTTTGCATGCAGTTGTCTTTGGGCTGAAGGGGGACACCCTGGATAAGAAGGCGAACCCAGGATGATTGGCTCAAAATTTCAGTGTCAGAAATCTGAGGACTGGGAGGAGGTCAACTCAAAGTCAGTCTCATTTGGTAAACTGAGGCCCAGGTAAAAGGTTCTAAAAGCCACAGCTCTGTCCACATTCTGTCCCCCAGAGAAGCTGTGTCCTTGCCTTCCAATGACCCCCCCTGCCCCTCAAAACGCCTGGGCTTCCTTACTGAGCCAGGTGAAGCCGCAGGCGCCAGAGCGAGAACAGAGCCCAGAACCATCCAGAGGAAGGGGCAGCGGCCGCCACCTGGTGTGCACCTGTGCCTTCGCCCTGCCCAGTTCCTGAGCCGGGACCACAGGCCCCGAAGGCCAAGGCAAACAGCCAGGTTCCCACAACTGGGTTCCAGCCCCACCCCTGGCACAGGCGTGAAGTTGGGAAGCATCTGGGCGGCTGCGGTCTATTCTATTTAAACGGCCGAGCAGGTCAGAGGGTGGCGGATGGCCCTGCCAGGCACAGGACTGACTGGCCAGCATGTCACTCCTGGCGGCTCACCTGGTCAGCCTGCAGCTCTCCCTCTCCTGCTGCTGGGCTCTCAGCTGCCACAACACGGAGACGTCCGCCGACTTCAGCCTCCCTGGGGATTACCTACTTGCAGGTCTGTTCCCTCTGCACTCTGACTGTTCGGGGGTGAGGCGCCAGCCCACGGTGACCCTCTGTGACAGGTGAGTGGGGGGGGTCCTCTGTCCTCCTCTGGCCACCTCCCATCCCTCCCCATCCTACATTCCCCACCTTCAAGCCCTGGCACGACCTTCCCGGGTACTCCTGCCCGGGCTCCGCTTTATAATACAAGATTTTGTCCCGGCTGTTCCAGTGCTTTCTATGGTAATCCCATTCTGGTCATTTCCGGCCTTTGTGATGGAAGTAGGCAGTTAGGCTTTTCCCTGCTTTCGTGTCCTCCCCGCTCCCCTCCAGGTTCAAACTCCTGTGTGTCCCCGTGGCAAGTGTGGTTTCCAGGAGGAGAGGGAAGGCGCGAGCAGCGGGTGCTCTGGGAGCTTAGCAAGGATACCGGAGATGGAGCCTTGCCTTCGTGAAGTCGACAGTCTCGGTAGAGAAAAACACGTTTCCCTCGTAAAAGAAGATAGTTGTTTGCCGTCCGTGCAAGTCACAGACTTGGGGGGCTCGAGGATGCATCGGGGCTCAGTAGCAGGATGTCTTACATATGAGGCGCATCTGACAGTCGCCTCTGCCCCTCAAAACGCCTGGGCTTCCTTTCTGAGCCAGGTGAAGCCCAGGTGCCAGAGCGAGAACAGAGCCCAGAACAATCCAGAGGAAGGGGCAGCGGCCACCACCCGGTTTGCACCTGTGACTTCGCCTTGCCCAGTTCCTGAGCGGGACCACAGGCCCGGAAGGCCAAGGCAAACAGCCAGGTTTTGAGGAAGAAGGTGCTGGAAAGTCTGGCACATGAGGACTGGCCCAATGAGCTACTGATAGGAGTCCAGGTAGAGGAGACTTGGGGAAGAGGAGACACATGGATGCCCACAGTGGGAGGCACTGAGCACCCCCTGAGGGACTCATGAAGTGACAGAAATGACAGAAGACCCTGCTAACAAGCAGCAAGGCTAGAAACTGAAATGTGCTAGCACGTTCTTCAAGCAGAGCTGAACCACGTCCCTGCTGGGATCCAGCCAGAAGTTCCCGAGAGGCACTGAGGAACACAGGCCCTCACCGCATTCCTAAGTGTCCTGATGAGAGGTACTAGTGAAACAATGTGTGGTTAATTTTATGCGTCAGCCGGGTGAGGGAATGGTGCCCAGTTGTTTGGCCAAACGCCAGTCTAGACGTTGCTGCGAAGGTTAACATTTAGCCAATAGGGTGAGTAAAGCAGATTGCTTTCCATTGTCTGGGTGGGCCTCATCTAATCAGTTGAAGACCTTAAGAGAAAAGATTGAGGTTTACTCCCCCCCCCCCCCCCCCCCGCCGGAAAGGAAGAAATTCTGCCTTTGAACTCAAGACTGCGACATCAACCACTGAGGGCATTTCTGGCCTGCCCTGCAAACGTCAACTTGCCAGCCCCACAGTCATGTGAACCAGTTCCTTCAAATAAACTTCTCTCTTGTCTAGATCCATCTAACTGGTTCTGTCTCTCTGCAAAACACTGACAATTACAGCAGATTTCTCGGCTACAGGACTTCATCTGCTTTTAGTGCTAATGTGCTTATCCAGGGAGGCGTGGTGGCTTCTCCAAGCTGTCCTTCCCTCCAAAGGCCTGTTAACACAACTGAGTGTACGTACAGGGCCCACACCGAGGTCCTGGTTGTCCGGGGGACTGGACAGATGACCTCAGAGTTTCCTTTCTACACCTCCCCCCTCGCCCCGTCCCAAAGAGGGTCCTGGCAAGGCCTTGCCCTTCTTAGCTCTCCGCGTGGCTTTCTCTACAGGCCCAACAGCTTCAACGGTCATGGCTACCACCTCTTCCAGGCCATGCGGTTTGGCGTTGAGGAGATCAACAACTCCACGGCTCTGCTGCCTAACGTCACCCTGGGATACGAGCTGTACGATGTGTGCTCGGAGTCTGCCAACGTGTACGCCACCCTAAACGTGCTCTCCCTGCTGGGGACACGTCACGTAGAGATCCAAGCAGACCCTTCCCACTATTCGCCTGCGGCCCTGGCTGTCATTGGGCCCGACACCACCAACCACGCGGCCACCACTGCGGCCCTGCTCAGCCCCTTCCTGGTGCCCCTGGTAAGCTGGGGCCCTGGCGGCCTGTCCCTCTCCCCTGCTGGCAAGTCCAGCCTCCGTGCCCCGAGGCCAGTCTGGCCGCGTGGGTCTCCTGGGTGGTTGCTGCTCATTAGTCACATTGCAGGGGGCCCCGCCCCAGCGTCCCTTCCTCCTCAGCTGCTACACCCAGACCTCCCGGCCTCAGTGCTCCTGAGAAAACCCACCTCCTTTGAAACTGCCGCCCTTTGCTCTCTCCCCTCCATTCCGTCTCCTCTGGGAAGAATGGAACACCCTTTCCCACCTCACACACCTCTCCGCTTCTCCCTGCCTTCCTCCCTCCTGTTTCCTTCCCTCCCACCCAGCTCAGGCTCAGAGCTGTGCCCCCCCCCCCAGAATGCTGTCCCTCTGGGGGTGCCTGGGTGGCTTAGTCGGTTAAGTGTCCGGCTTTCGCTTAGGTCATGATCTCGCGGTTCGTGGGTTCGAGCCCCGCGGCGGGCTCTGTGCTGACCGCCAGCTCAGAGCCTGGAGCCTATTTCAGAGACTGTAGCTCCCTCTCTCTCTGACCCTCCCCTGCTCACGCTGTCTCTCTCTCTCTCTCTCTCTCTCTCCTAGAAATAAAAAAAAAAAAAAAATGCTGTCCCCCTGGGCCCCACCCTCTCCGCTGCTTGTCGGCCCCTCCCAGGCTTCCTCCTCGGCCAGCCTCACCGCTCTCCGTCTTCCCGGCCCCTCTGCTCTTAGCACTGCCCTCCCTCTGCCCTTGCGCCGTGGACACTTGTGCACAGAGCTCCCTATTCTTGTTTGCTTGTCCCTCTCGCCACTTGCTTCTCAAGCCCCTCTGCCAGCTGCTGCCGCACCGGTCCTGCTCTCGTGATCTGGAGGGCTTTCTAGATCCCCGAATCCAGCAAATGCTTTTCAGCTCTTCTTTGCCTGACATGCCGACTTTTTTGACATTTTTGACATCCTTCCGGGACACTCTTTCCGCAGCATTTATGACCTGCCCCCTCCCCCTCACTTGTGGCACCTCTTCCTCCTCCTCCTTCTCAGTCTCCTTTGGAGAATCTCCTCCCCGCCTCTTTTGAAAAGGTGGGTGATTCCCTGAGCGCAGGACGCTCCCTTTCCCAGGCGGGTGCTGGGAGTAAAAAATTTCTCCTACTCTTCAAGATTCTCCTGGCTGGTCTAAAGCCTAAGTTGACGTGGCACAGATTTAAGAGGAGAAAGTCAAAATTACATATGTTTAGGGAATCTACGTAAACATGAGAGGGTCAAAGACAGTCAGGCAAAATGAGGCTCATATGCTATTCCTGAACTACGGAGAAAGTGGGTACGGGTCTGGGACTTCAAAGGAAAGGAAGACTGTTCACAGGAGAAGGGAGAGCAGAAAACATCTGTATTAAACAGATGTTTGCTGGGCCACCCAGAAACAATGAGACCTAGAGAGGAATTGTAACAAATCAGCCTTTGCTAGGTCCTTCCCGTGCTTACCACACCTAACCTGAACCTGGAGCAGCTCAGCTATCGAAATTCTTCTAGACAGTTAGGGGAAAGGTCAGAGTGTCACCCTGGGTCTTTTGTGCCTTAATTATTTTAAACTGGAAATTAACCCACAGGCCAAAGTGGCAGATCTTGGGGCAATTCGTTCAGAATCTCTCCACAGGCTGTGGGCTTCAGGACTCAATTGTCAATTGCCCATTCCTAGCTTCTATCCTGAGTTCCAAGCACTGAGCTCATCGGGGGTCTCCACTTCATGGATCCAGTGCCCCCCCCCCCCAGCTGAACTTACCTCCCTATACAGCTCATCCATCTTCTCCATCACCGCTGCCACAGCTCTAACTCAGGCCACCAAGCTGTCTCTTCTAGATGATTCCATCAGTCTCCTAGGGAGTTCTTCCTGACTCTGGTCTTGAGCCTTTTCTAACACATTCTTCACTGAAATCAGAGAGCCACCCCTGAAACACAAGTTTCTGGACAGATCACTTTTCTGCCTGAACATTTAGGGGCTCCCCATGGCTTACGGATAAAGACCAAGTATCTTAGCTATCTTAGCGCGAGAATGAAGGCCTCCTGCCCTGACCAGATTTGCCCACTTCTGTGCTCCTTCTTCCGGCCTCCGACCTCCTGGGTCAGTTCGCTCGCGGTGTGTGGCTTTTGTTCTCTTCCCCTTCCTCTCCCAGAAATCTCCCCCTGGGTTTCCGCCTCTCCTTTCGATGTGACTTGTTGGCCTCTGAGTCTACCAGGGCCCTCCTTGAGAGTCAGGGTTGGGGCCGTGTCTCCCTCCTCCCTGGGTACCCACACCCAACACGGGGCCAGCACTTGGGAGGCCCTGAGTTGAGGCTGAAGCCACTGAATTTGCTGAACTGAACCCCTGCAGATCAGCTACGAGGCCAGCAGCATGACGCTCGGAATGAAGCGGCATTACCCCTCGTTTCTGCGCACCATCCCCAATGACAAGTACCAGGTGGAGACCATGGTGCTGCTGCTGCAGAGGTTCGGGTGGATCTGGATCTCGGTGGTGGGCAGCGACGGTGACTACGGGCAGCTGGGGGTGCAGGCGCTGGAGGAGCAGGCCACCCAGCAGGGCATCTGCGTTGCCTTCAAGGACATCATACCCTTCTCCGCCCGGCCGGGCGACCGGAGGATGCAGAGCATGATGCGGCACCTGGCCCGAGCGAGGACCACTGTTGTAGTCGTTTTCTCCAACAGGAAGCTGGCCAGGGTGTTCTTTGAGTCCGTGGTGCTGGCCAACCTGACTGCCAAGGTGTGGATCGCCTCGGAAGACTGGGCCATCTCCAGTCACATCAGCAAAGTGCCTGGCATCCAGGGCATCGGCACGGTGCTGGGTGTGGCCATCCAGCAGAGGCTGGTCCCTGGCCTGGAGGAGTTTGAAGAGGCCTATGTCCAGGCAGATAAGGGGGCCCCCAGGCCTTGTTCCAGGAGCTTCTGGTGCAGCAGCAACCAGCTGTGTAGAAAGTGTCGGGCTTTCACGGCAGAGCAGATGCCCAAGCTCGGAGCGTTCTCCATGAGCTCTGCCTACAATGCCTACCGGGCTGTCTACGCAGTGGCCCATGGCCTCCACCAGCTCCTGGGCTGTGCCTCTGGAGTCTGTGCCAGGGGCCGAGTCTACCCCTGGCAGGTAAGGGAGCCCAGCCCCCAGCACCCTGTAACAGGGTGCTTTCCTGAGGCAAAGTGATCCCTCGCTGGACAACTAAGTGCTGGGGGTGGGGGACAAAGGCCGCCCACCTGAAGGCTAATTGCTTCTCTTAGGCTTCACTTCTCTGACCTTGGCCCCTCCCACCACCATGCTTCAGGATCCAGGACGAAAAATCTCTGGAAAGGGATCCATTTTAGAAGCTTCCCCTCACTCAGGAGGCTGGTTGGGAGGGTTGAGGGGGCTCCCTTGGAAGGGAGGGGGCTTTGAATTTCCAGACAGACTGAAACCACCCAAACAGAAGCACTTGCTTCCTGAGCCTTCCAGGTCTGGGCGAGCTGAGGAGCCGCGGCCTGCGTCATCTGTGGCAGCTCCACGATCCCCGTGTATTTCAGCTTCTGGAGCAGATCCGCAAGGTCAATTTCCTCCTACACGAGGACACTGTGATGTTTCACGACAACGGGGACCCTCTCAGCGGCTACGACATAATTGCCTGGGACTGGAGCGGTCCCAATTGGACCTCCAGGGTCATCGGCTCCTCCACGTGGCCTCCAGTTCAGCTGGACATAAATGAAACCAAAATCCGGTGGCATGGGAAGGACAACCAGGTAACGGAGGCATGGTCACTCACCAAGTAACTGCCTCATGGGCAGCCTGGAGCCTGAGGACAGTGTTGACACAGCTCACACGGAGCAGGGGGGGCCAGTCCCAGGTCCCAGGCCAACGTGGCTCTACCCAGCCCTGCCAGGGAAGCCCTACTGGCAGCGTGCAGATGGCCGGCTGCCGCTCCTTTACATAACCAGGGGCTCTGCCCTGGGAGCGAGCTGTGAAGGCAGACACTTGGAGATTGTTTCCCGCTCCCCGTGTGAGGAGCCCTTGATGTGGGCCACTCCATGTGGCTACAGAACACCTGTGGCTTCTTGCAGGTGCCTACGTCTGTGTGCTCCAGCGACTGTCTTGAAGGGCACCAGCGCGTGGTTGTGGGTTTCTACCACTGTTGCTTTGAGTGTGTGCCCTGTGATGCCGGGACCTTCCTCAACAAGAGTGGTGAGTGTCCAGATGCGTGGGAGAATGACGGGGCACTCCCAGGGTCTGTACGGCAGGGGAGGGCATCTCCCTTGGGCCACGCATGTGCAGAACCAGAGCCTCGCTCCCTCTGTTGCCAGTTTAGGAACAGGTGGTCAAATATTGGCCACCAGACTGAATTCTGATGAAGCAGAAAGAAACAAGCAGTTGAAATCAATCCTTAGCCCTACTGTGTCTTTTACTAGGGGGCTCCCAAAGCAATTCCTGCAGATGCAATTTTATCCTAAATTCAACCTATTTATGCGAGCAGATGTAGCTATGTTCCCTTGTCCCCTCCCATGCCATCTGTGTGAAGTCCCTCCTGCTGCCCCTGCCAAAGACAGCTAGAACCTTGAACAGCTTGACCTTGATGCAGATACTATTGTATCTGCAGATGAGAAACACAGTATACTCTACCCGGTGATGCAAGGTCAAGATCAGAGAGCAAATCGGGGTAGCTAAGGGCTCAGCCCAGAGCTGGACTCTGAGAGCTACATTCTTTCCTTTTACTATCTCTGTGGGCATGAGAATGAATCTCTTCTGTTCTCTGAGAGTCAGAGAAACCACAGAACGGCAGCACAGATAGGTGCATTTGGTTAATGGAAGCGCTGGGGAGATAAAGATGCCCTTCCTTTGGGGCTGGCTGCTCCTATTGGATCATAGCCTCCCTGGCATGTGGGCAGAGCTACGAGAGTAAGGCCCTCTCTAGAGACCTCTTGGTTTGCAAGCCCCTTCTGGGATCATAAGCCAGACAGAACCCATCCAAGGGTCTCCAGAATCTGTAATTAACCCAGGCATCTTGAGGAAACACTTGGCCTCGGGGGCCCCGCTCAGGGGCACCTCCATCTCACTGTGCCCGGTAGAGCACAGCTCCTGTGGTGTAGCCCTCCCGGCACCTTGCAGGCCTACATGGCCTCCCTTCCTCATTCCTGCTCTGCTCACCTAGCTCTCAGGAGCCCCCTCCACCTTTCCTTCCAGCCCTCCACAGATGCCAGCCTTGTGGGAAGGAAGAGTGGGCACCTGTGGGAAGCGAAACCTGCTTCCCACGCACCGTGGTGTTTTTGACTTGGCATGAGCCCGTCTCTTGGGGGCTGCTGGCAGCTAACACGTTGCTGCTGCTGCTGGTGAGTGGGACTACTGGCCTGTTTGCCTGGCACTTGGACACCCCTGTGGTGAGGTCCGCTGGGGGCCGATTGTGCTTCTTCATGCTGGGCTCCCTGGCAGTGGCTAGCTGTGGGCTCTACGGCTTTTTTGGGGAGCCCACGCTGCCAACATGCTTGTTGCGCCAAGGCCTCTTTGCCCTCGGTTTTGCCGTCTTCCTGTCCTGCCTGACCATCCGCTCCTTCCAACTGGTCTTCATCTTCAAGTTCTCTGCCAAGGTACCCACCTTCTACCATGCCTGGGTCCAAAACCACGGTCCTGGCCTATTTGTGGTGATCAGTTCAACGGCCCAGCTGCTCATCTGTCTAACTTGGCTGGCGGTGTGGACCCCGCTGCCCACCAGGGAGTACCAGCGCTTCCCTCAGCTGGTGGTGCTTGACTGCACGGAGGCCAACTCCCCGGGCTTCATGGTGGCTTTCGCCTACAACGGCCTCCTGTCCGTCAGCGCCTTTGCCTGCAGCTACCTGGGCAAGGACCTGCCAGAGAACTACAACGAGGCCAAATGTGTCACTTTCAGTCTGCTCCTCAACTTCGTGTCCTGGATTGCCTTCTTCACCACCGCCAGCGTCTACCAGGGCAAGTACCTGCCCGCGGTCCACGTGCTGGCGGCGCTGAGCAGCCTGAGTGGCGGCTTCAGCGGTTATTTCCTCCCCAAGTGCTACGTGATCCTGTGTCGCCCAGATCTCAACAGCACAGAGCACTTCCAGGCCTCCATCCAGGAGTACACGAGCCGCTACGGCTCCACTTGACCACTGGGGCGGGCAGGGCCTAGCGGGGAGGTGGGGGAGGTGCGGAGGTGGGAGGGTGGGGGGTGAGGGGGTAGAAGGTGGGGTAGGGGCGGCGGACCCGACGCCTCCCCGCCCTGAGGGTCGAAGGTCGAGCGAGGCAGGCGCGCGGGCCCTGCGTCGTCTGGGAGGCCTTTGGACTCGGGTAGTGTTCGCTCCCGGGAGTCCAGTCCAGGCTCCGGGCTGCCAATAAAGCGGTGAAACGTGCGTCCTGGCTGCTCTAGCTGTCTGAAGCGAGGGTGGGGCGCTGCCTCCTCAACTGCGTGCGCCGCGCGGCCCAACCGCAGCCGGAACCTGCGACTCCGCCCCAGCCCCCAGCGCGCAGCTTGGCGTTGCTAAGCAACTCGGGACGTCAGCCCAGGCGGAGCTCTCAGGCCCAAGCCCCTCTCCTCATACCATTGGCTGTTTTCTGCCCGGTCCCGCCCCCCCAGGGGCGGAGCTAGAAGCCCTGAACCTCCTCGTTTCCCACCCCGTCCGGCGCTCCCTGACGTCACGTCCGGCGGCGGCGGCAGCGGCGGCGGCGGCGGCGGCGGTTTCGTACGGTCGGCTGGGGACTTAGGGCCCTGCGAGTTGGTCAGTGGGACTGTGGAAGCGACGAGGTCAGGGGTCTGTGGGCCCGTCGCAGGGAGGACAGGCCAGGGTGAGGAGTTCGGGGGCAGTAGGGTGTGGGACGGAAGGGCTGCGGGCCGCCGTGGCCGCCAGTTGGAGTGTGACTGCGGCCGCCTTCCGCCCGGGCGTCCCGGACGTGTGGGCACGGCGCGGGCTCTGCTCACCTGTCCCGCAGCCCCGGTGCCACGGGTCCTCTCCCTCCGCTAGGCCGATCAGTTCGCTGTGATTCTCCGTCTCTTTGCCCACACCGATTCCTTCCACTCGCACCTCTTCGCGACCCCGTCCTATCCCCCGCCAAGTGTCCCCAACCTAGTCCGTCTGTGTCCTCGCCACACACTGCCGCTGGCCTGACCAGTATGGGCCGCTCACCTGGCCCCCACTCCCAGGGAGGCGGTTAGTCCGTTCCTGTCTCAGCTGACTGCCTCCAGCGTTGACGTAAGCCCTCGTTGAGATAACTGTTGACTGAGTACAGTCCACCTCCCCTTTTGCTCTCCCCGATCCAGGGCCTTCCCCTTGCCACTCCTGGGTTGGGCCTGCCAGGATGTCACTTCTGCCTTCCTCTCCTCCAGACGGACCATGGACGGCTCCTTCATCCAGCACAGCGTGAGGGTTCTGCAGGAGCTCAACAAGCAGCGAGAGAAGGGCCAGTACTGCGATGCCACCCTGGACGTGGGAGGCCTGGTGTTCAAGGCCCACTGGAGTGTCCTTGCCTGCTGCAGCCACTTCTTCCAGAGCCTCTATGGGGATGGCTCGGGGGGCAGTGTTGTCCTCCCTGCCGGCTTTGCCGAGATCTTTGGTCTCCTGTTGGACTTTTTCTATACCGGTCACCTCGCTCTCACCTCTGGAAACCGGGACCAAGTGCTTTTGGCAGCCAGGGAGTTGCGAGTGCCAGAGGCTGTGGAGCTTTGCCAGAGTTTCAAGCCCAAAACCTCCGTGGGGCAGGCACCCAGTGGCCAGAGTGGGCTGGGGAAACCTGCGCCCCAGAGTGTGAACAGCCACCTCAAGGAGCCGGCAGGCTTGGAGGAAGAGGAAGTTTCGAAGACACTGGGTCAGGTGCCTGGAGACCAGGAGATCGGTGGCAGTCACAGCCCCGAGAGGCCCCAGCTTGGTCTCCCAGCCCAGAGTGAGAGCCCCTCCTGCCACCGTGGGAAACTCAAGCAAACCCTGAAGCTTTGTCCCCCGGACGACAAGGAGCCTGAGGATTGTAAAGCACCCCCAAGACCCTTTGAAGCTGAAGGTGTCCAGCTGCAGGGTGGGAATAACGAGGTACTGTGCCCGGGGTGCTGGGAATGGGGACGTGGGAGTTGGGGGTGGTGGTGGAGAGACTGACACGTTTCTGGGAGAGTCTGGACCCCAAGATAGAATCTTGGTTATGTGGGTCTGGAATAGGTTTTCTCCAAACGTAGGAATCCGGCTCCATCCTGCGGCCTCAGGCTAACCTTCCCGTGAGTCACAGCTGTCCAGGGTTGGCAGCTTCTTGGGGTCGGGTGCCTGGCTTCAGGGTTACAGGTGTTTCCCCAGGGCAGCGAAGTCCAGCCAGTCTTCCAGTTCACCACAGAGTCAGTGCCCCCCAAATCCAGGATTCCGGCGAGGCCTGCCCTAGGACCTTGACCGGAAGAGTCACTGATAAAGGGAGTCACCTTGGGATGGAACTGGAATGAGCCGACTGCCCTGTGTAGTTCTGTCCCCGGAACCCCTGCTGGTTATTTTGGTGACCTCGCCTCCTGCTGCCTTTTCTGCTCTAGTGGGAAGTGGTGGTTCAAGTTGAGGACGACGGGGACGGTGATTATGTTTCTGAGACCGAGGCCTTGCCAACCAGGAGGAAATCAAACATGATCAGAAAGGCCTGTGCTGCTGAGCCAGCCCTGAGCACAGGTCCCCTAGCAGCCGAGCCCGCTGAGAACAGAAAAGGTACAGCGGTGCCGGTTGAATGCCCCACATGTCATAAAAAGTTCCTCAGCAAATATTATCTAAAAGTCCACAACAGGTAAACCTTCTGTTTTTTCTATTTTCGTTTCCTGCCTGCTGTTCCTTTGCTGGGGGAGGGGGCCTGCACTCCCCGCTTGGGGGCCTCGTGGGGGTCAGGGACTCCATCTCACACTCCTCTTGTCATCAGGGAGTGAGATCCTAGTCGTGTTCCTTCTTCCTCTCTTACTCTCAGCTTCTGGAGTGGGTTTGTAGACTCCTTGTCAGTAAGTTCCAGCCGCTGTGGACCTTGACCATAAGCTGCCTTTGGCCAAGGAAATGAGAGAAACCCGTGGCTCTGTGCTGTGGCTGAGGCCCCCACCCTAGAAATTTCTAAAGCCCAGCAATGTGGGCTTAGGGCCAAGGTGTCAGGCTTTAGGGTTGGTGCCTCCTGTGATTCTGGGGGAAACGTTAGCCCCAGGGTGTCCTTGGAGCACAAAGGACTACTTGTTTGTACCTGCATTGTCCAAAAAGGTGACCGGGTGTCGTGTGAAGCTACGTTAACTTCAAGTAAAAGTGCGGTCAGTTTCTCGGATGTAGTAGTCACGCCTGGAGTGCTTGGCGGTCGCGCAGGGGCCCCAGCCGCTGACTCAGCACAGACAGAACATTCTGTGGTCGCAGGGAGTTCTCTTGACAGTGCCGCTCCAGGTCTCTGCAAGGCCCCCAGGGGTGGCAGCTAGGTAACATGCCCTCCAGTCCTGTCGCTTCATAGTCCAAGACGTCACTAGTCTGGTTTCTTGCCAGGCCAGGTGGGGCCACACACGTGTTCTCAGGGTGGCACTCTGGGAAGCCAGTGGTGACGGCCTGGAGTTAGAGCTGGTGATGCCTGTCTGCCCACCTTGCTTGGAGGCAGCTGCGGCCAGTGGGGTCGGGGGACGGCCATGTGGGAGGCACCCTGGGGTGGCCCGCGTCAGCCTGGAGCCTCCCCCGGGCGGAAGACTCAGGTGCAGGCCGCTGGACTGGCCTTGAGAACTGGGAGGGTATGGTGCCCTCATGAGGTCATTGGGATGGAGACAAGGACAGTTAACTGAGTGGCAGAGGATGAGAGAAACGTCTGGCCTCTGAGGAGTTGTAAGAGCTCTTCCGGTGTTCTGCTAGACTGTTCTGGGTGCTTGGTGTGCCTTAGCCGACAGAGCAGAGGCCTTGGGGAGCCTCTCAGCAGGGCAGTGAAGCTGGAACTGACAGATGGTGACTTTACGGGGTGCTGGAAGGTGGGAAGCGCCGCCACGGAAGAAAGGAGGAGGAGAGCCCTCCTCGGGGCCGGGGGGGAGGGGGGGAGTTTGCAGTTATAAAGGAAAGAGTTTTGAGCAGACCGGAAGGAGGTGAGGACTTGCACCAAGCGCATGGCCGGGGGGAGTGTGGTGGGTCCAGGAGAGCCGGAGCAGAGAGCCTGGGGTGAGCCAGCAGGTTGGTGACGTCGGGGAGACCAGACCTGGGGAGCGAGGCCCCGTGGTAGGGGGCAGACAGGCAGGCCTCGTAGGCCCCCGGCCTTTTCTCAGGGTGAAGCGGGCAGCATCGCAGGGTTGGGAGCAAAGAGGCAAGGAGGTGTGACTGAGGGCGCCTGTGGCTGCCGGCGTTCACATCCGTTGGGAGGCAGGCATGCAGCACGATGCCAGTCGGAAGCTCAGGCAGGAGCCCAGGGGCCGGCGTGGCTGCACTTGGTGGTGGCGGCAGAGGCGAGGGAAGTGCTCAGAGTCTGGCTATGGTTTTGAAGGTGAAGCCCACAGAACTTCCAGACAGACCGGGCAGTTTCTCCAGGGAGTCAGGACCCAGGGATCGTTTCTGTCCTTGCAGAGATGCCAGGTGGCTCTGGGGCGGCCCTTCCATAGGGAGCCGTGCAGGCTCCCTGGAGGAGGAGGGCTTCTGGGCTCACCCGGGCAGGTTCAATGGCCAAGTCTGAACAAGCCACGTGGCGAGCCGTGGCCGGCCTCAGGACCGCTCTTCCGCTCCACCGTGGAGCCCGGCGCTGTCGGTGGGGGGACCAGAGGGACACTGGGTGAGGGAGAGGCGGGCAGTTGCTCAGTCCCCCACACCCGCTGTGGCTTTTCCTGGCAGGAAACACACTGGGGAGAAACCCTTTGAGTGTCCCAAATGCGGAAAGTGCTACTTTCGGAAGGAGAACCTCCTGGAGCACGAAGCCCGGAACTGCATGAACCGCTCGGAACAGGTACTTGCCAGCTGGCCCAGGACTTGGTGGGCGAGGGACGCTGGCCTTCATCTTCCTGCCATCTGAGAGGGGCCCCCAGGAAACTGCCTTAGGATTGTAAACTCAAGAGAGCTGGAGTATCCTTGGATGCCATCGAGTCCACTCCCTGGCATTACAGGTGGGGACACTGGTCCCAGGGGCAGAAGGGACCAGCCCCAGAGGGACTCTGGAAAGCATTTTTGGCTTGGCTGCCTGGGCCCCTGGACTCTGGAGAAGATGCGCCTTGGTGGGATGGCAGCTGCCCCCACCCTGCTGGCTGGCCCACGTGACGTGGCCAGCTAAACGCCCCCTCTCTTCCTAGAGGCCTGTCACCAGTGTGGGGTCTGTGGGTAAGGTCTCCCGGCTCCTGCCCCAGGCCTGGCGTGGTGGGTTTGCAGTGCTCAGCGATGGTCAGGGTCAGGGCAGGCAGGTCCCTCTCCCCGACCCTGCCCCGGGCAGACTCCTCCCAGCAGCGAGTGGAAGCCCGGGCAGAGGCTGCCGTCGCAGGCAGAGGCTCCCTGCTGATGCTGGCCCTGCTTGCCCCTCACGTTGCCAGGTCTTCACGTGCTCCGTGTGCCAGGAGACCTTCCGCCGGAGGATGGAGCTGCGGGTGCACATGGTGTCCCACACGGGGGAGATGCCCTACAAGGTCAGGCTCGGCCTGTCCCTGGGGCTGTGGGTGGAGGGGCCGCTCCAGGATCCCTCCTGCCAAGCCCTGTTGGTGGGCTGATGTTAGGCACCTCCCTCTTGCTAGCTCAAGACGCCCAGCCTTCCAGACCCATCGGCGTCCCCTACCTTCAGGCAGGGCCACTGGCCCTTTCTGGATCCTTGTTTCTATGAAGGGCAGGCTCAGCATCTCTGTGGGCATGGCGGGGGCGGGGGGGGGTCCTCCCTGGAGCATCCTTCACACCAGGTCAGGGAGCCTCCGGTCATCTCCGGCTGGGCCCTGCCTTTGGGATGCTGCCTGATAGCCTAGGGGGGGCCAGGATCCCATTGGTGGAGGCGGCCTCGGAGGTGACCTGGGGCCTGTTTTCCAGTGCTCATCCTGCTCCCAGCAGTTCATGCAGAAGAAGGACTTGCAAAGCCACCTGATCAAACTCCACGGAGCCCCCAAGCCCCACGCCGTAAGTGCCGGGCTGTGCTGAGGACTAGGGGCTGGCCGGAGCGAGGTGGCCACGGCCGTGTCTGGACTGGGCAGGCTACGGGGCTCCTGTCCCGTGGGGGACTAGGCAGCCCCTCCCCGTCCTCAGCCGGGCCCCGCTCCCTCTGCCCCATAGTGTCCCACCTGTGCCAAGTGCTTCCTCTCCCGAACGGAACTGCAGCTGCACGAGGCCTTCAAGCACCGAGGGGAGAAGCTGTTTGTGTGTGAGGAGTGCGGGCATAGGGCCTCAAGCCGAAACGGCCTCCAGATGCACATCAAGGCCAAGCACAGGTGCGGGTTGGGGCTTCCCCAGGGCCTGGTCTGCTGCCGCCTCCGGGCTGGCGAGTGGGCCTAGAAAGCGGTTAGTGGTGCTCATGTGGGGAAGAGCACCCTCCACCCGGAGTCCGGTGCCCGTAGCCCTTCCGGTGGGGGCACCTGGGTGGGGGAGTAAGTGTCGGGTAGAAAGGCTGAGGGAGAGGATCTCAGGTTAACAGAAGGGCAGGTTCTTAGTTTTCCGTGGTTCCTGAGATGGCACCGGCACCCCTGTCACTGCCCAAGCTCTTGTGCCACACGGCGGGTCTCAGCCTGGGCCCGGTCCCATGGCTCAGGCGGGTTGGCTTTGGCCTTGACTCTTTCCCCGGCTCCGGAGCCAGCCGCGCTCCCAGCTGTGGCAGGATGAAGGGGGCTGCTCCCCCGGGTGATGCTCCTGCGCTCCCCCCGGCCCCCCGGCAGGAACGAGAGGCCGTACGTGTGTGAGTTCTGCAGCCACGCCTTTACGCAGAAGGCTAATCTCAACATGCACCTGCGCACGCACACGGGCGAGAAGCCCTTCCAGTGCCACCTCTGCGGCAAGACCTTCCGCACCCAAGGTGAGGCGGGCCCGTCCTCTCCCTGTCCCGGGCCGAGGCGCAGTGGCTGAGCCCCGGCCTTGTCCCCGCAGCCAGCCTGGACAAGCACAACCGCACCCACACCGGCGAGAGGCCCTTCGGCTGTGAGTTCTGCGAGCAGCGCTTCACTGAGAAGGGGCCGCTGCTGAGGCACGTAGCCAGCCGCCACCAGGAGGGCCGGCCCCACTTCTGCCAGATCTGCGGGAAGACCTTCAAAGGTACCCGGGCCTGCGGGCGCCCCCTGCGTGAGGTGGAGGGTCAGCCATATCCCCTGAGCGTGCCGGGGTGTGTCCGCTGGGAGAGGCCAGGCGTGGCGGTGGCTGCCCCACGCTCCTCGGTGCCAGTCTTCCTGCCAGAGAATCTCTTCTGCTCCCTGTGCTTTGAAGACTCGGGGTTGCAGCTGCGGTGACCAGGCGGGGCGGGACCTCTGGAGCGTCTTGTGCGGTGGCGCCCACAGGGTGGCACTGGAGTCTGGCAGGGCCCTTGGAGTAGCCGCAGACCCCGGACCTCCCTCATCTTGGCACCGTGGCGCCCACTTCCTGCATCCCCTTCACACCGGGGTCCCCTCCCTCCTGCAGCCGTGGAGCAACTGCGTGTGCACGTCCGAAGGCACAAAGGCGTCAGGAAGTTCGAATGCACTGAGTGCGGCTACAAGTTTACCCGGCAGGTAGGCCTGGGGCCGGGGTCCCTCCTCCTGCCCCCCTCCCCCCCCCCGCCCGGGCCCCTCCCTGCCCAGCCCTGAGTCCCCTCACCACCCCCCCAGGCCCACCTCCGGAGGCACATGGAGATCCACGACCGGGTGGAGAACTATAACCCGCGGCAGCGCAAGCTCCGGAACCTGGTCATCGAGGATGAGAAGATGGTGGTGGTGGCGCTGCAGCCCCCCGCCGAGCTGGAGGTGGGCTCCGCTGAGGTCATCGTGGCGTCCCTGGCGCAGGGCGGCCTGGCCTCCCAGCTGCCCGGACAGAGACTCTGTGCAGAGGAGAGCTTGGTGAGCTCGGGCGTCATGGAGCCCTCGCTCATCATCACGGCAGCCATCCCTGAGGACTGCGACACGTAGCCTCCCTGCCACCACCACCCACTTGGCCCCGGCCCCCAGTAAACTATGTGGTTTTGGACTCTGTCGTTTCGGCCAGTCTGGCGGTCCATTCCCCAGTAACCTGGTGTCCAGGATGTGCGGCTTTCCCATCCTGTCTTCTAGAAGAAACGGTGCCTTGCCCGGCCATCTCTGAGCCTCAGGCTGCCGCTCGGCCAGCCGCTTCCCCGCCCTGTTGGGAGACCGCAGAGTCATGCGGCAGACGCTGGGGCGGCGTCCTTCGGGGCCAGGCCCTGGCCTAGGTGCTCTTGTGCCTCGTGTCAGGGCTCTAGGCCCGGGAGCCGTGTTGCTGGGCCACAGCCGTGGTGCTGCCAGCGAGCGGGGGTGGGACTCGGCCCCCAGGGTGCTGCGGAGCCCGCCGTGGAGCCTGGGGTCGAGCTCTTGGGTAGCAGGCTCTGGATCCCGGCTGGCAGTGACCGCACACAGGACCCCTCCCTTGGGAGGGTCCTCACTTGCTTTGCTGCTGCAGGTGCCTGGAGTGCTGGCAAGGCCAAGTTTAGAACGATAGGAGGCCTTGCCGGTCCCCGGGTCCGGCAGGGACAGCAGGGCTGGGTGCGTAAGCTGGAGGAAGAGCGTGTGGGTGCCGGCACCCACGTCCCTCAGCTGCTTCACTGGCAGCACTGTGACCCGAGGCAGGCGACTTCTTCGTGTCCCCCTTCAGCGGAATTAGTAACGGCGCCCACTTTGTAAACAAGGAATCCGTGAGAGGCCGCTGTTAACCTACCGCCAGATGGCGAACCTGGATCTTCCCGGAGGCTGGCAAGGGCGGAGGTCTGTGCCAGGCGAGGGTGCTGGCTGTGGGCCCGGGTCCCTCTCCACAGGCTGCCCGGGCTTCCTCACAGCACGGTGGCTCGGTGCCAAGGACCAGCCAGAGCTGTAAGGCTTTTTATGACCTAGTCCTCCAGTGACAGGGTGCCCTCTGCCATGCGGTGCAGTCCAGGCAGTCACCAGAGCCTCACTCCCCAGATTCAAGGGCAGAGGTATAGGCCCCACCACCCGATGGGTGTCAGACTCTGCACACACACTTTACAGCCACCCTACCCGCAGCGTAGGTGCTCTGCTCAGTGCCTGGCATGGAGCAAACTGAATCTGGGGTAGTGATGGTCATGACCCAATGCTCAGGTCGGGCACTACCTGAATCCTATCATGAAGATTCCTGAAACTTGGAGCTCCACACTAGGCCAAATTCCTCCTGGAGTTTGAGGAGGAAAACAATCTATTTTCACCGAGAACCCATCTCCCTATCTTTCCTTTTATTCCTTGACCACTGAGGTGCTCAGAGGTATAGACCACAGTCCAGCACAAAGGCTGATGGCCAGACTCTGAGCTCCTAAAAAGATAAACTATGGCCTCAAAATGCTCCCTTCACCCAGAAACTGCCCTGTGCTTTGGGTTATATGCCAGGAAGCTTTCTAAACTTCATGGCCTCTTTCAGGATCCTTGTTTAAGGGCCCACTTCCCCCCACCCCACCCAGACCCAAGGATTATCCCCTGCAGATGGGGGTCTCCTCACCACTGGAGAGCCTGCCTTCAGGAGGTGGGGGTGTGAAGGGGTGGCGATGGGGAGGCCAAACCGGCCGTGGAGCAGCCTGTAGGGCTTGGACTCCTGTGCTCCTCGGGCTCACTTCCCACAACGCTGTCATGATCGGAGGCAAGAAAGGGCCTGAGGCTCTGCTCCAAGACTGTTCGCGCGAGCCCTGGGCACCCCAATCTGTCCTCTTCCTCTGTGGGAACGGGCACCCCTACTCTGCCTGAAGTCTCGAAGACAGCAGCAGCAGCAGCATGAAGACCAGGACACCAAGTGTACAGGAAATAGTTTTATTTCAGAAAGTATACATGGAAGGCATCCTAAAATCTTCAACAGGATTCTGGACACCTAGGCCCACAGAACAAATAAATAGGCAAATCTGCCCCACCCTCTGGGGTTGGAACTAGACAGCTGGACACTGAAAAGGGTGTGTCCCTTAGTACATAAGAGTCTCTGAAATCATATAAATATAGAATACTTTATAGCAAATCAGCATTAAATACGAGTCACTAAATTTTCATAACTTAATTTGTCTTGTAGACTCAACAGTTCTGTACATCCAAACACGACAGTCCACCTCCAGCTGGCCCGTCTCTGACCCCGGTCAGTGTATAGACATCCCTAAGTGGGGGAGGGGGACTCCCCAGCTGAGAGCCCCCCGCCGGGGGAAGCGGGGAGGGCCGGAAGGGCCGTCCCTGACCGTGGGCCCCCAGCTGGGGTCTGCAGGAACCCGCCGCTGCTTCCCCTCCCCAGCCCTGGTGCTCCAGACCGAGGACCGGGTCCGGTGGGGGAGGCCCGCATGGTGCACACCGAACCGGCCCTCTGACAGCCGCCAGTCGTGTGGCAGCCGGTCACGGTGAGGCACCAAGAGCAGGAACCCAGGACGCGGGGCCCCCGGCCATGAGGGAGCGTCTGCAGGGAAGGCCAGGTGAAGGCCAGGGCAGGCGCCAGCCCCCAGAGTGGCCCCCGCCTGCCGTACGATCTACAAAGGCTGATTTTGTAAGAAACCTGAAGGGTTTGCAGCGCCCTGTCCCGACAAAAAAGCATTGCACGATACCTCTCCCTGTCAGTCACTTGACCTTGACACAGCACAGGCCCCCTGGAGGAAGGTAGGGAGAGCTCCGGCAGCCTCCAGCCTCATCAGGCTACCACAGGGGCCCCCCATGGCAACAGCCCTCGGGAAGCGTTCCTCACGAGATCAAGGCCTGCTTCATCCTTCGGGAGGGTCCCCTGCAGGTGACCTGTCAGCAGGCATCGTCGCTTCTGTCTGCATGGCCTGTCCTCACACCGAGCGGGCAGGCCACAGCTGCCAGCACGGAGCTCAGCGCCTGGGGCGCGCCAGTGCCGTGTGGGCCGGCCAGCCCTGCACCTGCCGCCGACGGGAGACAAGCTACCGCGGCAGGACAGCTTTCACCCACAGAGACCAAAGAGCACGGCCAGCGTCTGCGGGCTGAGCCTGCTGGGAAGGCACCAGGGCCAGGAGGAGGCATCACCAGCCCTGAGGAAGGGAGATCAGCCCATCGCCTGGGGGACAGGGGCGGCAAGCCCTGACCGAGGGGCCCCGCCCCCAGGGCCCAAGGGATCCCACAGCCAGGCCCGGCTGGTGTGGGGAGCCCCAGACAGGCCCGGCACGCAGCTGGCTGTTGGGCAGTGCCTGGCACGGTGGGTGTGCGGGAGTGACCGGGGGAGTGCCAGCCGAGGGGACGGGAAGGGCTGGCTGTGCACCGGAGCTGCTCCTGCGACAGGTCTAACCAGACAGCGACAGCATATGGTGGGGACGCCGGGGGGCCCCAGCCCCCAGCTCTTCAGGCCACAAGACTTCCTCCCCCAGAACGACCCAGGCCATCTGGCCAAAAATGGGTAAATGTTTGTGAAGCCAACAGTGGTAGAACTTTTCTGCTAAGAACATATCCCAATGGCAATTCACTGTGGAAGGCATCTCAACAAACTGTTGCTTTCCGTCTAACAAGGGACACAGAAGCCTCCTCCTCTTTGGAAGAAAGACAAATCCAGCTGTGGGATACCTGGGAGACCCTGAGGGGACCAGGCCACTCACTCCCCAGGGGAAACAGGGAACACTTAGCTTCCCGGGAGCTCCTCCCACCACCCTCTCGGGGACGCCCAGGCGGCAGTCGCCCTGCCCTGCGGAGACCTTCAGCAACGGCACTGTCAGAGACTGGGTTTCAGGCTGCCTCCCTGCTCACCCCTCCCTTCTTCCGAGGAGAGGCCAAACTGCATTTCAAGCCTTGCAGCTCATCACAGACCACCCCGCCCAGGGCTTCCTTCGGAAGCAGCAGGATTCCTTGCGCCTAGGGGAGACCAAGGCATCTGCAAAGTTAGCGACACACTCCTAAGGCCTCCCAGGAAGGAGCCACGGCCTTGCACCTGCAGGCTTTGTCCTCTCGTGCATCCACCTGGGACGACAGTCCTGGAGACCTCCAAGTCGGGTGGCCACACCGACCGATGGGGCAGGGGGAGGGGGCACCCAGCGCTTGCCTCAACGCACGTTCATGGCTTCCTCACCACGCCCCCCAGGGCCCCGTTTGAGGCCACACTCCCATCCAGTCCCACTGCCCGGCACCTGTGAGGCGAGTTTTGGGGTGACGTCCCAGCAGGCGTGAGGAGCCAGGCAGGCAGACCCCCTCCATCCGGGGAGCCAGTCCCTGGGATGTCCAGCACTGGATGTGGAGTTGGGGACACCACTGCGGCCACTGGCCGCCAGCCTCCGGGTGCTCCGGGCCAGCAGAGCCCGCAGGCTGAGGAAGCAGGCCTGGACCACTCTCAGACTCTCATGGGGGGACCTGTCCCCTGCAAGCAGGCACAGGTAGTGGCAATGGAGGGGTCACCTGCTAGAGCCAGAGCCCTGTGCTGGCAGGGAGGCCGCTCGCTGTGGGCCATGGGAGGGGCCGCCAGCTTTGGCCCCAGCAGCTGGGAGTCAGGCACTAAATGCACAGAAACGCTCCGGGGGTCGCATCCTGAGGCTCACTCGGCGGCCCGAGAGTCCAACTCCAGCTGATGAAGCCGACCTGTCCTTGTGCACGAGGGAGGGGCTCACCGCGCCCCCCCCAGACGTGCTGTGTTATCTGCACCGAGGCCCTCCCCGGGCCGGGCCGGGGCTAGTGCAGCTCCTCAGGGTTCTGCGGCCGCCGGGGCCGGGCCACTTCCATGTCACTGCTGCCACCGTCTAGCTCGAAGCCACGCCCCCCAGAGGGCATCTGGGGCATGAACTGGCGGAAGATGCTGACGCTGCCGTGCCAGAAGGTAGGCTCCGGGAGCCGTCCCACTATGCTCCACGCCCGAGTCTCTGGGTCATAGGCCTCCACCACGTCAGAGAGTTCAAACGTATTGTCGTAACCACCTGAGACGTACAGCTTCCCTCCGAGGACGGCCAGGCTGCCCCCCACGTGCACCTGTGGGCCAAGGGAGACAGGCAGGTGGAGGCCGGCAGCCAGGCCAGGGCAGAAACCCCACGGCCTCTCCCCATGGAGAAGGTGCCCGGGACCCTCGGCACTTCCTGGAGAAGGGAGAGTGGTCCTCTCACGCTTTCCAGGACAGGCCAACACCCTCCTCAACTCCGGCTCCAAAACCAGGCCACACGCCAGGCCTGGTTCCTACGGTGGCTGGGGAGTGGGTGCCGTGGAAGCAGCGAATCTCCCCGTGAGCAGCATCGGCCCCGAGGCAGGCTCGGCCGTTCTCCCCATCGCCCAGGTGGGAAGGCAGAGCCTCATACGGCCGACGGTGGCCGTGCCAGGACTTGACTCACAGTCTGGGCTCTGAACCACACAACTGCACTATCTCCTCTTTCCCAAATCTGCTATGACCTGTAGGTCATCAGTCTGCTAAGCATAAATGTTAAAACTGGGACGTTGTAAATTGTGACGATCGCCACGCAGAGGTAGCATGAGAGCAGGTCTGGAAACTTTAAGGGAGAAGAAAGATGTGAGCGGGCACACAACTATGTAGGACTAAGGAGGTTGCTCACGTGGCCAAATGCCACCAAGCCTTCCCAGCTCCATCACAGCGTCAGGCTCAGCACCTCTCTCCTCCACAAGTACAGAGGAGACACCCTGATCAGAGAGCGGTAGCAGTGTCCTGTTCAGAGCACGCACTAGGCACTCAATAAATAAATCTATTCCCAGGGTTAGTCCCCAAAGACTTCCTGTCTGGCCTCATTCCCTCTGTTGTCCGTCCCCTTGTTCACTCTGCTCCAGCCACCCTGGGCTGTGAGGTTTGTCCCACAACCATACCAGGCACACCCTGCCCCAGGGCCTTTGGACTTCTTATCCCTCTATGGAACATTCTTCTCCCTATGCTCCCTAGCTTATAGCAGGTACTCACTGAATGCTGGTCCAAATGGATGAACTCACTAAACTGTCTAACCCTGGGATTTATTTAAGGTCTCAGTGCCCCTTAAGTACAAACAGGGAAAACCCAGCCCTCTGTTAAGTGTGATAGCCCCAGGAAAGTACTCAGCACGGGCCATGCCCATCAGGATTATCTCCCAAACACGTCATGACTACACTGGCCAGAAAACAGCACCAGCCTGTGCTTCCAATGCCGACACATCCGCATATTTACCTGATTCATAGATGGGATCTTGTCCCATTCATTCTTTGCGGGATTATACACGTCCACCTCCGCAGAATCGTCCCTGTGGATGGGTGGAGGGAAACATATCAGAGGCAGGAGGCAGCATCCTTGGATGTGAAGAGCTGGCAAGGAGGGCCACACAGGCCCCTCTCCTTTGGGAACATCTCTGATGCCATTTGGAGTCCACAGGCCAGCGAGACCTCATCCCTGGTTTGCAGGGGCCAATTTCAGGCCCCTACACCTACCTATCTGCCCTGGGCTCCGAGGCCAGAACCAGACTTGACTTCTCAAACCTGAAGATCAAACACCTTCAAGTGCACCCCTCCCCCACCACACACACCCACACCCACAGCTTTACACCAGTGCGCCCCCCCCCCCCGCCCCGCCCTGCTCCAGAACTGAACTTATCATAATCCCTTCCCACCAGTCTCCTCTCCATCTTCTAGCCTGAACTGTGTCTTCTCTTCACAACAGCCCTCCTGCCCCACTGCACCCCTCCCCCTCCACGCGCCCAGACTGTTCCTGGGCCTCCCCCCCTGCCGTCAGCCCCCCAGGGTCTTCCCGCTCACGCTGTGTCCTGGGAGGCACGGTCACAGCACAGAGGGCACCAGCACTGCCCTCCCCTTGGGGTCAGGGTCTCTCAACCTGGTTGGACTCTGGAGCCCTGTGCTAAAAGGCCCAGAGACACAGCCTTGAAAAGCACAGACACTAAGCCCCAAATGGCAGCAACAGTAAGGAGTCTGGGATCAGCAGAAGGGCCCGTCAGAGAACATCTCAGGCCCCGAAGAGCAGACCCTGTACCTGCTCCCCAATGCGGCTGTTGTAGCGCAAAAGCAGCCACCGACGATCGGAAACAGAGGGGCTGGCTGCACTCCAAGACGACCTTACTTGCGGACACAGGAATTTGAATTTCGTGTCACTTTTCATATCACAAAATGCGGCTCCTGCTTTTTTTTTTTCCCCTCCAACGATTTCAAGATGTAAAAACCAGTCTTAGTTTGTGGCCCGTATGATGACGACTGGTGCGAGAGACCGCTGGGCTGCCCCCCCCAGAGCGCAGGCGGCAGCCCAGGAGCTGAGCCCTCCCCCTAGCGCCGGGCGCCCCTGAAAACAGCAGCTTGTGCACAGGAGCTGTCCCGACAGGTGGCACGCGAGCAGGCGTTACGTGGCCTCCTAGACACCGGACTGCAGGAAATGGGTGGCTCTGGGACAAACACGCAGGTGTGCCTGAACCAGTCCCCAGGTCTTGCGCACCCCCCCTCCCTCCCCCCCCAGCTCAACTGGGATGCCTTTCCCCACCTTCACTATCTCTGTATGGTTGAGGGGCTGAAGGCGGGGGCAGAGCTGAGCCCCCCCCACCCTCTCATGGCTTAGTTGAACCCACACAAAGGCTAACAGCGGGCGTGGGGGGCACCCTAATGCTTCTGACCCGGACAAGGAAAGCACAGGGAGCCTTCTGTGCACAGGCTGGCTTCGCGCACGTCTTACTCTAGGACCGCGGGGCGGGGAGGACATTCTCAAAGGCGCTCAAGCTGGAACGGACTCTGAGGGGCTGAAGCCAACGTTCGAGCACTCTTGAGGAGTATTTATAGCTGTCTCCACCCCCTCTCTGAAGACAGCTACCTAGACTCGGGGAAGGGAGAGCTGGGCGAAGGGTCAGACGATGTTTTATAACAGGACCAGGAGCTGGCCGACATTCCAGGGCTTTCTCTGAGCACTCTGCGGGCTCCTGGCAGACGGTGACACCCAGCAAACAGAGCCACCTCTGTCCTGAACGTGCGCACTGAGAAAGCCTGGGATGGAGCCCCCAGTCTGGGGGAGCAGAGTGGGGGGGGGGGCAGACAAAGGCCAGGGCAGCTTAGGATGTGAAAGAAGGGGTAGGGCTGAGAAGCCAAATGCATCTCTCCTCCGAGGCTCCCAAGGGGACAGAGGAAACCACAGTACACCCTTCCCCTTCTCCCCTGGTCCCACGGCTTCAGACAGGCTCTAGGCCAGGGAGGGAGGAACAGGGACACACACGTACAAGCGCACACGAATGTACACACACACACGCACACACGGAGGCTGTGCACAGCAGGCAGGAGCTCTCAGTTTCCTGAATGGCCGCTGGCCCATCAGAAAGGGATACTTGGCTGTGGCAAGTCGTCAAGACCCACAGACGCATGGTGACCCCCGGCCACTCCGTCTCTGCCCCGTGCTGCCAAGGCCATGGCCTGGGCCAGGGAGACCACGATACAGCAACACCACACTGCATGCTGGGCTGGACACGCTAGACTCAAACCCTGCACTGTCCCCTAAGTCCCTTACCCCTCCAGACCTCTGCTGCCATCTATGAATCAGGGATGACAGTGGTGCCCCCTCGTCAGACAGTCATAGAGATGGACTCCAAAAACGCCCAGGAGGCGGGCCATGCCTAGCTCGGGGGCCCTGACGCATGCTAACTACTGTCAGCGTTGTCACTTCCTGACCCACACCTGCCCCTCCCTGGTCCGGAGTGGCCCTGGGATCCTTCGAGAATAATGTTCACCGAACAGGACTGTAGGCCCTTCCTGTGACAGGTCAGGCGGGAAGGGAATAGACGGGACCTGCAGACACGTGCTGAATGCCCAAGTGTTGCTTTAAACAGAGAGGATGGGGGTGCCTGGGGGGCTCGGTCGGTTAGACATCCGACTTCGGCTTGGGTCATGATCTTGCGATCTGGGAGTTCAAACCCCGCATCGGGCTCTGTGCTGACAGCTCAGAGCCTAGAGCCTGCTTTGGATTGCGTCTCCCTTTCTCTCTACTTCTTTACACGCTCTCAAAAATAAGTAAATGTTAAAGATAGTAATAAATAAACAGAGGGGATGGAGCAGATCCCCTCTGGCCCCCAACCCCCCACCGGCGGCAGGGCGAAGACACACTGGTAGGTGAGCAAAGGGTCCCTCTGACAAAGCAACACTTCCCCAAGACCCAAAGTGTCCAAAACGCCCTCCTCTAGCCTTTTTTTTTTTTTAATGTTTATTTATTTTGAGAGTGCAATCGGGGGAGGGGCAGAGAGAAAGGGAGAGCGAGAATCCCCAGCAGGCCCCGCGGAGTCAGAGCAGAGCCCAATGGGGGGGCTTGATCAGGACCTGAGCCAAAACCAAGAGTCGGAAGCCCAACCGCCTGAGCCACCCGCATGCCCCTCCCCCAGTCTTTTAAAGACGTGAAACCCCTCTTAGGTAGGACAGATGCTTTTATTCATAAATGCCACATGGGAACCACCAAGATCTATACGGTGGGATTCTCAGGGTGGAAAAACAGGCAAAGCACAACACACGTGATTTAGCGTCCCGGACTCTCAGACCCGTCTCTAAAAGGACCTAACTCCTCAATCAATAATCCAAGGATCTAACTCCATCAGTTAGGCTCCCTTGATTAAGAAAACGCAGAAGCCCACAGAAACTGTTCTGACAGGTTAGAAAGACCTAGCCTCGGATGCCAGCCTGGCCTGCTTCCCCATCTGTGAAACGGGAGCACAGTGATGATGTGCTTTTTAGCACAGGGCCTGGTAATTAAGGCTGCCGAGTGGCCTTGGCCTCTGCGTACTCACCTGATGAAGTACATAAGTCCGTTCAGAGTCACGGTCTTGGGGGCAAAGGACCAGGGCGGGAGCGGGCCACAGTCCACCAGCGACCACAGGTCCGTGTCTGGGTGGTAGCACTGCATCACCATGGTCTCCTTGCCGGCCAGCGAGCCAATGGCGTAGAGGCGGCCGCGGCAGGCGGTGGTGGAACAATTGTCCATGGGGTAGGTCATGGGCTGCAGGGCCTCCCAGGAGTCGGTGGCATGGTCGTAGCGCTCTGTGCTGTCCGCGGCCACCACGTACAGCAGCCCATCGAGCACGGAGGAGCTGTGGTACTCACGGGCCTTCAGCATGGGCGCCACCTCCGTCCACTCGTTCACGCTGGAATTGTACCTCCACACGCAGTCGTAGAGCCGGGAGCCGTCAGACCCACCTGCCGGGACGTGCATCGCACAGGTCAGGCCCCGCCGACGCGGGGTGAGTCACCCACGCGGGCCTCGGTGAACTCCCCAGGGCAGGAAGGAACCTCACTGGGTTTCAAGGTCAACACACACGGCTTCTCTCACCAAATCCCTGGCTGGGGCCCCATGCGGGGGGCAGGGGCTAAGGCAGTGCGTGTGCTGACCAACGCCCAGGGGGACCCCAGAGCTTCGTGCCACACGAACACCCCCAAGTCTGTGTGGGTCAAGCAAAGGGCCTGGAGCCATAAATCTAAGTAAACAGCGGTCGCGCTCTGGACCCCCACAAACACTGTCGAACACTGAACCAGGGTGTGGGTCTCAGAGCCAAAACTTCTGGGGGGCCACAAAGCATGTGATGGGGACACAGGGACTTGTCCACATTCGGAATCCTGGCCTTCCTGGACAGCCGCAAACAAGGCAGTGCCGGGCAAGCCGATCGGAAATCTACCTCCCACTGCAAGCAAGAGCCCAGTGCAAAAAGTAGTACTATGAGTGGAATCCTGGGGCGCCAGTTCTCGATTTAGGCACAAGTTACTGACGTGCTTCATCCAGCGAGGAAAAAAAAACAACAATCAAGCTCTTTCTATGTTTCTTTCCAAAAGAGAGCCAACCACCCCCTGCCCCCGGGAGGGGCTGGCTGAAATCATAAATTAATCCAGGTCTACCCAGAACATTAGAATTAGAATTCCCACAGCACGAAGGGGTCCCTGGAACCTTGACGGGGTCACATTCCCCATCCCCAAAGCTGGCGCCACAGGGCAAAGCACGCGTGACATCCTGTCTGTCTCACAGCCTTGAGCTTTTTAAAACACAAAGCTCTCACAAAGTGCCTTCTGCCTCCTTTCTTCCTCCTGAAGGAGAGCTGTGTCCCAGGCAGCTGAAGCCGGCTCTCTCGCCCCTGTGAAATTCCCTCCAGGCAGCTGTACGGAATGACCGGCCACCTGTCTAACCCCCGAGGATTAGCTGCTCAGCTGAGACATTTATGGAAGGGCCGTGCAAAGTTGGGGGCGAGTCTAACCAGTTCTGGGAGGGAGTTCACTGGCCAGACTTTAGTGTGCTGGGAGGGCGCACAGTTCCCAAACACAGGGCCAACCCCAGCCTGGAAAGGGACCAATTCCAGCATATTCCAGCAAACGCTGGAACAGAGCAGCAGGCCAAGGAAGAGCAGAGCACGTCCTTAACCCAAGATTCCTCCACTCGCCCGACTGGTGGTGTGTGGGGGGCTGCAGAGCGGGACACCAGGGCTCAGAGCTGGCTTTCTCCTGAAGGTGCCCGGCTGGACACATCCCTGGTTCCCTGACCGATAGCGGCCTTCCGCGAGGCCCAGTGCTCTCTGAGTCGGGTTCTTTCCTTATATAGCCGTCACAGAGACCGCCCCTCCTCACCCCGGGGAAGGAGGTAACCCCATGTCTGAACTGGGATTTATCTTTAATGAAAAATGTGGGAGATGCTCAGGACCCGAGCAGGCTGGGACCCGCCCAGCATGACTCGGCAGTGTTTTGGGGTTTGAGCCAAGTAACTGGAAGAAAACCTCCTAGCATGTGACCATGTTTACAGTGGCCGGCTAGGGAGCAGCCTAAACACCATGTGACAGCCCCCCCTCCTCCCCCCCAGCGCACAGCCTAGGTGCAAGGCTGAGGGAACCTCGTCACTGGTGACAAAACGAATGCGTCAGGAGGCCTGTGTGGCTCAGCTGTGCGGGAGAAATCCCCAGGACGGGAAATGGGTGTCTCATCAGCGCCAGTCCCCCGCCTGTCCCTGAATTCCTTAGGGAGAAAAAGAAAGCACCCATTGTGCCCGTGAATGCCCCAGTATCCTCTAACCAAATGGGGGTGGGGGCGCCTCCCGGGCAAGGAGGGGGCTCATCTGTCATCTAGGCTGCCTACCCCCCAACCCCCCACCCGGGGGAACAGAGAGACCAAGAGCAGCTGCTTGTCACCGCTCACACAACGGTCTTCCAGATCGAAGGCACCAACTCTTGAAGCGCACCCTCTGGCCAACCGGGGGGGGGGGGGCGGATGGGGCGCTCGCACTGTGGGACGGTCCCAGGATTCCAGGTTCCGCAGGTTTTTCCTGCCGGAGAACACGCTCTCCCAGGGACGCAGGAGACTAACACACCCGGGGCCCTGGCGGGCGGCCCCGGGGGCCCTCACCTGTCACGTAGATGTCGTTGCCCAGCGCCACGATGCTGTAGCCCCCGCCCAGGTGGTCGGGGAACTCGGCCAGGTAGCGCCACTGGCCCGTCTGCGGGTTGTAGCAGTCGACGGTGACCAGCTCGTCGCAGTCCTGGTCGCAGCCGCCCACGAGCACGAGGATCTCGGCCAGGCCCGTGGAGGGGCGCGGGCGCATGCGGGGGCAGGGCCCGCGGTCGTGGCGGTCGTAGCGCGCCGCCTGGAAGTCGCGCGCCTCGCGCAGCAGGCGCAGGCAGGGCGGGCAGCGCGCCACCAGCGGCTCGGCCTCGACGTGCGCCAGCAGGTAGAAGCGGCGCACGAAGGGCAGGCGCACGGCCTCGAGCAGCTGCGGCCAGTGCGCGGCGCGGCGCGGCGGGTCGGCGCGCACCCAGCGCAGCGCCAGCTGGTAGGCGGCCTCCTCCTTGGGCACGCACAGCCCGTCGTCGCGCAGGTAGCGCAGCAGGCGCGCCAGCGGCAGGCGCTCCAGCTGCTCGGGGCCCAGCTCGCCCACGTGGCGCAGGATGAAGCGCTGCGCGGCGCTCGCCAGCCCCGCGCAGCTGAAGGCCTCGGCGAAGTCCTGCATGTCCAGGCAGTTGGCCAGGTCGAGCTGCTGCTGCAGGAAGGCGCCGCACGCCTCCTTCACGGCCGGGAACTGCAGCAGGTCGGCGGCCCGCAGCAGCGGCTCGGCGTTGTCGCCGCTCACCGCCACGCGGCCCGTGTAGCTGAAGTCGAGCAGCAGCTGCAGCATGTCGGGCGGCACGCCGTGCAGCCGCACCCGCTCGGCGCGGCTCTCGCGCAGCTGCCCGGCGAACATGGCGCGGAAGTAGGGGCTGGCGGCCGCCAGCACGGCGCGGTGCGCGGGGAAGTCGCGCCCGCCCGCCGCCTCCAGCGTCACGTCCAGGAACTTGCGCTCGGCGCGGAGCTGGCTCAGGCCGCGCAGCAGGCTCAGCGCGTGCGCGGGGTCCGAGAAGGGCAGCACGGCCAGGGGCGCCGGCCGCTCCATGGCGCCGTCGCAGGGGGAACGGGGACGCGCCGCGGCCGGGGCCAGCGGGAGGAACGCCGCGCAGCCCGCGCCGCCGCTATAAGTACGGCCGGGCCGGGAGGGGCGGGGCGTCCGGGGGCTCCGCCCACTTAACCCCTCCGAGCCCGGCGCCGCCGCCCACCCCACGCGCCCCGGGCTGAGTCACCACCTCCCGCCCGCGCCCTTGCAGGGCTTCCCGCGGGCCCCGCGCCCGAGCCGGGCCTGCCGGGCGACGGGTGTCCTCTACGTCCGGGGTCGGGCCGGGCTGCGGAGCCGAAGCCGGCGGGGGCAAGCTCGGCGCCCGGAACCCGAGCCGCCCCTTTCGCGCCAGGCTTCCCTACCGGGTCCGCGGCCCCTGAGCCCCTGGGGCGTCTCGCTGCGATACCTTTTTCTTGTTTTGTTTCTGTTTTGTTTTGAATTCCACTAGTTCGGAGGGTTGCTAGTTACACTGCTCGCCGGGCCGATTTCAAAGGACAGGATTTTTTTTTTTTTTTTTTTAACAATTCAGGACCAAAGCTTGAGCAAGTCGAATATGCTTTTTAGGTGACGTTTTTTCTTGGCGCACTTGTAAGTGACAGCGGGGCCAGACGCCAGGAATCTGCTCCACTGTGTTCCTGCAGGAGTTTCAAACTTGACTAACTCGGTCATTAACTCTCCGCAGCGTACAGGGCGCGCTTCTGGTTGCCGATTCGTAGAGGCTCCGGCTCCAGAGCTGCCTTCCGAGGGCGCAGGCCCGCGCGGGCTGGACCCCCAGGCTCCTCGCTCCCTCCTGGAAATGGACGTGGGGAAGGCAGGAAACCTGAGGGTAGGAGACCGTCGTAAGCATGCAGGAGAACATGCCATGAGGCTGAACAAAAGGCTCAAGAATCAGAAAATTATAATAATATAAATAATGTCAATAATTCCGGGGAAAATGGCAGTTTTTCCTATTCCAGGAGAGGGGACACGCGGGGCCTGGGGACAGTGCCTTTAGCTCAAGGTCAGACAGGGGACTGCCTTAAAAACCAGGGATGTGGGCGTTCAGAAACGCCACGGTCACTTGTGGGGTGACTTCACAGAAAGGAATCTTCCTTATTGTGGTTCCAGTAAATACAATACCAGGACTGCACTTTCAATGTAACTATGTGAAAAAAATCGCTCCCTTGGAAGCCATGTTTTTTGTGGAGTGTCTGCTTTGCTCAGTTTTAGAAGACTCCGGTCGTTTTGTTTCTCAGAAGAAACCTAGGTTTTTGGTATTTAATGGCCCCCACCCATGCCCTGTGGGCCTCGCAGACACATTCCTGGTGAACGCCTCACCCAGGCGCCCACGTGTGTCCCGGAGTGGGCCAGGCACTGGGGCGGGGGGGAGGGGGGGGTGCTGTCATTTCTTGGTTCCAGCTGAGTGGCCACAACCTTTGGAGAAAGACATCTTGTTTTGATTCCATCTCTGAAATGCGAACTGCACGCTCTCTCTTGTATTCTGAAGCTCATCATCTTGCCATGAGAATGTATCTGGTCCAGATTTCAGCATGGGAGGCACAGGCCTGAGTGAAAAAACATTCAGGTACCCAGGCGGCCGCGTGTTGCCCATAGATGGACTGTTCACACAGCTATTAACGGCAGCGGCAGCATTCCTGGGCCCAGGAGCTCGGCCAATAGCTTACTTGCACAGGCTTTGTGACAAGAGTCTGAGGAGCCAGGAAGTGGGATGTTTGTAGGGAAAAGTACTACAGTCGCTCTGCGTCAGGCTTGTCCACCTTGCAGAAAGCAAATCTTTCATAAATCAAATAATGCTGCTCTAGTGAAAAACGGAGTCCAGTTTTGTGTACTTCCTTAAGCAAATCAGCCTTACTGTGAAGTCCTGAAGCATAATGATGCATATACGTATTGAAATGATAAGATATTTGTGCTGTAGCGTCGAGCAAAAATCTGATTATCCGTAGTATGAACAATCTGCTGTCTGTATTCATACGCCTACGAAGCAATTAGGAAGGCAACATGTCTTAGGTGGTGAGGTTTGTTTCATTGTTTGTGCTTGCCTATGTTTTTCTTTCCGTACTAAATATACATACTCTGTGTATTGATGAGATAATAGGAATTCAAAATACAATGAAGAATTCAGTTTTTGAGAAAAAAGGTATATTATTAATATCCTGGACCTAAAAGGGGAGCATTCGAAGCCATGTGTACATATCTAAGTCAACAAAGGAATGTGGTCAGAAAATAAAGGAACAGATTTAGACCCATCAGCTGTGTTTGGAAATTCGAATCACCTACTAACCCAGGCATGCTATCTAGTTCCTTTTTTCACTCAGCAACCATAAGAATTCAAGATGGGGGAGGGGAACCTCAGCGGTTCTGTTGGTTGAGCAACCACTCTCAACTCTCGGTTTTGGCTCAGGTCATGATCCCAGGGTTGTGGGATTGAGCCCCGTGTTGGGCTCCGCGCTGAGTGCAGAACCTACTTAATAATCTCTCTCTCTCTCTCTCTCTCTCTCTCTGTCCCCTCCCCTGCTTGCTCTAAAATAATTTTTAAAAAAAGTTCAAGATGGGGAAGTGAGACATTCATTCACTTAAGCGTGACAATGATACAATCAGCAAATTCTTCCAATGTCATTCCACACCTGGGGATGGTAGAAACACCAGCGTTTGGTAAGAAAGGTGTTAACTCTACAACCCATAGTTTGGGAGAAAATGTTCGTATTTAAAGATTAAACTTCCGGGGTGAGGGTGGCGGAGGGAGGGGAACAGAAAAAAAGATTAAATTTCAACCATGGAAGTTCTTAAAATTTACCTCTTCCAATATCGTGAAAATGGTCTTTGCCTGAGAAAGTAATGTGATTTGACAAATAATGGTACCATTTCATTTCTAAGAATTTAAACTATGCAATTTTGATATTTAAATTCTAATTTTAGGCAGACAGGACAAGAGGTCACGGAGATCATTTTATAAAAGCCGGTTATCCTGCTTTGTTTGTTTTTTTCCTTTGAGAACGTTTAGAAGCACTTACTTGCACATTTATACTATCAAAAAGAGATAATGTGTTTTTCCTATTGTACACCCCAATTCTTTACTGATTCTGAACCACCTCAGGTGTCGTTTGTAATGAACTTAATATACATAAATTTTCCTTTAAGGAATGCTACAGTATTCTCTATTTATTAAGTACGTTATTATATGTAAATGAGATACTGAAGGCAAATACTTTTATTTTTATTATCAGTATTTTTTAAATGTTTATTTGAGAGAGAGAGAGAGAGAATAAGTGGGGAAGGGGCAGAGAGAGAGAGAGAGAGAGAGAGAGAGACTCTAAAGCAGGCTCTAGGCTCTGAGCTGTCAGCACAGAGCCTGGCGTGGGGCTCGAACTCACGAACTGTGAGATTATGACCTGAGCCGAAGTCAGGCGCTTAACTGAGCCCCCCAGGTGCCCCTGTGGGTAAAAAAAACCTTTACACAGCATCCGGCACAGTGTTAGCTATGAATCCTTGTAGTTTACCTATATGAGTCATAAGAGAAGTTCATTTGACCTGTTTGTGCATAAGTTATTTCCCTCGCTATATAGAGGTGATAATACATGGTTTAAAAATGATTTATTAATGACTTAAAATTATTCTCATGTATATATTTATACAGTGGTCAGGTTACTAAAAGTTGAAAACAAGATGGTTTTGAGGAATTTTTACCTTTTTTTTTTTTTGTCTCCAGGAAATGGAAGTCAGAAAAGTCAGAAAACAGGGTGGGAAAGATCCATATGAATTCCTAAAAATAGACTATTAAAGCTGAATCACCAAAAAGTAATTCTGGGAGAAAGAAACCTCTGGTTATGTTCATACCTGCACTCAAGCACTGAGTTATAATGGTAGGCAGAAAGCTTTCCTGAATGTTCCCTAAATGAATGTAGTGTAGCCGTGGGATTTAGAAAGGTGAAGCTATATTTGGTAACCCAATTAAAATAACTACATTCTCAAGTTACTTACTGGGAAACTATGGTATTCTTAGTATTTTAAGACTTGTCACAACCTGTGCTAACGTTGGCTTTTTTCTTCCTCTTTTCTGAATAACTGTAATCATCAGCAGGTCTAATAATAATTATTATTTTTTTTCCTAAAGGCAGAAAACAAGGAATCATAGCCTCCAAGTACCTGGCTACTGTGGCTAATGTTCTTGCATTAGTCCGTGAATTCCAAATTTGCCTCCTGGAGCCCAGGTGTAGTACAGGACACCTGAGAAATAAACTAGACAAGACGACTCCATCACTCCAGTGTTGGTTTTTGCCTCTATTTTCTGTCTTTGTACTAAATACACATAATCTGTGTATTGATGAGATAATTCAAGTACATACTACGCTCCTGACTTTGGGTCGATAGTGGTATTATGGTCCTTCCTTGAGTCTAGGGATGGGATGGTAAATATTCATGTCTAACCCTCCTCCAGAGGGCTGAATTTTTTTTTTTTTATTTTAATGTTTACTTATTTTTGAGACAGAAAGAGACAGAGCATGAGTGGGGGAGGGGTAGAGAGAGAGGGAGACACAGAATCTGAAGCAGGCTCCAGGCTCTGAGCTGTCAGCACAGAGCCCGATGCGGGGCTCAAACCCACAAACTGTGAGATCATGACCTGAGCCGAAGTCAGAAGCTTAATCGACTTGGCCACCCAGGCGCCCCAACAGGGTTGAATTTCGAAGAGGACTCAAAGGAAGGAGACCAAGAACGTCCTGCATGAAGTTATTGGGAGTGGCAGGCAGGGAAACACACAAACATCAGGAAGTACTGGTCACATCTGAGTACCGAGAACTATTTGTTTTTTTTATTTTTTTTTATTTTTTTAATGTTTTATTTATTTCTAGGAGAGAGAGAGAGAGAGAGAGAGACAGCGTGAGCAGGAGAGGGTCAGAGAGAGAGAAGGAGTCACAGACTCTGAAACAGGCTCCAGGTTCTGAGCTGGCAGTCAGCACAGAGCCCGACGTGGGGCTCGAACCCACGAACCGTGAGATCATGACCTAAGCAAAAGTCGGACGCTTAACCGACTAAGCCACCCAGGCGCCCCTACTATTTGTTAATAACTTATTCAAGAACTATCTGTTGAACACCCATTCTGAGCAAGAGTTACCACTGTTAAGTGACACAATCCAGGTTTGGAATTTTCTTTTCTTAGTGTGTCAGAGTAGTTCCATTTAACGAACAAGTTCTTTATTTCAGTTTCTTAATGGGAGGGGGATTTAATTAATATTTACTATGTGACTATACTGTGGGAATAATTAGCAGTTAAAAAATTCCCTTTTCATTTATTTGGACTTCACCTCCAATCAATATTCTTTTTGGCATTTACACCTCTAAACTAACAAAAGAATAATATCCTTCCTGGCCTTTTTCTTTATTATTTATTTTTTTATTTGTGAGAGAGAGAGAGAGGGGCTGCGTGAGAAGGGGAGGGTCAGAGAGAGAGGGAGACAGAATCCGAAGCAGGCTCCAGGCTCTGAGCTGGCTGTCAGAACAGAGCCCGACGCAGGGCTCAAACCCACGAACCGTGAGATCATGACCTGAGCTGAAGTCAGAGGCCTAACCGACTGAGCCACCCAGGTGCCCCTCTTTATTATTTTTAAAATGTTTTTTATTTATATTTGAGAGAGAGGGGGGAGGGGCAGAGAACAAGGTTGACAGAGAATCTCAAGCAGGCTCCATGCTGTCAGCGCGGAGCCCCATGCAGGGCTAGAACTAAAAATGGTTGAGATGGTGATCTGAGTGGAAATCAAGAGTCAGACAGAGCCACCCAGTCACCGAATCTTTTCTTTTTCAGGCAAAACAAGTTGCTCTTGGTAATCTGACCCTGGGCAACACTGGCTAACCTCAGGACATTTGCTCTGGTTATAGTGATCAGGTAACATTGTAAATCCTGCTAAATCACCTGAATGTGACACCTGGGTAAGAAGCTGTTGATGATTTTTTTTCCACAGCCAAGTTCAATGCCTGTTTTTAATCTTGCTAACTTCCTAGATCACCTCATTTTGTTATCACAGTTGTGGATCTTCTCCAATCCCGGAAGACATTGCTGAAATTACGTTAATAAATAACAGCAAAAATACTAAACTATCATTTTAAAAAATACTTTTTAATGTTTTATTTATTTTTGAGACAGAGATAGAGCATGAGTGGGGAGAGGGGCAGAGGCAGAGGGAGACACAGAATCTGAGGCAGGCTCCAAGCTCTGAACTGTCAGCACAGAGTCTGAGAGCTGCTTGAACCCACATACGGTGAGATGATAACCTGAGCCGAAGTTGGACGTTTAACCAACCAAGCCACCCAGGTGCCCCAAACTATCATTCTTTGAGAAAGAACTCTGATAAACATTTTATAATTTAGGAAACTGAGGCTCAGAAAAGTATTTTTTAAAAAAAATTTTAATGTTTTATTTATTTCTGAGACAGTGAGAGAGAGAGCACGAACAGGGGAGGGTCAGAGAGAGAGGGAGACACAGAATCTGAAACAGGCTCCAGACTCTGAGCTGGCTGTCAGCACAGAGCCCGACGCGGGGCTCGGACCCAGGAACCCCGCCTCATGACCTGAGCCGAAGTCAGAAGCTTAACCGACTGTGCCACCCAGGCGCCCCTCAGAAAAGTATTTCTAAGATAAACCGCGTCCCTTAACTACTTGTTTTCTTCGGAATTATTTAAACAATATCAATGGAGATAGTCAACCAACACAGCATTCACTTCTTCAGATATAACCTCCAAGAGATTCTTCCCATCATCTTGTTTGATTTAATGAGCCAAGGAGTCGTTTTTGTGATTCAAATTTGATGTCACTCCACTTTAACACAGTTCCTTTGTCTTCGAAGCTACCAAACTTGTTATTGAACCATCTATAGACGTTTTCCTTTTAAACGGTTATCAGAAATGTTTAGGAACGGTCAGGCCTCCTCTGGTAATTTTATCAGAGCAGTTAATTTTCAACTAAGTGTTGAGAGTCAATCAACCTTCAGCATATAAAGTTGTAAAATACTCGGCGGTCCAGCATTTGAACACCGCAAAGTCCTCAATTAAATACCAATAAAATCAATGTCAATACCAAACATCTCTTCCAGGTTTTCCCCTCACCCACGGCTGTAATCCCATGAGGAATATATTCCGAAGATAATTCCATTAAAGTAAGAAAGCAGGGGCAGCCGCCAGATGAGGCAGAGCGGAAAAAAAGACACAAACAAACGAAAAGCTAATTTATGGCTAACATCTTCCAAAACATTGATAACTCCGGCATAGTTTTTAAAAACGCAGTAACTCGACACCCCAAAGTGGATCCTACGGACACCAGGAGGGCCGCGTTCCCGCCGCCCCGGGGCCCGCGGGACAGGGGGAGTGGGCCTAAATACCCCCGCCGCGAAAACAAGTTCGCACCGCGGGTCCGAGTCCAGGGACGGCCGCGACGTCAGCGCCCGCCGCCCCCAGTCCCGCCCGGGCCGCGGCGACCACGGCCCCACAAAGGGGCCCGAACCCCAAGTCCAAAAGGAGACGCCCGTTGCCGTCACCGCCCTCCTGGTCCAAGGCCGCCAGCCCCGCCCCCACCCGCCGGGGCGACCCCCGCCCCTCGCCCCCGCGGATACCGCGGCGCTACCGCTCGCGCCGCCCCTCCCCCACCGCGGAGCCGGCGCAAGCCTCCGCACCTCCCCCGCTCCAGCAGCCTCAGGTCCCGGAGACACCGCCCCCACAAACCGGGCAGCCGCCGCGAAGCTCTATGGGGATTGGAGTCCGCGAGGGGGCCTTTGTGCGCCTCAGAGACGCAGCTGGGACTACTACTCCCACAATGCCCCGCTCCCGCCCCCCCCCCGCGCCTTCGGCTTCCCGTCGCCCACAGACTACATCTCCCGACAGCCCTCGCGGCTCTCCCGCCCTCCCTCCCGAGACACGAGCCGAACTGGGCGTCAGGTCGGGGAGCGGGTCGGGTTCCCGCTCGCCGCCGCCACCGCCCCCCGCAGCGACTCTCCCGCCTCTCCCGCCGCGCCGGCCGCAGGAGCTGCATCGCCAACTCTGCTCGGCCGTAGAGCCGCCGGCCCGGGAGCACAGAGCCCGGGACGCAACACGCCGAGCCCTTCATCACCTCCAGCCGGGGCGACCCCTCCCGGGTCCGCCCTCGTTCTGCGCGGCCGCCGGAGCCCCCAGCCCTGAGCGGCTCCGCGGCCCGGCGCCCGCATCCCGGCCCCTGCACTCCCGTAGCCGCCGCCCCCCACCCTGAACATGGACTCCGACTCTTGCGCCGCCGCCTTCCACCCGGAGGTGAGTGAGGGCTGCGTCCCGATCGCCCCTGACCGCCCCCACTCCAGTCCTGCGCTCCCCGCAGCCGGACCCCCGCCGGCCGAGCGCCGCCCTCCCCTCCCCCAGTCTTCCCTCGTCGCCCCCTTGGGCGCCCAACCCCGCCCCCCACTCGGGCCCGCGCCGGGTCCTCCCCGCCGGCCCTCGCCTCGGCGTCCCTCCCGCGGGCGTCCGCGTTTTCCCGGCGCCCCTTCCCTCGGGCCGCCGCGCCCACTTCTCCCCGGCCTCGCGTAGCCCCGGGACCTGTCTGCGCCCCCGGCCCCTCCCCGCCGGCTTGGCTTACTCCTTCCCCGCCCCCGGGGACTCGGTCTCAGCCGCCGCCGCCTCGCGTTCCCGCTTCTCTGAGGAGCCCCCTCCCCCCCTCCCGGAGGGGCTCGCGGTCCCCCTCCGACGGGGACTCCGCTCCGCGCGCCCCCGCCTGCTCCCTTAATCCCCGGGGCCCGGTAGTCCGCGCCCCGCCCCCTGACTCCCGCGCGGCCCCCGCCCCCTCCGGCTCCGGGGGCCTACTCCTGCCGGCTCCCCACCCCCGCAAACACCCGAGCCGAGCCCCCCACCCCCGGCGCGCTCTCCTCCCCCTCCGGGGCCCCCGCCCCCCGGCCGCGGGCTCTCTCGCCCCGCCCCGGCTCCCCCTCCTTCCGGGGATCGGCCCTCGGTTCTCCCGGGCGGCCCCTCCGGCGCCCCGGCCTCGGTCCCCTCTCGTTCCCCAGGCCCGCCGGGCTCGGGTGCGGGTCCGGCCTTGAGTGGGTGGGGGAGGCGGCGCCCGGCGCGTTCGCCCGCCGCGCTGCCGCCTTGGGGGTTCGCGGGGCCCGTCAGCCCCGGACCCCGAATCCTGCCCGGCCTCCCGCGCCCCCCTCCCCCGCGGGATGGGCCCCGCACCTTCCGGGGCCGAGTGTCGGCGGGGGGCGGCTTCCGCGGAGGGCGGGGAGGGGGCCGCACCGCCATCTGCTTTTCCTAAAGGCGGCGGGGCGGCGAGGCGGGCGGGCGGGCGCGGTGGGGGCGGCGCGGGTCCCTCCGCCGCGGGCCCGAGGGCGCCGCCGCCTTGCGCTCCGCGTCCAGGCCCCTGACCCACTTCTGCGCGTTCCCCGCCGAAATAAAAGTTCTCCCCGAGAGTTTGAGGGCCGAGGGTTGCGGCCCTCCCCCCGCGGCCGGAGCGCGGGCGGTCAGTGCTTCCCGGGGGTGGGGGCAGGGTCTCTCCGACGCAGGAAATGCCGGGTACCTCTCTGAGGCCGGTGCTCCGCCGACCTGCGCGCCCCTCGGGTGCCAGCGGCCGGGGGTGGGCGGAGGAGAGGGTCCTCCGGAACCGAGTTGAGAAAATAATCGGAGCCTTCGGAAGGAAACCTGCGGGCGGCGCGCGGGTGCCGCGCCGCTTTCTGGGCCCTCCGTCCCGGGGAGGGGCCGGGCAGGGTCCCGGAGCCCACCCCTCTGCTTCCTGTCCCGCTTTCACTCCAGCAGGGTAGGGGGTCCCTGGGTCCTGGAAATGGGAGCGGAGCCCGTAAGGATGGGGTTGGCGTAGGTGCTAAAGCGCTTGAAGGAAACCTTGGTGAATATGCTGGCCGAGTAAACCGAAATAAAGCAGAGTTGTTTTGTTTCTTAGCAAATAAGGGTGCGTTCTCCCCGAGCTTCTGCTCCTGGGGAGAAAACCTCTTCTTGTTAAAGACCTTTCTAGATTGAATGGAGACAGGGCGCACAAGCCCAAATCCTGTAGTATTTCATCTTCACCCTGCCAAGTTCAACCCGGCAGGAACGTTTCTAGCTTATTTTCTGAGTCGGAGAACATTTCGGTGCTGGCCCCCTGGATGTGCGGTGTTGCAGCAGCAGAGAGCCGAGGGGGAAGTGGGCTCCCCTGGAGGGAGAGCCCAGTAGGAGGAGGGGGTCCTCCCTGGCTTGGGGGGGGGTCAGGCCTGAGTGTGCTCTGAAGGGTAAGAAGTAGTTGACTTTTGAAATCACTTAAAAATACTTTGATCCCGGCTGCGGCTGGAGTTTATTTTCAAAATGGAAAATCTGTAGCGAAAACACAGTTATTAGAGCTTCTGATAGGCCTGCAGACAGTGATAGATAATGTCGGAAAATGCCACAGGAGCACAAGAAGTAGATTCTTTCGCGTGTTTTTATCTGCCCACCAGTGCCCCAGTGTGCCTGGCAAAACACCACAATACCCTCCTTTCAGCCTCCTGAGTTCAGTGCTGGTTCTCGACCCAAACCTACCTTATCTTGTTTCTAGAGCGTTTGTAAATCGAGCCGCACATTTAGAGTGGTTGACAATGAAAATCTCCAGCTGGTTTAGTTTTGTCTCTGTGATTCCACTTCCAAGTGCCTACTTTCAAACACACCCCGTTTTCTCGCCCTGCTGACAGGAGTGCTCCCCCAGCTACAAGAGGCGCAGGACTGTGGAGGATTTCAACAAATTCTGCACCTTCGTCTTGGCCTATGCCGGCTACATTCCTTATCCGAAGGAGGTAATCTTCAGAGCCCCCCTTCTTGCTGCCAGTGAAGCCAGTGGCGCGAGGGGGTCCGGAAGGGGTGGTGTGGGGGGACTGCGGACGGCTCTCGGATAGAAATTTTCCTTGGAAGCGTAGACCAGTCTGGGAGGTGGTTTCTAAATAGTCGGATGGACGCCGTAGGTTTGTCTAGAAATGATTTGATAAACTCGAAGCGTTTGTTTGCAAAGAATGTGGTTGAAGTCGGCCCGCCCTGAGCGTCCAGTGCTCATCGAGGGCCTACAACGGCCGGGCCGTTTTCTTGGTCTTTATGATAGAAAGGGGCGGTTAGTTTTCCCCATTTAAAGACGAAGACGCTGGGGTGCAGGCAGGGAACTGCTTGCCCTGGGTCACAGGCTGATTACAGCGGCAGAGCCTGAGGCTCAGCCGGATGGTTAGGCCGGGTCCCCACTGTCCTCCTGGTGAGCAGCTCTCCATTTGAGCTGTGGGTTCCACGTTACAGTGTCTTCAGGGACTCTGTGGCCCAGATCCCCTGTGTTTAAGGGATTTCTTGTCTCCGCTAAGTAACGGGCAGGACTGAGGACCACCGCCGGCGGGGTGCTTGTATCGTACAGGGCTCGGAGGAAAGGAAAGCTGCTCAAAAGGCCAGACTCTGGCATCGGCTTAGCATTTCTGTCCGCTGTGGACGTGGATAACTGTGTCCTCTGTGCCACGCGGAATGTTGCCACTATTTGTAAATAAAACGCTTGACTGGTCTGAAGGAGCCGCAGAGATCGGCTCACGGCTCTGGGGCTGTAATTGCCTCCTTTGATTCTGCAGTATTTGGGGGATGTTTCCAGTTTTGAAGAAGAGCGTCAGGAACTTCTCAAAACTAATTTAAACTCACTTAATAAAAAGAAAGAAAAAACAACACCCCATTGGGAGGACAGCGGACGGGAGGTTGTACAATCGGGGAATGATAAGGGGGTTTGAGAGGGTGTCCTTGGCGCTTTTCTGGTTCCTCACTGGGCATCGAGTGAGTTCCTGGCGCGCTGGCCCGGGGGCTGAGGGCTCGGCAAGAGAAGGTCGTCCTCGGCGCTTAACGTGCTGTCTGGAAGGTCACAGTAGGGCAGGCACCACGCCGTCCCTAAAGAGTGCTGCTTAGAGAGCCCGGAAGGTCACGGTTCTGGTAGCCCTGGGCTGTAGGCCTGAGCCGGCTGCGGTCGCTCTGCCTGCCGCTGGCTCTTGTTGTCGCTGCCGCGGACCGGCCAGAGCCCTCGGGCCCCACGCCTGTGCCTCTGTCCTTTCAGGAGCTCCCTTTGAGGAGCAGCCCCAGCCCCGCCAACAGCACCGCCGGGACCATCGACAGCGACGGCTGGGACGCGGGTTTCACCGACATGGCGTCCGCGGTGCCCTTGCCGGTCTCTGACCGCTGCTTTGGCCACCTGCAGCCCGGCCTCCTGCCGCGAGCCAAGCCCAGTAACTTCTTGCTGGACAGAAAGAAAACGGACAAGCTGAAGAAGAAGAAGAAGAGGAAGCGGAGGGACAGTGACGTGCCCGGGAAGGAGGGCTACGTGGGGAGCCTGCTGAAGCTGGAGGCCGCGGACCCGTACGTGGGGACCCCCGCGAGCCCCGCCCTGCAAGGCATCCCCCAGGCTCCCGGCGACGCCTGCTCGGGCTGGGACTCCGACACTCCTTCCAGCGGGTCTTGTGTCACGGTGTCCCCCGATCAGGTCAAAGAAATAAAGACTGAAGGCAAACGGACTATCGTCCGGCAGGGGAAGCAGGTGGTGTTCCGGGACGAGGACAGCACCGGCAACGACGAGGACATCATGGTGGACTCGGGTGAGTGCTCCCCGGGGCTGCCCCGCCGGGGCTGCTGGTCCGAAGAGCGGGGGAGCGGTCCCTTCCTGCCAGTGTGACAGCAGAGCGCGCCCCGCAGCGTGTACGGAGGAAGGGAGCAGGCGGACACCGAGGTTTGGGAGGGAGGGGGGTGGCGATTGCAGCTGGAAACGGCGGCGGTTCCCGGACAAGCCTCCAAATACAAAAATAATCTAGCTTCTAAGTCAGCCTCTCGCGGTTAGTTCCTGGAGCCACACATTTCAGTGTCTTCCGTTGCACGCGCTCCACTTTCGGGGAGGGGAGCACTTAGGAGAGCCCTGCCCTTAGTGACAGGTGAAGTCTGGTGAGGATCGGACTTTACTGCCGCTCAGACCCCCCTGGAGGAGCGGGGGGGGTGGTGGATTGGGAGGGGTTGTGGGAAGGTTCTTCGCCTCCTTACATGTATCCCCCCCCCCCCCGTTCAGACGATGACTCCTGGGACCTTGTCACCTGCTTCTGCATGAAGCCATTTGCCGGCCGCCCTATGATCGAGTGTAACGAGTGCCACACCTGGATTCACCTGTCCTGTGCAAAAATCCGGAAATCCAACGTTCCGGAAGTGTTTGTCTGCCAAAAGTGCCGGGACTCCAAGTTCGACATCCGCCGCTCCAACCGTTCTCGGATGGGCTCGCGGAAACTGTTTCTGGACTGACTGTCGGTGAGCGAGGAGGCCGCGTGGGCGAGGAGTCGGAAGGGACGCTGGGCTCTTTGGGCCCTCTCTTAGTCGAGCACAGAACTCTCAGCTCTGCGGGCAGACCCCTGCCATTCAGGTGCCTAAGCAAACGGACAGGCTGTCCAAGGTCTAACCTGTACATAGTCAGTGACTGAATAAAATCCTCGTTGGCCGGAGCCGCTGCTGGAGCCGTGTTCTCTGCAGTGGAGGCGGACTCGGCGCTCTGGTACAGTGGGTTCGGTTCAGCTGAAAATGAGGGGACGTGGTGGTGGTGAACCCTTGCTGTCGTTGTTAACAAGCCCCCGCCGTTGGGAACGGGCTTGGGCTGTTACCCGCTTCCTGCTGTCTAGGGAGAGGAGACGTTCAAGTTTCCCGGGCCTGTTAGTGAACAGCCATACGTGTAAGCTTTCTCTCGAGTGTAAGTCTTCGACCATAAGTGTCTGTACAGCAACCATTCGGCTGCCCCAACCTTCATGGTCTGCCCTCTCTCCCTCCAGCTGTGGATGCTGCCATCCTCCCCCCACCCCCCTCCCCCACCCCCCTGCTGGCTGCCAGCTAGGGTCCTCTGGTCCCGCTCTGGGAGGAGCCCTGGGGCGGGGACCAGCGAGTGATCCCTGGGTTTCCTTCTGTTTGTTAAAAAGGGGCAGTGTGTGGCCACTTCTTGGTGGAAAAGGGGTTGGTTGGGGGGGTGGGTTGAGGTGGCCCGTGTTCATAACTCAGTTTCCTGTTTTGCACGATGTAAAAAAAAAAAAAAAAACCTGTCTTTTTGCACGATATAGCCAAAAGTATTGGCAGATTTCTGCCCGGGTGCCCTTTCCGGTTGGTGTGTGAGGTCCTGGGGGTGCCCGGCAAGCTGCTCTCCAGCGCAGGGCACTTGGATCCTGCCCTCCTCGCCCCCTCTCTACTCCTGTAGCAGCAGAAAAGGCAGGCGGTCACTGGGGAACGGCGTCCTCTACGGAGTGAGGAAAGGAAGGAGCAACCTGAGGGGAGGCATGTCCTGTGGCCGACTCTCCCCATGCCCTTCGCACAGGCTGGCCTGCTGGTTTTATGGGGCAAGGTTAGGATTTGAAGTTGTGTTTTTGTTTTTGTTTTTGGGGTGAATTGGTGAGTGAGTGGCTATGGTAACATTGGCCTCCAGGAACATGACATTGGACGGTGCAAACTCCCTTAGGGCTGAACCAGGACCCTGGACCCGGGAGCCTCCTGGGCAGGCAGCTCTGGGAGTTTGCGCCCGTGGCTCCCACAGGGGACGCTGGCGGCTCCGGGGCCTGAAGGGAGAGGAAGGCTTCCGCTTTCTCCAAAGTTGACAGTACCCTTGAGCAGTTCGAGTACTCTTTTCTCTAAAACGTGGTTTTTTTTTTTTTGTTTTTTTTTTTTGGTAAGTGGATGGGTGTGTTTTCATACGCATTGTTTCTTGTGAAGCGTGGAAAAGGAAGGATGCCCAACTCGGTGGGTCAATACTTCCTTACATTTACAGTTGGGGTGGACCCCCCAGTCTCTCTGCGTGGGTGGGGGGGGGTCTCCGCGTGGCACACTTGTGTGGGGCCACCAGGGGGATTCTATTTGTATTCTCTCCCTTAGGCCCAGTGGGGGGAGGTTGAACTCTAATTGGCTAATGGGAGCCCGTTTTCTGTGCAAGTATCTTTCATGCTTCACCAGCCAACTACCTTTTGTTTTGTTTTGTATTCTGTTGCGCATATTAACACAGAGATAGAAATAGTTTCTGAAACCTAGTTTATTGTGAAGATCCCCAAGGGGGACGTTCTGTTGTAGAGAAACATAGTGAGGAAAGCGGGCTTAGAACCAACCTTCTCCCCGGACAACTGTCTGGCTCTGATGAGGGCAAACGTCCAGGAAAAGTTGGAGAGGAATTTGCCAAAGATCTGCCTCCTGACATCGCCTGTCCAGTGTCTTCACCATGAGAATAGCCAAAGTTCCAAAGTGTTTTTTTTTTCTTTTTTAAGAAAAACTCCACAAAGTTTTAAAAGTGCATGTAAGAATATGTATGATTTTACAGTGGACCCACCAGCCCGGGCGACTGCTGTTACCACTTTTAGAGGGGTCAGTGCCTGGTGACGCCTCTGGAAGGTACTTGGTACTCATTTTGATTTGTTTCCTTCATTTCCTTTTTGTTCTTTGAATAGATCCATCAGTCCCTGTGGGTGGTGTCTAGGAAGTCAAGACACCTTGGTTTTTGTGTTAGCTTGAGCTGGGCAGCTGCAATCAGCTTTATGCAAATTCGGCATGGCCCATCTAGGGGCTCCGGGTTGGTGGCTGATAAAGGGAGGGGAGGGAGATGTCACCCCAGAAGTAAGCCCCTCGCATAGGCATTGGCCAGGCCAGACACTTAACATCGTTTACATGGTTCTGTGTAATTATAAAGTTTATGTGTATAAAGCGAAGCTGTTTCTGTGAAACTGTATATTTTGTAAATAAATATATTGCTACTTTGAGGTTCCTGCCTAGCTTCAGGTGTTTTGTTTTCTGTGCTGAAGGGCGTAGGTGTGGCTGCTCCCTTCACCCCCTCCCCCTAATGGTGATCACACAGAGACCTGGGGAGACAAGTCAGAGTTTGGTTTGGCAGGATGAAAGTGCCCGCAACCCTTCTCCTATGCCTCTCTAGTAAATTCTCCAGAAACAAACCACAGCGTGGATAGCTTCCACTGTCTCCTCAAACCGGGTGCATCAGCCTGAACCCCCATGAGTGGTTCCTGCTTTGTAAAAGCTGCGGCCTCCCGCGAGGTTCTGCGAGTGCATTTGCAGTCTCCCAGGGGTGCTCCTTCTGCCCCTTTACACCGGGGCGGGGGGGGGGGAGGGGAGTCCCCATCGCCTGTGCCTCCTGTCAGCTGTGTCTGCCCCCCTCTAACTTGGGACCAACTGGTGGTCAGTTAGTCCCTCCTCCAGTGACTTGAGCAGCCCAAATCCACGCATCAACACCTGTTAAAATCTTAGCAATGCTGGCCAGCTTGGGCCGCGAGCCCTCCTCGGGTTTCCAGGGGTCCAAGGCTGTGGTGGGTGTGTCTTGATTCCTCAAAGCCAGGAGGCGAGGACCAGGGCTTTCAGCGTGGGTGGAGCTTGCACCCGCGGCGCTGTAGGGGTGTCGGGCCTGAGCTGGGTCCGGGAGCACCCGTGACGGGGCACCCCAGAGCCCACCTCACTCTGGCGATGCGGGTGGCAGGGAGCTCGCGAGGCGGCGGCCCAGGAGCAGAGCAGAGGCAGGCCCGCCTCCACCTCCCGGCCGCCCCGCCCCGCTCCCTGGCCCTGCCCCCTGCAGCCCCCCTCCAGTCCGCGGGCCCCGCCGTGCCCTGCGGGCCCCGCCCCGCCCACAGGCCCCTCTGCCCCTGGCCCCGCCCCGCCCGCCGGCCCGGCTTCGCTCCGCAGGCTCCGCCCCGCCCTCTGGCCCCGCCCCGCAGGCGCGACGCCGCCATCTTTGTTAGGGGCGCCTGGGCCTGGCGTTTGGAGATGCCGAAGTCGTGCGCGGCCCGCCAGTGCTGCAACCGCTACAGCAGCCGCAGGAAGCAGCTCACCTTCCACCGGTGAGGGGCGGGGGCGCCGTGGGGCGCGAGGGCCCGGCTGCCGACACCCGTCGCCCGTCCGACCGGCCACCACCCCCGCCGGAGCCCAAGGCCTGGCGCGCTGGGCGGGGACGCCGGAGCCGCCGCCCGGCCGCGGGGGAGGCCCCAGGGCGTGCAGCTGGGCCCTTCGCGGAGGGGCCGGCGGCCCTGGGACAGGCGGGGTCACCAGCGGCCCTGTGCCGCCTTGGCCGGCCTGGCCGCGTGGGGCGACGGTCGGAGAGGCCGAGCAACCTGCTGGGGGCGCCGCGGGAAGGTCGGGTGCGGAGGGGCCCGGCGTGGGCCGCCCCTCCCCAGGCCGCGCCCCGCAGCACCGAGCATCCACCGCAGTTCTGGGGTCTGTAGCCCCCGGGGCTTGATCTTGTTCACAGGTGCAGCCTGGAGCTTAGGTGCCCAGTGTGTACTGGCTGAATGCATCTCCAAATGAATGAGTGATGGTGACGGCTGTCGGGTTTGCGTTGAGCTGGCGGCTCTTCTTAGCCCCGGCCAGGCCTCCTGTCGTGAAGGGAGGGTGCCGGAGTGAGAACGGGGGGTGTCGGGGGAGTGGGGTCTGTCGTCGCGCTCCCAGCCTGTCGGGCCCCGTGGAGTACCGGCTCCCTGCCCAGGAGAGCACCGGTTCCGCCACCGACCGTGTTTCTGCTGCCTTTAGAGCCCGACCCCGGGGCCAGCCTGCACGCTCTGCCTCCACTTCCTTCCCTATTACCGTTTTCCTTTTCAAAGTAAATCTTTTTACTGAAGCATGAGACCCACAGAGGAGCGCACAAATCGCCCACAGTGGGGCCCATTCCACAAAGCGGAGTGACTGCTGTGAATGAGAACATCACCAGCCCCTGGGGAACCTTCGGCCGCACCCCTTCCCTCCCCTCCTTCCCTCTCATCCCCAGGGGTGACCCATATCCTGCCTTGTGTCAGCGTGGGGCGCTCTGGGCGGTTTTGAGCTTCCCGCGTGGACTCCAGCACTGTGCTCTCTTGTGTCCCCTGCTGGGGCTGTGGCTGTGAGCTGCCCGGGCCCAAGCGCAGTGCCTTCCTCTCCATCTCAAGCGGCGCTCCTCTGCTGAACGAATCTCCCAGAATTGACTTGATCTACAGTTGAAGGGCATTTGGGTGCCTCCGTATTGTGGCCATTTCAAGCACATGACTGTGGACGTTTGTGCCCGGCTGGGTCGTCCTGTCCACACGTCGGTTCTGCAGGTGCCTGGAGTGGAGTCGCTCCCATTCTCTCTCCAACTCACTGAGTCCCCCTCCTGCCTCGGCCACTCCCACAAAAGAGCCCTGCCGGGTCCCCAGGGGCCCTGCCCAGGTTGGCGGTCTGTCCTCACCTGCAGCGTTTGGCCCAGCTCACCGCTGACCCCCTGCAACACTTTCCCACTTGGCTTCTAGGGCACCGATGCCCTCTTCCTCTCTCAGGGTCTCAGGCTCCTTTCCTGGCTCCTCCTCATTTCCAGCACGAGCCTCGGAGCCCTTCAGGGCGAGGGCCATGGCCTTGTTCCCTCCCCATCCGCTCTTACTCCCCAGGGCGCCCATGTCTCCCACGCTTTACACGGGGATGCCCCCCCATTCTGAAGTGTCCCCCGCCACTCCACCGGGACGTGTAAAAGGCGCCTCAAACTTAGCATTTAACATGGAGAAGTAAAATTCTGATCCCCCCAACCTGCCTCCTTACAGTACCCCCCCCTCCCATCTTAATCCATGAAACTCCTTCCTTCTCTTTATTTTCTAGCGCGCAGGCCGACGTCACTGCACAGCTTTCACAGTACATCCCAGCTCTGCGTGCTTGTGACCGTCTGCTGACACCCTGGTCTCGGTCACCAGGTGCCCTCCCTCTTCCTCCACCCTCTACCAGCACGGCCCCCGCCCCCTCCCACCAACCTCCTGAGCCCCCTCCCCCCCCACCTCCGCTCATGCCCTCTCGCCAAACCTGCCTCTGACCATGGCCTGACCGTGGCCCCAACATGCTGGCGCCCCCGGCCCGCTGCCTTTGCTGTCGCTCTTCCCTCAGATCCCTGTGCCCCACGCTCCTGCCTCCTTCAGCTTCTGCTCAAAGGTCACCTCTTAGGAGGCCTTCCTGACCGCTTCACTCTCTATTCCTACACAGTCTAGATGTGTTTGGTTTACAGTCGGTTTTCCTGTTCTCGAACGTGGGCTCCGTGAGGGCAGGACTGTCATTCATTCCTCCGTCCTGGTGCGGGGGGCAGGCTCCTGAGGGAACCCGCACAGGCTCACTCCGCACATATACCTTCAGAAGGTCTGGCCACGTCCATGGCCCCAGATTTCCTACTAATGATGCCATAGGCAGCCACTATGGAAGCTTCCAGAAATCAGAGGCAGTTTAACAGAGTGAGATTACTGAGTTTTCCAAGCCGTCCGGCGAAATCCCATGTGGGATTTTCAGAATTCAGAACTCTGTAGAGCCGACATCAGCTTTGCAGATTCCTTCCCATCTCCCTCCTTTGCCTCCTAGGTTCCCATTCAGCCGCCCAGAGCTGCTGAAGGAATGGGTGCTGAACATCGGCCGGGGCAACTTCAAGCCCAAGCAGCACACGGTCATCTGCTCCGAGCACTTCCGCCCTGAGTGCTTCAGCGCCTTCGGGAACCGCAAAAACCTGAAGCAGAACGCTGTGCCCACGGTGTTTGCCTTTCAGGACACCGCGCAGGTGAGCCCAGCGCTCTCTCCAGATGCGGCCGAGGGACCCAGCGGGCGTGCGGGGTGGGGGTGTCTGCAGGGACAGCCCAGGTGGAGGCTGAGAACAAGCGAGGGCAGCCCCGTCAAGCCTCCAGGGTTCAGAGCCCAGCGGCCCGGCTGGACGTGACCTTTCCTTTAGGTAATTTGCACTGTGAATTTACCCTTTAAAAATAGATCACGCTCGGGGTGCCTGGTGGCTCAGTGGCTCAAGCGTCCGACTTTGGCTCAGGTCGTGATCTCGTGACCTGTGGGTCTGAACCGCACGTCGGACTCTGCAGTGAGTGTGAAGCCTGCCTGGGAGTCTCTCTCTCCCTCTCTCTCTGCTCCTCCCCCACTCACGATTTCTCTCTCTCAAAAATAAAAACTTAAAAAAAAAAAATATATATCTATATCACTCTTTACAGACTGGAGCATTGAGGCAGCTGATTGGTGGCTGTGCCCAAATCTTGGTCCTTGATGCATTTCACATTTGCTGGGCTTGAGGCCTCACGGCGAGGATCTTCCCAGTGCAGGGTGGCAGATGTGTCACATTCAGACCTTGTCCTTTTTTTTTAAGTTTATTTTGAGAGGGGCGCGAGGAGCAGAGAGTGAGAGGGGGAGAGAATCCCAACCAGGCTCTGTTCAGTGCAGAGACCAGTGCGGGGCTCAAATTCATGAACTGTGAGATCACGACCTGAGCCAAAATCAAGAGTCAGATGTTCAAAAAAAGAGTCAGATGCTCAACTGACGGAGCCACCTAGGCGCCCCCTTGACCTGGTCCTTTTCTTCTGAGGAGCCAGCTGGGGCCTGAGAGCTGCGGTCCCGGAACGGGGGGCTGAGCCCCTCCACGCTGGCCGAGAGCGCTGGCCAGGGTGCGCAGGGCGGGCGCAGGCGCAGTGCCGGAGGGGTCAGGGGCCGGGTGGGCAGAGACTTAGAGACGGAGGTCCTGGGACACGCTCACAGACGGCGTCAGCTCAGGCTGGTTCGGGGTTTGCAAGGGGCCAGATGGGGATGGGCTCAGATAGGCTGGTTTGCTGGGTGAGGCGCGTGGGCACGCGGCTGTGGACGGCTCCCTCTGGCCGGGGCCTGCGGTGTCGCAGGTAAGCGCAGCCCGGGTGGCCTGAGCCGAAGCTGGGTGTGGTCTGGAGCGCAGATGGACCCAGCAGGCCCAGGGAGCGGGCTGGGGAGGCAGTGCTTGCTGAGCCCCCAGAGGACGGGGTCCCTGACCGAGTCTGGCCGTGTGCACGTGGGGTTTGATCTCCCAGCGGGACACTGAAGTGGCCGTGTCCCAGTGGGGCGGGACGTGCAGGTTTCTCTTGGGACAGCTAGCTGGATGTCGAGGCTGCGAGGGGGATTGTACTGGATTTCCTAAATCCCGAAAGTGTCCTAGGGCCAGAGCGTGGGCCGCACGGAGGGGCACCTTCCTTAACCCAGAAGGCAAAGTAGTGGCGGAGGCGACCCAGTCTCCTGGCCGCGAGAGGGGAGGGAGTTACGGGCTGTGGGGACGCGCGAGTCCCTGTGTCCTGCGTCGGGGCTTCTGCCCTCACGTCCCCTGGAGGAGGGGCCTCCCCACCGCCGTGTCCGTTGGCCCCGCTGGCCTGCCTTCCCTTCGTGCTGGCTCCTCTGGGCACCACCCCAGCTGCCGCGCTCGGTGAGGGCTGGGATTTATTTCACAGCTTTATTCCCAACACCAAGAATGTGGCCCTAACAAGGTAGGTTCTGTCTGTCTGTTTTTTTTTTTAAGTTGTTTTATTTGAGAGGGAGGGAGAGAGAGAACGAGTGTGCGCACGGGCACGAGCAGGGGATGGGGTGCGGAGAGAATTCCAAGCAGGCTCCGTGCTCCTCACGGAGCTGACGCGGGGCTCGAACTCACGAACCCCGAGGTCATGACCTGAGCCAAAGTGAAGAATCAGCCACTTAACCGACTGAGCCACCCAGGCGCCCCACGAAGTAGGTTCTCAACCTGTGTTTGTCGTCTGTTGTTTCAACACAGAAGGCCTTTTATTTTTGAGATATATTGTTCCGTCTTATTTGACTGTGGTGAGAACACTTAATATGCGATCTGCCCCCTTGACGACCTTAAACATACAACAGAGAACCATTACCTACAGCACGATGTGCCACAGTGTCTAGAACTTGCATCGTGTTGCTTGACTGGAACTTCATGCCCTCTGATTAGCTGCCTTCTCCGTCAGCGCGTGTTGCTAATGGGGTTTGATTGCTTCTTGGACATTTGTGGTAAAAGGTGACCCCTGAAGGGTCGGTACAGCCTAATGGCTCCGGGCACGTCTGCGAGCCCAGCTCTGGGTGCTGCCCGTGTGGAGCTGGAAGTCAGCGTGGGCTGCTGGTTCGGGCCTGTGGCCGGCGCCTCGGCTCTGTGGACGCCCTGGGACTGGCTGTGGGCATGAGGCAGTGCTCTCTCCTGCGTGGCTGTCCCTCAGTGAGCCAAATCTGAGTCGCCTACTACCGCGCGCCTAGCCCGTCGGGCCCTGGGGTGACGCGTACAAATTAGGTCTGTGGTTTCACAGGGCCTGTTTACTGGCGTCTGACCTAAGATTTGGGGAGAGAGAGAGACAGGGTGGTGACGAGAGCGGGGCTGGATTCAGAGCATCATCGGAACTTGGGGCTGAGCAGTGGGGACAGATACATGCGGCTGGGCGCCAGGTGCGGGTCTCGGGGTGCCCTCCTCGGCCTCCCGGAAGCAGGCCCGGGGGCCTGTGGCCACTGCTCTGTCTCTTGCAGCTGGTGAGGGAGAACACGGACCCGGCTGCTGGGGGTGCGGATGTGGACCCCGAGAAGGAAGAGGTGAGTGTGCGCTGGCCCCCTCCAAGTCCAGACTCGGGCCTCGATGGGGGACACCGAATGGCCAGCACCCGCCCCTGGGCTGGCCTGCGGGTGTCTGTCGTGCTCTCCACATAAGCCAGGGGGTAGGACTCCAGGTTCTCCTAGGGAAGGGAAGGCAGAGGCTCCCCGGCCTCCTTCCTGTTTGGTCCCGAGCAGTGAACGCTGGCTGCTGGCGCGGCTCGTGCCCGATTTCGGGGGGTCGCAGGCCAGACCGCAGAGGGGCGGGCTGTTCAGTTTCCGCTGGGCCCCTGGCCGCGGCCGCCCCCTCCAGGACGGTGTGAAGGGATCCTGCTGTTCTGCCCGCTTCTGCCCCACTGTCCATAGGTGGCCTCGGAGGCGGGGCCCGCGGCGTGTGGCCTGGGGAGGAAGACCGACGCCACCCTCGAAGCGCTGCCCCCGAACGCCGGTGGCCCCGCGGAGCAGGTGAGGCATGGACCAGGCGCCAGTGCAGCGCGAGGTTGCTCGGGTTCTGCAGGGAGTGGGGCGGGGTTTCCCTTCATCAGAGTGAAGCCATCCGGTGCCCGGGCTGCGAACATGCCCTGAGCGGGCGGGTGAGGACATCAGGGGCACTGTGGGCATTGAGAGCCAGGCTGTCCGTGTCCCCAGCCGTCCCTGCCCCGAGGTGGTGGCTGTGCTCGGCCTGGCTGTCAGCCCCTGGCCCTGCCTCGCCCTCACACGCCTCTGTCCTCAGGTCCTGCCGCAGAGACTGCAGGGCAGCCAGGTGCCCGGTCAGCCGGCCGGCCCCGCACAGTCATCTGATCACAGCTACGCCCTCCTGGACTTAGACGCCCTAAAAAAAAAACTCTTCCTGACTCTGAGGGAAAACGAGAAGCTCCGAAAACGTGTGAAGGCGCAGAGGCTGCTGATCCAGAGGGTGTCCAGCCGCCTCCGAGCCCACAGAGCGGCCCGGCTGGGAGTCCAGGCCGGGCCGCGGCCAGAGCAGCATAGCTGAGCCGGGGCTTTCCAGGAGGCGGGACGGTGGCTCTGGGGCACTGGCCGGGGAAGGACAGTGAGGCCTGCTGGGCCAAGCCTGGGGGGAGCAGCCCAGGCCCCCTCAGGGGAAGTTCAGCGGCATCAGCCCAGGACAGGGTGGGGCCATGAGTGAGACCAGCTTGGTCCTGCAAGCTGTCCTTCCAACAAAAGCTGGGTGGGGTCTTCAGAACCACTGCATGAGGCAGCCTGAGCCAGGGTGGCCGAGGCGACCCCGCTGGGGAGCAAGGGCACTTCCCGGAGGGCAGCTGGGCCCAGGCTGTCAGTCGGCTGAGTGGCTGGGACCCGCCAGTTCTCAGGCGTGCCGCCTTCCCCGGCCTGGTTTGAGCGAACGACATAATAAAGTGTCTTCCTCCACCACTTTTTTTTTTGAGACTCGTGTTACAGCAGTTTGCCTTTACAAAAGCCCTGCAGCAGCACCTGCTTTCACTAGCCTCGAGAGACCTAAAGAGGATTTCACTTTTAGGAGAAAACGTGAAAAGCAGAAAGAGCGATCGGTGTTCGTTGTGCAACGGGCACCGCTGGGCCCCTTCCCTGGGAGCTGTGCCGGCATCGAGCCGCCGAGCACCCAGCAGTCTGAGCCTCTGCTTTGGCTCCGTTCTATGTGTCCGTTAGTACTTAGTAAGATGTACCCTAAGGTATCCGAGAAACTGAAGAGGTGACTTTTTGGATATGGAAATGCTCAAAAATGTTTCCATGTAAATTAGCAGTAAGTGCCTCTTTGCTTTATGCCATTTTGGTTTGAAGGTTTCACAGGACCGTTGTGTGTTCAGAATGGTGGGAAGAGACCCGAAGGCATTAGCTGGATGGTCTCTCTCCTTCCGTACTTTGTGGCTGCTGAAAAGACTGACTTCTGTTTCCTGTTGAAGAGCAGGCAGGGCAGGGCATGACCACCTTTGACTACGAAGAAAGGGGACTTTAATAAAAACAAATCAAAACCAAACAAAAACAACAACAAACAGGAAAACAAGAATTCTAAGTGATCTCCTGACTCTGGATTCCGGTTTTGCAGGCAGATGTCTAAGGTGTAGACCAGAACCATGGCTTCAAGTTCAGCCTCATGGTTAAAAATGTGGTTAAAGGGGCACCTGGGTGGCTCAGTTAAGGTTAAGCATCCAACTCTTTGATTTCAGCTCGGGTCATGATCTCACGGCTTGTGGGATTCTCCCTCTTCCTCTCTCTCTGCCCCTCTCTGGCTCTTTCTTTCAAAATAAACTTTTAAAAATGTGGCTTGCTTTAAAATTTTTTAAAATGATTATTTCTGAAGGGGAGAGAGTGAGAGTGAGTGCATGTACAAGTGGGAAGGGGGAGAGAGAGAGACAGAATCTGGAACAGGCTCCAGGCTCTGAGCTGTCAGCACAGAGCCTGACATGGGGCTCGAACTCACAAACTGAGATCATGACCTGAGCCGCAGTTCAATGTTTAACCAACCGACTGAGCCACCCAGGTGCCCCAAAAATGTGGTTTGAATAGCAACGAAACATGGAATGAGGCCTGGGGGTGGGGGGCACTTGCTTTATTTTGCTTGCCCCTAACAATGAACACACAGGATGCATTAAAACACTATCCTGTATTCAGGAACGATTTATTATGATCAGAGTGTGCCTTCTGTACAGTTCATTTCTGACAAAATCATGAGAATTGGTGCCCTGAAGAGCCACCTGCCACGGGAGGAGCGTGTGGCTGCGCCCCAAGGTCAGATATTTCACGCCACACTTATTGCACGATTTACATTCAGAGCAGCAGCTCAGAGGAAAACTTTCCAAAATGGAGATAAATACTATAGAGTTGGACAACCGAACTGTTTCTGGAAACAGGAGGAGGGGGCGTTAGCGACCCCGGGGCGTCGATGCCGGGGAGTGAAGCCTGGTTTCAGCAACAGCCAGCTGCAGGGGCCTGTCAGAGCCACCACCAGCCAGGGGCCTCTTTGCTCAGTGGTGACTCGAGGTCCACACACGGGGCTGTTTGGGACCAGCCGGCTCCTAAGTATTCTGCATCCACAGAGTGAACAGTGAGGGAAGGGGACCTTGGGGGGTGGGCACCGGAGTCCCCAGCGAGGAGGGAGCTGGACCAGAGGAGGTGTGGGGGGGCAGCAGCGCCACCTGCTGGCCGCGAGTGAGAGCAAGCGAGGCCTGCCTGGCTCTCCCTGGGCTTGGGGTTTGGCACGCACCTGAGCCAGGGGCTCTGCCCCATGCTTCCCCTCTCTTCCCCGGCCCTGGCCCTGCGCTCCATGTGGGGGGCAGAGGCAGGTCAGGCTGAGCCGCGGGGGGTGGGGGTCCGAGAGGGACAGCCTGGCTCGCATCTGCCTTTCTCCACAAGGCCACGGGTGGCTCCTGGGAGGAAGTGACTGGTGACAGGGATGGGCCCTGGGAGTCCCAAGCCCCTGCCAGTGGAATGATTCGAGAAGTTCTGGGAGGGGGGAAAAAAGACACTGATTTCCAAAACCATTCGTTCTCAGATAAAAAGCAGATTTATAAACCCACACGATCCTCTCCAGATTCATTGAATAACATTTCAGCAGGAACAAGTGGTTTTTGGGAAGCTGACCAGACAGACGCTCGCTTGTTCTGGAGGCTTCTGCTCGTGATAACACCTTCCTTCTTTTTCATTCTGCTTTCCACGCTCAGTGTGGATTTCGGGAGGAGTTCACAGTCCCGTGTGCGAGGCAGGACGCTCCATAAACGCCTCAAGACAGACCGAGAGCTACCGGGTGGCTGCGGTCGGTCCGCGGGCTCAGGAACCTGGGGGGGGGGGGGGGGGGGGGGGGGGGGGCCCTTCCCTCCAGGGACATGATCCTTGGGAAAACAGCCACAGGCCGTGCTGAGGCTCTGGTCCAGGTGGGGCTGCCTGAGTCTTACCCACAGCACCCATGAAAGCGGGGTGTCTGTGCCCCTCCACGTGACTGACACGGTGCCACCTTCTATAGGAGTAATATAAAATAAACACATCTGATGTCTGGGGTTTTTCCCTGCTTCCGAATTTGCAGACTCCCGGGAAAAGATTTGTTGCAGCCTCTTGGAAATCTGGTTTCTCAAGCGGTCTATCCATCTGTGTCAATCCTGTGAGCTGTAAAAGACAAACGGAACGCATCAGAAGACAACTGTCTCCAGGCCGTCCTCCCGCTTCTGGGGCTCGGCCGTCAGCGGACCAGTGGCACCAGATGCGGCTTGGCCTATGCGAACTGCGGAGAATCAAGCGGTTCTGGGACCGGGAGCAGCCGGGTTTGCTCCCTGCCCAGCCCCCCCGCAGCCGCAGGTGCCAAGCAAGGAGCTCACTCGTATCCCAGCAGGGGAGGGCCGCCAGCCCTCCTCGGGGCATCCCGTCCTGGGGTCTGGGCAAGCCACGCGCTCCCAGGTGGATAAGAGAGGGCTGTCACTCTACCTCGGGGGTCCGGGTCCCCATCGGTGGCTGAGGGCCTGCCCCGGGCGCGGCTACTCACACTGCTTTGGTATCCTGAGCGCCTCGCTGTCCGGTGCCATCACCTGGTGCAGGACGCCTCGGAACTGGTAAAGCACTTTCAGGCTCTTCTCCTCCCCCACGCACGGGTCATAGAACCCGGGCAGCCCGGCCTGTAACACACACATTCTTACTCAAGTTGACCTGAGGTGGCGGCGGCTGCCGCCTGGACATTCAGCACGGACGGGCCTGGACCCCCGCTCAGGAGCCGCCGGCCGCAAACTGCAAGTGTCAGGAGGCGGCCGACGTGGCCCCAGGCTTCTCTCAACATGGACCCCTGCTCCCACACGAGGCATGGCAGCCGGCCGGACCTAATTCGCCTTTACCGTCCCCGCCCCAGGCTCCAGCGTGAGCCTCGAACGTGCTCCAGGAGATCTCACGCGCTTTCTGGAGAAAGGCAAGGAGTAAGTAGGTGAGCCCCAGGAAGGCAGAACGTATGTTTCGTTTGCGGCTCTACCTGGCACACAGTAGGTGCTCAATAAACACCCAATCACCACTTGCCATGTGAATGAACGAAGGAATGAACCTGGGCGCGGCCGCGTCCCACGCAGCGAGCGGCAGCGGCACCAGGGGCTGCGATGGAATGGCCGTGCCGCGGCGCCAGGCCGTCCCCACTCCCCAGAGGCCTTTTCTGACCGAATCCTGTGGCGTGTGCTGTACCTTGGAGGCCTCCGTGAGGATGAGCTTCGAGTCCTTCACCAGGCACTGCAGGGGCACGGTCACGTCAATCACCTTGACCTTCTCGCTCTTCTTGCTCTTGTCGTTGACGAATTTCCCATACCAGGCGTTGACGATGATGAGCCCTGAGGATGGGCTCAGTCTGAGCAGAGGCAGGTCTCGGCCGGGCACCCCTCGCACGGCCGGACCGTAGGAGCGGGGTGCTCCTTGGAGACCCCTGGCGCCCACCCTGCCCCCAGAGAGGGCCATGCCTTCTCACCCATTCTAGACTCTTCTGCCTCAATTATTCTTCGGACAGATTCTTGCATCAACCGAACCTGCAAAGAACAAGGATCGCCGCTGTCAGGACCTCCCCGGGCCCCGCCTCTGTTTGGAGCACCCGTGCCTGGGTGCACTCTAGCCCCGCGGTTCACGAAGAACCCAATGGGACCGCTCATGCTGGGCATCTCTGTGAGGTCACATGGAAACGACTCACGTACAGAGAAGAAAAGGAAGACAATGCCTTCCAGTTCTGAGAAAACCCCGTTACGCCTTTGAGGGTAACTGCATCTAATCCGTAGGACGGGGACGGAAGTTTATGGCAGCACGTCCCACGGGCAGTGACGGACTACAGTGACCAGTGGAGTCGTGGGCCCCGCCCGGAGGCCCCTGGAGCTCGGGGACTTCCGGGGTCGCGTCTCTACGGCACTTACGGCAGCTTCCGCCTCTTGCTTCTTCTGTAGAATGTCAGTGGCTGTGCTTTCCCTTTGCTTTTCCAGCTCCCTCAGGTGAGAAAAACACAAGGCACATGTCAGCGTGGGGGGCGCAGCAGACCCCGCGCCGGCCCCGCGCCCGGAGGGCCCGATGCCTCGTTCTGGAGCTTTAGAAAACACCTCCAAGACAACCTCAAGCAAGTGTGTTCACTTGAGGCCTCTGCAGCTTCCCTTCCTCTTGTCCCGGGACGGCCCTCCGCACCCTCCCCGCCCCCACAGCTGACAAGGGTCTGAGCCAAGTGAGAGGTCAGAGGGCCGGGGCTTTGGATGCAAAGTCCGCGTCCTTCCCCAGCAAAGCACGGGGACTCGGGGTAGCGTGCACTGTCCCCTCAGGACACTTGACCCCGCACGTTCTTTGCTCTGAGCCTCAAGCCTCCTGGGGAATCAGGGCCCTGGGCTGCGGTCAGTCAAACGCTACAGGAGCCCCCGAGGAGAGTCTCTAAGCCCGACGCCTGACTACCTCAGGCCGTTGTGAGTAACGAGGCTACACCACCTCCCGACTGGGTGTAACACCCCAGTGGGTTATCTACCAGCAACTGCAGAACAAATCAACGCTTTGGGAACTTCCAAGCCTCCGGGGAATGCACGCCTGTGTGCAACTCCACGCCGCTCCTCCTGTGCTCAGTGGCACGAGGGGAAATGGCTGGCCCGAGGACTGGGGACCCTGTTTCCCGTGGTGGCGGGGTACAGCCCCGCACAATTCTGTCGAAGCAGCCTCCCCTTCTGGAAGTAGGAAGGCTGAGTGAAGGGCCCGCAGCAGCAGTAGCGCCGCAAACACGGCCAGCACGGATGGGCCCTTACTATGGACCGGACGCCGGGCTGAGGCTTCACACGTACTAGTTAATTTCATTTTCCTAACAACCGTCTGAGTAGGTTCTATTGGTATCGTCTCCGTCTTAAAGACACGGAAGCTGAGGGGCACCTGGGGGGCTCAGTTGGTTGAGCGTCCGACTTCGGCTCAGGTCATGATCTCACGGTTCATGGGTTCGAGACCCACGTTGGGCTCTGTGCTGACAGCTCGGAGACTGGAGCCTGTCTTCGGATTCTGTGTCTCCCTCTCTCTCTGACCCTCCCTCCCCTGCTCATGCTGTCTCTCTCGCTCTCTCAGAAATAAATAACACATTAAAAAAAAAAATGACAGGGAAGATGAGGCAGAAGAGTTGTTAACCGACGTCCCAGTGACACGTTATGAACTCACTTCTCTTTCTGAGCCCTGAGGTACGGCTTGATGACCAGGCGGTGAAGGGCAAAGTAGACCACGAGCGGCCCCACGGTGGCATAGAACACGGCGCTGGGAAGGAGCTGGTCCGTCAAATGAATAGGGAAGAAGTAAGTCTGACTGGCCCTGTTTAATCTGAGAACAAAAATGAAACAGAACACCCTGGATGAGTCACGTTTCCAGGGAAGGGTAATGGAGGCCGCAGCCACGGGAGAGAGACACAGAACACCAGTTATGAGGAACCCAGAGTCTGGGTTTCATGAACCACACACCTTCTGGTCCCGATTCCGAAGTGTAGCTGCTGGATTTGTGGTCTGTGACGGAAGAAAGGTCACACTACCTGCTAACCTCAAGGGCAAAGCAATGCCAACCACTTGCCCGGAGTGAAGGTGGCCTGAGAAGACGGGAGTGGGCACCTCCAGAGGTCCTGGGGACAGAATCCTCTCAGCTGTCAATTTATCAAATTGAAAGAAGCACGTGAAGATCTCCAAAGGTAGCAAGTTAAGGAGCTTCTGCGTCCAGTAACGGCCAAGTAGCTCCCACGGGAGCAGTGACCCCACAGGGAACCCCTGCGACTCTGACCACTAACAACAAAGTCTCTGGGTGGCGGGGACACAGGCACAGGACGCTGAAGGGCCCTTGGAAGTTTCCTGGTTTTTGTTAACAGCTTTTAGACTGAGCACAAGTCTCGGCGGCTGCCGCGTGGCTGGGGCCACTGGAAAGAATCGCAGTTCTAGGAGCTGGAAGACCCAGAGCTCACGGTTAGAGGCAACCATGGCAGCTGGGAAGAGGGGTCCCCCAGCAAGGGGAATCAGAGATGGGGGACCCCAAATTCTTTGTATCAATGTGGCACAAATCCCCAAGGCCTTAGTGGATGGTGAAATAATTGTGCTGGCCTAGCTGCTGCCACACAGCGGAGTCCCAGCTTCAGCCTGACTTCAGCCAAATTAATTACCTTAAAAAGGAAAAATTAACATTTCTGAGAATCATAACAGACTATAGAGTCTCTACAATGTACTGTTCACAATACCCACCAATATGATACAAATCACCCTATACATCTAGATATGCAACAAGAGAAAGAGACAATGAACCGAGAGCAAACCCAGACGAACCAGATGCTGGAACTAGCAGGTAAGGATTTTATTTTTTTTAACGTTTATTTTTGAGAGAGAGACAGAGTGCAAGCAGGGGAGGGGCAGAGAGAGAGAAGGAGAACCAGAATCTGAAACAGGCTCCAGGCTCTGAGCTGTCAGCACAGAACCCGACTCGGGGCTTGAACCCATGAACCGTGAGATCATGACCTGAGCCCAAGTCGGACACTTAACCAACTGAGCCACCCAGGGGCTCCTGGATAAGCATTTTAGAGCAGCTTCTTCTTTTTTTTAAAATGTTTTATTTATTTCTGAGAGAGTGAGATAGCGTGAACAGGGGAGGGTCAGAGAGAGAGGGAGACACAGAATTGGAAACTGGCTCCAGGCTCTGAGCTGTCAGCACAGAGCCCGACGCGGGGCTCGAACCCACAAACTGTGAGATCATGACCTGAGCTGGAGTCGGACACTTAACCGACTGAGCCACCCAGGTGCCCCTACAACAGCTTCTTTACGCTCAAAAGGGAATATTCAGTGCACAGCAGACTAGAGATGACAGACGTCCATGAACGTGTAGACAGACCAACAGAAATTATCCAGTGAAAGAACAGAGAGGAAAAAATCCCGAAGACAAATGGGCAGAGCCTCAGAAACCTGCGGGACTACAATCAAGAGGTTTAGAGCTTAAGTAATTAGGGTCCCAGGAAGAGAATGGAACAGGAATGAATACTTGAAAAATTAATGGCCTAAAAGCTCCAAATTTTATGTAGGAAAAAATTTACAGATGCAAGAGATGTAGCAAACCCCAAGTAGCATAAAAATAGCAAAAAACACATGTAGGTACATTTTAGGTGTGGACTGTTGAAAAACAAAAAAACCGAAAAATGAAAAAACCAAACAGAAAGGTTGAGTAGCTAGGAAAAAAAAAAAAAAGACCCATCACATGCAGGGGGTCAATGATTCCCCACTGACATGTCATCAGAAAGAATGGAGGCCAGAAACCAGTAGCATAACATCTTCAGAGCACTGGGAGAACACATCTGCTGACCCTGAATTCTGTATTTAGGGACAATGTCCTTTGGAAGAAAAGCAACTCCAGAACTGACAAAGAAAACTCAAAAAAAAAAAAAAAAAAAGAGAGAGAGAGAGACCAAATAACCCAATAAGATACCAGATAAAATACATGAATGAAAACTTCGCTTAAAAAAAAAAGGGACGGGGGGGCGGCGCCTGGGTGGCTCAGTTGGTTAAGCGTCCGACTTTGGCTCAGGTCATGATCTCACAGTTCGTGGGTTCGAGCCTTGAGTCAGGCTCTGTGCTGACAGCTCAGAGCCTGGAGCCTGTCTTGAGATTCTGTGTCTCCCTCTCAGAAATAAATAAAAACATTAAAAAAGAAAGAAAAAAGGGACGGACGGCAAACAAGCACCTGGAGGCGCCCAGTGTTGCGGACGTGGATGTGGATGTGAGGGAGACGCACATCAGTACTGCAACAGGACAGGCTCACACACCTGCTGCAGCGGCCGGAGCGGCCAAGGCAGCGAGGGTGCGGAGCGGCCGAGAGCTCTCTCTCGCTCACTTGCTCTCTCTAGGCTGCTGCTGGGGAAGTATCAGGAAGCCACCACCTGGAAACAGCTCGATACTTTCTTACCGAGTGGAACACACTCCTACCATGTGGCTCAGCATGTCCGCTCCGGAGGGATTTACCCAAAGAAATGGAACCTTCTGTTCACACAAAACCTGTGAGTGAAGGTCTACTGGCTTTATGTATAGTCGGTAAAAATTGGAAACAAATGAAATATCTTTATTAAAAAAAAACCCAACTTTTAAAAAATGTTTATTTATATTTGAAAGAGGGGCGCCTGGGTGGCTCAATCTCAGCTGCTTCCACTAGTGAATTCTAGGAGACTGAAGGAATAAATCATTCTCCCACAAATCCTTCCGGAAAACAGAGGAAGAAGGAACACTTCTAACCCATTTTATCAGGCTGCCATACACATCCTAAAACCTGAGAAACATGTAACAGAGAAAGAAAATTACAATCAGTGTCCCTTAACATAGATGCAGGGGCGCCTGGGGGGCTCAGTTGTTTGAGCATCCGACTTCGGCTCAGGTCATGATCTCACGGTTCGTGGGTTCAAGCCCCGCGTCGGGCTCTGTGCTGACAGCTCAGAGCCTGGAGCCTGCTTCAGATTCTGTGTCTCCCTCTCTCTCTGCCCCTCCCCCTCTCATACTCTCTATCTCAGAAATAAACATTAAAAAAAAAAACTTATAAAAAATGCATAAAAAGAATTATATCATGATCATTATGATCAAGTGGAATTTTCCTCAGGAATGTAAGGTTGGTTTAACATTCAAAAATTACTGTGATTCACCAAATAAACAGAACATAATAAGAGTTAACAAAGTCAGATCATGTGTTACTGCTGAACTCGGAGGCCTTCTGGAAAACTTCGGTTTATACAGCAATACAATCTGGACAACCCAGCCTGCTGACACGGGGAACTCGGCAGAAATGAAATGAAAATGCTTCTTTCCAAGAGGCAGAGCGGCACTTTCGGGATGAAAATTCAGTTTGGATTGTGTCATGTAGTATCTGCCTGGGAGAAGTGTTTAAAAACAGAACTGTCTCGTGAGCAGTCCCAATTTGGGACTAGAAGGGATCAGAATGCAGAAAATGTGTCAGCTCTCTGTGCGCTCTTCAGTAAATCCCAGGGGTCCTCAGATCACTGGGCGGACAGAGGCCCAATGCGGCCCTGATATGGGTGACTTGTGGGCTCTCCCCTCACCCCGCGATGAGGCGGGACCTGCTTCCTCCACGTGCCAGGCTGTGTTCCAGCCTCTAGGACTGCGGTACAGAGTACAACAGGCAAGGGTAAAGAGCCTCTGATGAGGGGGTGGACGGACGACCAGAGGCAGATGTGCGGGGGTGGGGGGGGGTGAGCAGGGTTATGTGGAGAAGGTCTGTCTGGGGCACACTGAGGGGTGCTGCCCCCATCGGGCAGTTAGGTGACCTCTGGGTGGAGCCCTGCGGAAGAGCAAACGCACAGTCTGGTTGTAGGAATGAGCAGCTGGAGGGGAGTGGAGCGGGGGCAGCTGGGGGAGGCGGGGTCAGCGGGAAGTGGGGGCCTGACCGCGGAGGGTCCTGAAGGGCTCTGGCTTTTGCCAGGGATCGAGGGAGTCATTGAGGTTAAGCAGCAAGTGACAAACACTGACTTACATGCACAGCCCGTGGGGAGAGCAGGGGCATCAGGGAGTGAAGGAGATGGGTCAGGAGGGCACTGTGGTGACTCAGGCACGAGACGGTGGGAGCAGACAGCGTAAGGAAGGGTCCCATTCAGGAGATGCCTCCTGAGGACAGCCCAGGTGCTTCTGAGAGACATTCACTTTGGAGGGTGGGAAAAAGAGTGACCAAGGCCAAGTCCAAGGTTTTGCACGGAACAATCTGAAGGCTGGGGCCCTCACGACTGGTATGGGGAGGCTCTGGGCAGAGACGTTGGAAGATTGAGAGTTGAGACAGAATGTCTGAGATGCAGGAAAAGGGTTTGGGAGACAGGGGCCGCGGGGGGGGGGGGGGGGGGAACCAGGCTGCAGCTGCCAGTGTGAGCGCTGTCAGTGCAGGGAGGTATGCGGCCACCAGGGAGGGAGTCTACACAGGCTGGGACCACGTCCCACCATGTGCCGCCATGTAGAAGCAGCCAGCCAGCCGGGTGACAGAGGCGGCGCGGAGGCTGGACGGCAGGAAGGACTGTCCCTGGGGCGGCGGTGAAGGGTCCGGGCAGACGGCAGCCATCTGGGAGAGGGCACACGGATGCCGCATCTGCTGATGGCGACCCTGCACGTGTCCCACGTGTGCACTGCTGATGAGTGGGTGGGTGGGGCCAGCGCCGGGGCCACCAGGGGAGGGGGAGACGCAGGCGGGCCACGGTGGTGCGGTCCCTGACCGCAGCCTCAGACCCTACGCGACTCCTTGACATTTGCTTCCCCTCTAGGCCAGAAGCAACCGTATCTTTAAGAATGAACTTAAGAACGAACGTAATTACGAAGCAAAGTCTCTTTCATCCTTAACATGGGTGAAGCCCAGGTGAGTTACAAGCTGCCAGATGAGCCCCGGCCAGAAAGATCCAGTTCAACTTACTTGACTTTGAGAGACACGCCCTGAGGGACTCCCACGCTGACAGCTGCACCCAGGACGCTGTGCCTGGAGATCTTCCTCTCGGCCCCGTACTCCACCACCGTCCCGAAGAAGCCTGCCCTGCAGGGAGCATGCGGCCTGAGCAAGCCGGGCCCCGAGGTCCCCTTCGCCCCCCACCCCGTCCTGTCCTTCCCTCTTGCCCTCCCCACCCCCACCCAGAGGGGATCACGAACAACACCCAGGGGCACAGTTCTTCCATCAGACTCAAGTTCCTCAGGGCGGGGACGGCGGGGTGGTAAGGTCCGGCTCCGCCGTTCGGAGGCCCCTGTAAAGCCGGCAGCAGGCCTGCTTCTGGTCAGCCAGGCCGGGACTTACTTCAGGGAGCCCTTCACGCGAGTCTGATCATCGTCCTGGAATTTGTGCTGATAGCTGATCAGTGCAAAGGAGTGAGGGATTCCAAGCTGGGAAGACACGGGAGGAGAAGGCTGGGCTAGTGGCCCAGACCCGCGGGAAGGCGGGTGCTGTGCGCGCACGGGCTGCTGAGCCCCCCTCCTGGGCAGGCCTCTCAGGCAGGGGCTGCGGTCTGTGTGTGGTTTACCAGCGGCCGGTATTTAAACCTTGGGGGAGTTCGCACAGAAACCCAGCTTACTGACTTCTCATGGAGAGAAAACATTCTGACAAGGAGCCTGCATTCTTACACGCAGCAGGCGGCGAGGGCTGAGGGGCAGATGCGTTCGAGCTGGGGTGGGGGGGGGTGTCTCTCGCCCTGCGCCCCTGCCCAGCACAGTGGCCTCTGAGTGCGCGACTCTCCTCTGGGGGTCCCTTCCCACCCTGCGCTCTCTCCCACCCTGACTCTGTGGGCTTCTCCTACTAGAAGATGTGAAAAGGGCATTTTTGCTTTAGGATAACTGGACCCCAGCTACTGTTTCCACGCTCCCGAGTGTGCGTGACCCAAACCTGCCCCTCGCGGCCCCCTGGGTGCTCAGGTCCGGGCGGGATGACGGGGGTGAGGGACATAAGGGACACCGAGGGGGCAGCTCCGTCCTCACCTGCAGGGCCACCGTGAAGTGGCTGGTTTTGGTGTCCCGGACGATGCTAGTGTTCATGGCTGACTGGATGCCCCAGCGCCACTGCAGGTAGCCCACGGTGTTCTTGTCCAGGTTCCGGGCCAGGACGGTGGTGAGGCCGGGCCGGACCCCACGGGACGAAAACTGCAGAGCACAGTTTGTCGTCACAAAGCTGGGGGGACACACAGACAGAAAGGGTCCTGGATGACACCTGCTTCTCGGCTGTTCCGGGCCCCTTCCTCTCTGCCAGGCTAAGGCCCTGCCCTCCCTCCCTCCCATCTCTGCCGGAGCCAGTGCCCCACAAGGAAAACAGGACGCAGAGCCTGGCCTTGAGAGGGGGAGCGAGAAGGTGCCTTGGGCAGTCTCCCTGTGGGGGTGTGCTGCGGGCCCCCTTCTGTTCTGTCACCACAAAGAGGCACCCGAGTGTCTGTGTTCAGAAACCCACCGGGTCTAGCCGACTGCAACTTAGAATCACGTCAGGGCGGGAGCAGGGAAGTGGGGGTGGGGGTGGGGGTGGGGGCGGGCGGGCAGGTCCCCCAGTTGGCTGCGCACTGGAATCACTGGCTCATCTAAACACATTACAATTACTGACGGTCGGCTCCCACGGCCCAGCATTCTGACTTCCCGGCCTGGAGGGTTTAAAGCTTGCCCGGTGATTCTAATGTGCAGCGAAGTAGGAGGACCCCCTGCCCAGAGACCACCCCAGACCAAGGAAGTCAGAGTTCTGGGGCGGGGCACCAGGCATCAGCATATCGGTTCCCTGACTGCCCACATGACTCTGGTGTCCACCCACGGCCGTGCACTTGAGAAGCCCTGAAAGGCCTCGGAAGTTGGTTTCCAAAGGAGTCAGCCCCATCTTCTGGTTAAAAGAAGGTATTTCATTTCAACGCCAAAAAAATTCACACTTAACCCGAAGCATTAAAAGGTGAGCAAACAGCCGGTCTTCTCCGTAAACAGCGCGCTGTCTATCAGATTGCTAAAGCCTCGGTTCTCGGTCTCTTTCCTAAGCCTGCAAGGCGTCACTACTGCCATTAAGCAATAATAAATGTGACAGCTCTGATCGCAGCATTCTCACAGACTTTCAGGAACTTCTTACAGCCAAGTGAATTAAGATCTACTCCTCTCCACAGGGCCCGGAGCCCCAACTGTCCCTCACTTCTCTCAAGTCACATCAGGTGACAGCTGCGGTATTCCACTTGGGCCACAGTGGGATCAGGGGGAGGCAAGTGGGGAGGAGGGAGACTAAAGCCATCCTAGAATTCGAAGACAGACAGTGGCATTTAAAAGAATCAAAACTATAAAGACTGAGATCCCTGTTTAATTAAACTAGTAAGATTTAGTATTTTTTTCTTTAATGTTTTATTTATTTCTAGGAGAGAGAGAGAGAGAGAGAGCGTGGGCAGGGGAGGGTCAGAGAGAGAGGGAGACACAGAATTGGAAAGAGGCTCCAGGCTCTGAACTGGCAGTCAGCACAGAGCCCAACGTGGGGCTTGAACCCACGAACCGTGAGATCATGACCTGAGAGAAAGTCGGACGCTTAACCGACTAAGCCACCCAGGCGCTCCTAAGATTTAGTATTTTTATCCAGCATGCCCTACAGACAGAGAGCAATTCTGGAGACAGATGGGTCAGGCAGGCAGGCAGGCACGGGGAGACGGAGAGCACTCCACAGGCCGTCTACCTTTTCGGGGCTGATTCTACACCCCCAACCAACCTTCTGATCGCCAGTCTGGACCCGCAAATCGCCTGACCCTAGGATTAGGGCAACTTGAAGAGCAGACACTGCACATCAACACCCTGGCACCCTTGTCTACACACCTGCATCCTCAAGTCTCATAAACGACTGGACACCATGACGAAATTCACTTTCCAAACCTGTAAAGGCTGGTGACCAGCCAGCCCCAGCCCACCACCCTGGTGACTGCTCGCTTGGAGGCTCACCCAGAACGAGATGGCCCACAGACTTCCCTCAGGGGTGTCTCCTCAATGCGTCTCATGACCTGGGTGCCTGATAAAAGTACAGATTCCTAGGCCACTCAGAGGACACGACTGGTGTGAAGCTGGGGGGGCAGGAATCCGTGCTCTTGGTCAGCACCAGGGTGACACACCCACGCAGACAAGCTTAGGATGGGCCGGACGGGTCATCCCCTCGGAACCTGGTGGGTGTGCAGATTGCAGATCCACATCCGACGGCAAGTGAAAACCTTTCTTTTCAAACACAGACTCTCTCTCAGGGTTCCTTTAATTGTTTTCTCCCCTAGAGGAAAGAGGTTTTATTTCGCCTTCCACCCAATTCTCTTCTCTGAGCTCACACTGGTGGGAAATAAGGACACCTCTGTGGTTCTAGACGGGCAGCGATGTACAGTTCTAGGAGTGGGCCTTAAAGTGCCAGCGTCTGCACATCTCACTGCCAGGCAGTCTCACACATGCCTCACTGTTTTGTTTTGAGAGAGAGCAAGTGCGAGAGTCAGGGTAAGGACAGAAAGAGGGAGAGAGAAAGAGAATCCTAAGCAAGCTCCACACTCAGCGTAGAGCCTGATGCAGGGCTTGATCTTACGACCTTGAGACCTAACCTGATCTAAAATCAAGTCGGACGCATAACCAACTGAGCCACCCAGATGCCCCCTCACTGTTTGATAAAGACCCTTTTCAGAACTTGAAACGTTCTCAGGAAAAAGAAATGATCCCCTCGAGTTCATAAATATTTCAGGCCACTGACCACCTTCCCAGTGAAGGTGCTTTCCCTCTAGTCTCTCTATCCTGGTCCTCAGTGCCCCCGGAGAGGAGGCGGGAGGCTCGTCCCCACAGAGGAGGAAACTGCAGAGCAAGGAGCAGAAGCCTGGCCCAAGCCAGGAACGAGCAGCAGACGAACCCTCCCCGCACCTGCCCATCCAGGGCTCTCTGCAACATGCACCCTGTGCTGGCTCTACGCCAGCGCCACAGGGTCTGCCCCTCGTGACCTTGTAGGACAGAAAAGGTAAGTCCACATGACCTTGGCAAATAGAATACTCTGGTTCTAGTCTCCTAAATCCACAAGGACCAACAAAGAGAATCTCTCTCTATATTTACCATCTTGGTGTGAGATTACGGAAGAGCTTCAGACCAAATAAAGGTCCCTGCAGATCCCCGGCTCCAAATTCTAACTGTTCAAAACAGAAAAAGAGAAGGTGTTAGTGTTTTCTCTCATATAGCAGCAACCCAGGTCTCTGGTAAACACCTCTGGTTAGAATTCCTTTTCGTTTCATGCCATCGGACCCTGCCAGGGCTCCCACAGTAGGAGCTGGAAGATTCTTAACACCTTTTCCTAACCTCTGGCAAACGGAGGACTGTTTCCACAGATGCAGAGGAGGAAAGGGGCTGCTCTAAAGGCAACGCTGCAGGCCTCTGCTGGTCACAAGGGGAGCCCGGCTCCCTGTGGCCCTGGCTGGCGTCTGCAGAGCAGCCTGCTGCGGTGGGGCACCGGGTCCCCCCTCCCTCGCGTTCCCGGTCTGCTCCACTTCATCGCCTGAGGGTCTTCTGGGTGACTGGGGACGGTCCTCAAGCGTCTGGCACTAAGTCGTGGTCCCTCACTCAGCCCGGGGGGTCCCGCCGGCTCTGGCTGCCTCATTTACTAGTCTGGGTGACTTTCAAGGCAACTCTTCAATGTTAATTTGATGCAGTTCAACGTGCTCAGCAAAGCTGGCTGTTAAACGACTGCCAGTCAGTGGAGCGGAGCCCTGACACAGCGCCTGCCTTCTGAACCGGGCGGGGACGGGAAGAGCCTACAGGTTTCTGCAGGAAGGGAACAGATGCGGAGTTTCTCGAGGTTGGATTTCTGTAAGGCGGCGTCTGAGGGGAAATCTGGCTGCTCGGTCCCACCCTGGAGCCGTCCAGCAGACAGAAGACTCCTTCTCAGGCACGAGACGGAATTTTCTCTTTGGGACAGTCAACTCATGCAAGTTTGACATCTGCTTTTTTATACGATGATGAGGCCAACGTAGGTCTTTTTGAGGGCTGGCTTTTAGAGCGTCAGTGTTCAGAAATAAGACTGCAATGGACAACATGATCCTGACAGTCAACACTCTTACCTCTCCCCAGCCCTTCGCGGAAGTGACTCGTCTAAGCGCGAAGTTAATGGAACCCCCTCCATTTCCATTCTGGGTTGAGAGGCTTCCGGAGAGGATGGCTGTGTCCGTAGCTGTCAAGGGTGCCTAGGAAATGACATTTGCTGGTAAAGAATGAATCAGAGCACCAGGAAGCACAAGGGTGGCAGCCTGATGAATACAGCGCATGTGCCCGGCCAAAGGTGCAGGGGACCCGCGGCTCAGGTGTGCCAGGATGCCCGGTGTGACCTCGGCCGGCTCACTTCTCTCCCACTTTGCCATCTGAACTGCACATGGCCACCAAGGTCATGTTCTGCAAAAGTGTTAACGGGCACTTTTCTTGGAGAAAGACAGGGCTGCATCCTGGGTCTCAGTGTCCGAGGGCAGGAGACGGCACAGGGACCGCCTTGTGTGTCTCTCCTGCCACCGGGGGACGCCCGCGCCTCTCCGGGTCTTGCTTGCCACTGGCACTGAGGAAAGGACTGAATCCATGCCTGTGCGAACCCCGGGAGCCCCACCAGAGGGGCCAGGCTCCCAGAGTCAGGACTTCAGGTGATGCACTTGAGAATAAACAAACGAGTTGAGGAGGCAGAGACCTACTGTTACCCTCGGCAGACCGGCCCGCCAGTGCCACATGCAAACCGTGGGCGAGAGATGACATTTTAGTGACCCTGGGGGTTAGCTGAACATCGTGTTTTCTGCACATAATAGTGTGTGCCTTGAAACTAAGACTGGGTCTTGGAATCACCCAAGGAGGCCTGCTTTCTCGCCCCAAGTCATCCTGACCTTGGCCCTGACTTTTTCTAGACCACTTGCACTTCTGCTGCTGGGGGAGCCCCACGACCTTGGAAGCTAAGCGCCCCCTGGCACTCATGCTGCTGAAACGTCAGCAAAGCAGTAACAAACAAGGTTGTGCCTGGAACTCTTTTTTTTTTTTTAAGTGGCTAATTACATCCTTTCATAAATAAAGATGAGAAAAACCACAGCTGCGCAGTGCACTGCGCCTCGTTAACTCGAGCCTCACTGCACTCGGGGGGCGGCGGGCGGGAGTCTGGGCTTTACCTCAATGGACTGGGATATGTGCATCTTGTTAATTTCAATCTGCGGAAAGCCACTTCCAGACACATCTTCGTACTCTTCCTCGTAGCGATCAAAAAGGTCAGTGGCATCGATGCCAACGCTGATGGTCCCCTGGGGCAGAAGAACAAGCAGTCAGCAGCAGGGGTGGTGTTTGTGGAACGAAAGACAATCTACACTTCGGCAGCTGGCGGTTCACCGAGTGTGGGCAGGACTCCGCCAGGAGGCTCGCGGAGCATGAATGTCACAGTTCAAACCGACCCGCCGCAGCGGAGCTCCACCGACGGCGAGGGTCAGAAAACCAGTCGCGTCTGCAGGCGAATGACATGCCAAAGACAAGCGTTAGGGGAAGGGAAAAGGTTGACACAATTTGATTTTTAGAGCCTAAACAGGACCCACCTCATGGCTCTAATTTTAGATCACCTCTAGATTTAACCCATGAATTCAGAAGCCACCTCGACACGGGCCATGTAGACTAAACGTGTTCATGTTTCATTCTAAACACTCTTTAAATCATGAAACTACCTCAAAACTCTTTAAAACATAAAAATAACTTCAAAGATGGGGTGTCTGTGGGGTTCAGTCAGTTAAGTGTCCAACTCTTTGTTTTGGCTCATGTCATGATCTCAGTTTGTGAGTTCGAGCACCATGTCGGGCCCTGTGCTGACAGCAGAGAGCCTGCTTGGGATGCTCTCTCTGAAAAGAAATAAATAAACTTAAAAAAAAAAAAAAGTGCATACAAATAAATAAATTTAAAAGAAAAAAGTACAGGGGCGCCTGGGTGGCTTAGTCGGTTAAGCGTCCGACTTTCGCTTAGGTCATGATCTCGCGGTTCGTGGGTTTGAGCCCCGTGTCGGGCTCTGTGCTGCCTGCCAGCTCAGAGCCTGGAGCCTGTTTCACAGTCTGTGTCTCTCTCTCTCTCTCTCTCTCTCTGACCCTCCCCTGTTCACGCTGTCTCTGTCTCCTAGAAATAAAAATAAAAA